CCATCTAACACTAACGTATACCCTACTCCCACCCCCACCCCCCATCTAACACTAACGTGTACCCTACTCCCACCCCCACCCACCATCTAACACTAACGTGTACCCTACTCCCCCCATCTAACACTAACGTGTACCCTACTCCCCCCCCCCATCTAACACTAACGTGTACCCTACTCCCCCCCCCCCCATCTAACACTAACGTGTACCCTACTCCCCTCCCCCCCACCCCATCTAACACTAACGTGTACCCTACTCCCCCCCCCCCATCTAACACTAACGTGTACCCTACTCCCCTCCCCCCCACCCCATCTAACACTAACGTGTACCCTACTCCTCCCATCTAACACTAACGTGTACCCTACTCCCCCCCCCATCTAACACTAACGTGTACCCTACTCCCCTCCCCTCCCCCATCTAACACTAACGTGTACCCTACTCCCCTCCCCATCCCCCCATCTAACACTAACGTGTACCCTACTCCCCTCCCCCCCCCATCTAACACTAACGTGTACCCTCCCCCCCCCCCCCATCTAACACTAACGTGTACCCTACTCCCCTCCCCATCCCCCCATCTAACACTAACGTGTACCCTACTCCCCTCCCCATCCCCCCCATCTAACACTAACGTGTACCCTACTCCCCTCCCCATCCCCCCCATCTAACACTAACGTGTACCCTACTCCCCTCCCCATCCCCCCCATCTAACACTAACGTGTACCCTACTCCCCTCCCCATCCCCCCCCCATCTAACACTAACGTGTACCCTCCCCCCCCCCATCTAACACTAACGTGTACCCTACTCCCCTCCCCATCCCCCCATCTAACACTAACGTGTACCCTACTCCCCTCCCCATCCCCCCCATCTAACACTAACGTGTACCCTACTCCCCTCCCCATCCCCCCATCTAACACTAACGTGTACCCCCCCCCCCCATCTAACACTAACGTGTACCCTCCCCCCCCCATCTAACACTAACGTGTACCCTACTCCCCCCCCCCCCCCATCTAACACTAACGTGTACCCTACTCCCACCCCCACCCCCCATCCAACACTAACGTGTACCCTACTCCCCCATCTAACACTAACGTGTACCCTACTCCCCTCCCCCCCATCTAACACTAACGTGTACCCTACTCCCCCCCCCATCTAACACTAACGTGTACCCTACTCCCCTCCCCCCCATCTAACACTAACGTGTACCCTACTCCCCTCCCCCCCCCCCCATCTAACACTAACGTGTACCCTACTCCCCTCCCCCCCCCCCATCTAACACTAACGTGTACCCTACCCCCCCCATCTAACACTAACGTGTACCCTACCCCCCCCCATCTAACACTAACGTGTACCCTACTCCCCTCCCCCCCCCCCATCTAACACTAACGTGTACCCTACTCCCCCCCCCCCATCTAACACTAACGTGTACCCTACTCCCCTCCCCCCCCCCCCCATCTAACACTAACGTGTACCCTACTCCCCTCCCCCCCCCATCTAACACTAACGTGTACCCTACTCCCCTCCCCCCCCCATCTAACACTAACGTGTACCCTACTCCCCTCCCCCCCCCCATCTAACACTAACGTGTACCCTTCTCCCCTCCCCCCCCCCCCATCTAACACTAACGTGTACCCTACTCCCCCCATCTAACACTAACGTGTACCCTACTCCCCTCCCCCCCCCCCCCATCTAACACTAACGTGTACCCTACCCCCCCCCCCCCATCTAACACTAACGTGTACCCTACCCCCCCCCCCATCTAACACTAACGTGTACCCTACTCCCCCCCCATCTAACACTAACGTGTACCCTACTCCCCTCCCCCCCCCATCTAACACTAACGTGTACCCTACTCCCCTCCCCCCCCCCCATCTAACACTAACGTGTACCCTACTCCCCTCCCCCCCCATCTAACATTAACGTGTACCCTATCCCCACCCCCCCCCCCCCCCTCAGTACACTTTAAGCTCGGTGGTTCTAGAGGGCGCTAGTGTACATGTCACATGAGCGTCAACCATTTGCCGTAGTCTGGTCATATGGTAGTGCTAGGAAGGAATGCTGCTGTCATGAAACTGACGCACCAAAATGTCTGCCACAGTGTGCTGGGCTTAGTTGTGCCGGAATGACGAGGCATTGAAGGCGACAGCCAATGAGGTGACAATGGAAGGTGTGAGGGTGGCACTGAGAGACGCCAATCTGACTGACGCCTCGCGCGACCTCACTTGTAAACATTCCCCAGCCTGCTCCACTCGCTCCCCTCCCTGCCTGTCTGCCTGCCACTAGTTGGCGCATTGGGATTCTTTCTTTCGTTTTTCTTCAAGAAACTGGGGGAGCGGGGGAAGGGTGAAGAGGCCTATTTGAATACTGTTGTAGAGGGGAGCGGGGGAAGGGTGGAGAGGCCTATTTGAATACTGTTGTAGAGGGGAGCGGGGGAAGGGTGAAGAGGCCTATTTGAATACTGTTGTAGAGGGGAGCGGGGGAAGGGTGGGGTACCGTGAATCAAGGGGAGGGGGGGGAGACTGCTGTGTATCTAGTGGAGAGGGGAGAGTACTGTGTATCTAGTGGAGAGGGGAGAGTACTGTATCTAGTGGAGAGAGGAGAGTACTGTATCTAGTGGAGAGAGGAGAGTACTGTATCTAGTGGAGAGAGGAGAGTACTGTTTAGTGGAGAGGGGAGAGTACTGTGTATTTAGTGGAGAGGGGAGAGTACCGTGTATCTAGTGGAGAGGGGAGAGTACTGTGTATTTAGTGGAGAGGGGAGAGTACTGTGGAGCGAGGGAGAGTACTGTGTATCTAGTGGAGAGAGGGAGATAACTGTGTAGTGGAGAGGGGAGAGTACTGTGGAGCGAGGGAGAGTACTGTGTAGTGGAGATGGGAGAGTACTGTGTATCTAGTGGAGCGAGGGAGAGTACTGTGTATTTAGTGGAGAGGGGAGAGTACTGTGTATTTAGTGGAGAGGGGAGAGTACTGTGGAACGAGGGAGAGTACTGTGTAGTGGAGATGGGAGAGTACTGTGTATCTAGTGGAGCGAGGGAGAGTACTGTGTATTTAGTGGAGAGGGGAGAGTACTGTGTATTTAGTGGAGAGGGGAGAGTACTGTGTATTTAGTGGAGAGGGGAGAGTACTGTGTATTTAGTGGAGAGGGGAGAGTACTGTGTATTTAGTGGAGAGGGGAGAGTACTGTGTAGTGGAGAGGGGAGAGTACTGTGTATCTAGTGGAGGGGGAAGAGTACTGTGTATCTAGTGGAGGGGGAAGAGTACTGTGTAGTGGAGAGGGGAGAGTACTGTGTATCTAGTGGAGGGGGAAGAGTACTGTGTAGTGGAGAGGGGAGAGTACTGTGTAGTGGAGAGGGGAGAGTACTGTGTAGTGGAGAGGGGAGAGTACTGTGTAGTGGAGAGGGGAGAGTACTGTGTAGTGGAGAGGGGAGAGTACTGTGTAGTGGAGAGGGGAGAGTACTGTGTATCTAGTGGAGAGGGGAGAGTACTGTGTATTTAGTGGAGAGGGGAGAGTACTGTGTAGTGGAGAGAGGGAGAGTACTGTGTATCTAGTGGAGAGGGGAGAGTACTGTGTATCTAGTGGAGCGAGGGAGAGTACTGTGTAGTGGAGATGGGAGAGTACTGTGTATCTAGTGGAGCGAGGGAGAGTACTGTGTAGTGGAGAGGGGAGAGTACTGTGTATCTTATCTAGTGGAGAGAGGGAGAGTACTGTTTAGTGGAGAGGGGAGAGTACTGTGTATCTAGTGGAGCGAGGGAGAGTACTGTGTAGTGGAGATGGGAGAGTACTGTGTATCTAGTGGAGAGAGGGAGAGTACTGTGTATCTAGTGGAGAGGGGGAGATATGAGGGTCAATGCTATTCGTTATTTTCTGCGGTGGTCTTTTTTTTTTGTCCTTTTGAGGTTGCCATTTTTTTAAGTCCATATTTTAAATGAACTAAAATTGTTGTTTCTATACCTTTATTTTTAAATATTGTTGATTGTATTGTAGCCAGTCTATCATTTGTTTCTTTCTTTAATTGTATAGTTATAGTGTTTGATACTTTCATTATATCAATGTTACACTACACAGTTGTACCTTGTTTCCAACTTTTAATTAAAGGGGTCGTCAATAAACGACGTCACACTCGTATGGGGGAGGGGGGTCCGTAATTTTGTGACAGTGTGTGATGGGGGGGGGGGGGGGGGGTTCAGATGGTGCGACGTCACACTTTTGCATTATAAAAAAGCAATGTTAGAAAACGAATTTTAGACGTTATTTCGCGTTTTTGAAAACTGTTTTAATAAGTTGTAATAGGAATTGATTAAAATACTCTATTTTGACAGAGTTCAGACACGATTTTAGAAAAATGTCGATGTTTAAAAAAAAATTCAACTGCAATTTTGAGGGGGGTTGTAGGCTGAGGTGTGACGTCATTTTAGGGGGTGTCTGGCTTTTTGTAGCGACGTGCACTTGTCGTCTGTCATGGATCAAAACTGGCTTGCAAAATGTCGATATCAGATTGCATTGTCATCGGGTCTTGACCAACATGCCAAGTTTTAGAGAAATCTGTTAGTTAGAAGAGGTCAAAATTTCGCTCGCCAGTTTAGATCAAGATAGACAGAGGAAGCAAGTTATTTTAAGCTTGAAAAAAAAACTTTTTTTTTATTGCATTTTTTAAACTACTCTCTACACTGCTTTACTTATTATCTACATAATAAAAATATAATAATGCTCAAATTCATCTTCCAGCAAGAAGGTTCAGAGTTGTATGTGTTTTAAAAATAGCCAAGAGAATGAGCTGCCTTAAGATTTCAAATTGAATTAATCATTGAGTAGTCTTGATGACATGTGCAATACTTTGTCTGCTAAAAATACGTTCAAACAAAATGTTTTTTGTTTTTTTTTTCATTTTTTTAATTATAGATTTTTAAAAGCTGTAAAACTTAATTTCTCCAGTACAATGCAACCTAATTAATGAATGTGTTTTGGTATCCTTTGCTGTTTTAATAGTGTCTCCCTCTATTTTCAGTTGACTGTTATTGTGAAAGGCAACCCGGAATGTACATCTAAAGACTTTCAGACTTACCAAGCTCAGTCCAATCTCCTGCCCAACACCTTTGATGATGGGCGGGCAGTTGTGGGACCATACAACAGCTTGGAGGTCGTCGAAGTGGAGGCGGGGAAACACATAGAGATTCACATCCGCTATATTGAAACAGTGGTGGCCATCAGGCAAATTGGTCGCTACTTTACCTTCTCCATCACAATGCCAGACGAGCTGGTCAACCAGAGTAGCTCGAGCCAGGAGCTCCAGCTGTGTGTGCGGGGCTGTCCATTGGCCGAGCTCATCAACTACCAGGAGTTTCTGGCCAGCCGAGGCAGGCTCAACACCAGCTACCAGAGCCCGGCCAGGCTAACAATTCTTCAGCCTCAAGCCGAGAAAATCTGTCGAGCTGCCAAACTTGTGGATTTTTATTTTGATTCCTGTGTTTTTGACCTGATGGCCACTGGTGATGAAAACTTTACAATATCTGCCATCATTGCTCTACAGGATGAACTGAGGCTGGACCCATCACCAAACCTGAGCAATAGAACTGCTTATGATGACAGGCAGGAGAATCTGGCCCCATGTCTGTGTGTCTCACAACTTGCCGCCTTCTTGACCCTGTTCTTTTCTATTCACCTCTATACATGAGATAACTAACAGATTGTCCTGTTTAGCCTGTGGGCTCCTGCAGTATAGCCTGTGGGCTCCTGCAGTATAGCCTGTGGGCTCCTGCAGTATAGCCTGTGGGCTCCTGCAGTATAGCCTGTGGGCTCCTGCATTATAGCCTGTGGGCTCCTGCAGTATAGCCTGTGGACTCCTGCAGTATAGCCTGTGGACTCCTGCAGTAAAGCCTGTGGAACCCTGCAGTATAGCCTGTGGGCTCCTGCAGTATAGCCTGTGGGCTCCTGCAGTATAGCCTGTGGACTCCTGCAGTATAGCCTGTGGAACCCTGCAGTATAGCCTGTGGGCTCCTGCAGTATAGCCTGTGGACTCCTGCAGTGTAGCCTGTGGGCTCCTGCAGTATAGCCTGTGGGCTCCTGCAGTATAGCCTGTGGGCTCCTGCAGTGTGGCCTGTAGGCTCCTGCAGTATAGCCTGTGGGCTCCTGCAGTATAGCTTGTGGGCTCCTGCAGTATAGCCTGTGGGCTCCTGCAGTGTGGCCTGTAGGCTCCTGCAGTATATCCTGTGGGCTCCTGCAGTATAGCCTGTGGGCTCCTGCAGTATAGCCTGTGGGCTCCTGCAGTATAGCCTGTGGATCCTAGATGTGTCACCCACAGCTGTCTCGAAAAACACCCTAATGACGACAGGTCATAGTTCAAATGTGATGACCTCTTACAAGTTGTGTTAACTATTTTTATAAATATTATTTATTAGGAATTGTTGATTAATTGATGGTGAAGCTAATTACAAATTTTCTAAATTTGTTTTTACTGTTAATGTAAATCATAATATAATTTCATCCAGCAGTATCTGTTCATATCACAGAAACATCAGTTAACATCACCACAAAACACCAGTTAACATCACCACAAAACACCAGTTAACATCACCACAAAATACAAGTTAACATCACCACAAAACACCAGTTAACATCACCACAAAACACCAGTTAACATCACCACAAAACACCAGTTAACATCACCACAAAACACCAGTTAACATCACCACAAAACACCAGTTAACATCACCACAAAACACCAGTTAACATCACCACAAAACACCAGTTAACATCACCACAAAACACCAGTTAACATCACCACAAAACACCAGTTAACATCACCACAAAACACCAGTTAACATCACCACAAAACACCAGTTATCATCACCACAAAACACCAGTTAACATCACCACAAAATACAAGTTAACATCACCACAAAACACCAGTTAACATCACCACAAAATACAAGTTATCATCACCACAAAACACCAGTTAACATCACCACAAAACACCAGTTATCATCACCACAAAACACCAGTTAACATCACCACAAAATACAAGTTATCATCACCACAAAACACCAGTTAACATCACCACAAAACACCAGTTATCATCACCACAAAACACCAGTTAACATCACCACAAAACACCAGTTATCATCACCACAAAACACCAGTTAACATCACCACAAAATACAAGTTATCATCACCACAAAACACCAGTTAACATCACCACAAAACACCAGTTATCATCACCACAAAACACCAGTTAACATCACCACAAAACACAAGTTATCATCACCACAAAACACCAGTTATCATCACCACAAAACACCAGTTAACATCACCACAAAACACCAGTTAACATTACCACAAAATACAAGTTAACATCACCACAAAACACCAGTTAACATCACCACAAAACACCAGTTATCATCACCACAAAACACCAGTTAACATCACCACAAAACACCAGTTAACATCACCACAAAACACCAGTTAACATCACCACAAAACACCAGTTAACATCACCACAAAACACCAGTTAACATCACCACAAAACACCAGTTAACATCACCACAAAACACCAGTTAACATCACCACAAAACACCAGTTAACATCACCACAAAACACCAGTTAACATCACCACAAAACACCAGTTAACATCATCACAAAACACCAGTTATCATCACCACAAAATACAAGTTATCATCACCACAAAACACCAGTTAACATCACCACAAAACACCAGTTAACATCACCACAAAACACCAGTTATCATCACCACAAAACACCAGTTAACATCACCACAAAACACCAGTTAACATCACCACAAAACACCAGTTAACATCACCACAAAACACCAGTTAACATCACCACAAAACACCAGTTAACATCACCACAAAATACAAGTTATCATCACCACAAAACACCAGTTAACATCACCACAAAACACCAGTTAACATCACCACAAAATACAAGTTATCATCACCACAAAACACCAGTTATCATCACCACAAAACACCAGTTAACATCACCACAAAACACCAGTTATCATCACCACAAAACACCAGTTAACATCACCACAAAACACCAGTTAACATCACCACAAAACACCAGTTAACATCACCACAAAACACCAGTTAACATCACCACAAAACACCAGTTAACATCACCACAAAACACCAGTTAACATCACCACAAAACACAAGTTATCATCACAGAAACACACCAGTTAACACTAACACCAGTTAATATTACCACAAAACACCAGCTAACATCAGACACCATTTATATTTTACCATCATTCAACACCTAATCTCACCATACAAACTTGTCCCAATTCAAATGTCTAGAAAATGTGTAAGTTTCTGCTGTTTAAAAAAATGAAAGCATAATGCATTATGTTCCATATTTGTATTTGCTGTGAGGGGGTGTTGGTAGTTTAAGATAGAATGTACACTGATTTATTCTCATGTTTCTCATATGGTATTTCTCAGCTGTATTATCAGCAGATGGTGTAGATCTCTATGGCCTGTTGTTAACATATTTGTTTGATGGTATTTATAACCTGTTCCAGTTGACAACATTTTGCCAGGTATGTGAATGGTTTGTGTGGACTATTACATGATCTATGACAGATGTATGAAAGATTTTGTAAACTAACCATCAAATAATCAATGATGATATTTTGCCAGGTATATGAATGGTTTGTGTGGACTATTACATGATCTATGACAGATGTATGAAAGATTTTGTAAACTAACCATCAAATAATCAATGATGATATTTTGCCAGGTATGTGAATGGTTTGTGTGGACTATTACGTGATCTATGACAGATGTATGAAAGATTTTGTAAACTAACCATCAAATAATCAATGAATGATGTTCGAATGTTGTTTCTTCTATTCCAATACCAATCTATTGCATTAAAATTTAGGTTAATCTAATTTCCTTTTGTATTAATAAAAAAGTTCTAAATATTTTAACAATTCCATGAGCTTTTCCCTATGCACTCAAATATTAGTTGTGAAGTAAAGTTTTCTAACCTGCCGGTCCATGGGGGCAAGTGAAGTTGAGTTTTCCTTTTTTCCCCATGTGACCTCAGAATATAAATATTAGTGGTGCATTTTTATTTTTAAAAATACAATTTTCTTCTTTGTAGTGCATAAATACAATCTTTTAAAAGAGAACTTTTTTTTCTTTTTAGTAAGTAAATTGCAAAGCTAAAAACTCAATTTAAAGCACTTTTATATCTAAAAGCTCAAACCTAATAGTACTTAATATAACAAACTTAACGATTTGGTTAAAACTTAAATGATGATGATGATGTCACATTGCATGGTCAGTTGTTCTTGACACGTCAAGTTTAAATTGGTTTTGTAGTAGTGGGTAAATTTTTTGTCACCCATTACATACAACAGAGAGAGAGAACTATTTTTTCTTATTTTTAGCAGAAGATACTCATTATCTTATTTTGGATTGTTAAAAGTTCAATTTTAAACTAATAAATTAGTCATTGATTTATATAATAAAATATGTGTAGGGTTAGGTTTTAATTGAATAGGTGGAATAATTAGTCATTTTGTAGTATTGGTACTTAAACAAAATTGAGGGAATAAAAACTGTTGAAGCATAAAACAGATGTAGAGGTATGAATGGTTTGAGTGGATTGAACATTAAATATGTTAAGTATGGTAGAACAGGTTTTCATTCATATTTGGTCTCTTTACTCAAGGGGGTTTTTCCCATGAGTGAGTGACGCCTCATGTTGATTCAATTTTTTTTGACCGATTTTTCAGTTAAATATGGTTACCTCATTAGCATCACACCACACTGACCCCCAGAGACATATATTCAACATTTTATGTGCTTGTACATTAGAATGATTGACCATTAGGTGTTAAATTTTATTTAAGTAGGTTTGTTTGTGTATAGCTCTGTATGAATGAACATGTTTTAATTTTTCAGTTTGAAAAAAATCCAAACATTTTTCAGTAAAGAAATTAATAACTTAAAATGAATTATTTTATTGGCTACTTAATGTGGGATGAAGTGTTGATTTAAAGAGACATTTTAGTTCTATTGGTGGCTATTTGCTACTAGTCCATGAAAATGCACTTGTAAAGATATATTTTCATCATTTCTTTTTATTATTTACATTATGTACATGAAAACAAAAAAACAAAGACTAAAGGTACACACACAAGGCAATCATTATACAGATCTAAAAATCTAGAAATATAAATGAACAGAACATCCTTGAAATCACCACCCCCCCCCCTGTATATTTCTCAGCTGACAATTAGGTGTCTACACTTGGAAAACCTTGACAGATTTGCTTGCTTGTATGTACAATGCCAATGTGAGGGTGATGAACAATCACAATGGACTCCATACAAAAAGAACTCTTAAAATGTATTATTCATTTGTACAATCAGTCACTATTAAAGGAACAAATGAATCAGCATTTTGATTCAATTCATAGAGGGTAGGTTATTCATTAAGATGATAAAATACACTCCCAATGTTTAGATCAAAGGAACTCTATGTAAGCTGCCTAAAGACTTTCATCTCACTTACCCCAAACACAAGGATTTGACCTTCCTGAGGCAAATTTAAATCTTTACAAAAGCAATGGAAGATTGGAAACAAAAATGAACACATGAAAATGAAAAGAATGAAACAAATGAGCCAATAAATCTAGTTTCAATCCTTGGAATAACAAATCTACAAGTACATTCAGCACAATATCTGGTCTTACACTTTTTCACAGAGCTTAAGCCACCAATGCCACCTAGACGGAAAGGACATTAAAAAGTGTACAACCACCAATCATAAAGGAATGTCAGGTTTCCATTAATATAAATAACTGGACAACACTATACTTAAAATAATACCTTCAACCTATGTGAAGAAAACTTCTAAAATATTTTTGACTTGTAATACCACTTATGCAGTAGCTTACAGGTAGAAATAAAAATGTTACTTAAACAAAATCAATACAAAAGGTGATCATTAGTTTAAAAATTTCAACATCAAGTATCCATAAACAAAAATCATTAACAGAATTCTTTCACACAAAAAATAGATGAGCTCGATTTGAACAATCAACAATTTTACCAAAGCTTACCATTGTTTTTATACACTCCAACAGTTAAAACAAATCAAGCTAGCAACATGCATCTATAACACAAGTGTTACATGTGATGGGATTCACTCAATTTTTGTATCCAAATGAGATTCTGTAAACACGTCTCATGGTGCTTTACACAAAGCTCATTTATCTAACAATTTCATTTAATGGGGCAAACTGGCTTTTTAGATACATAATGATACGATGCTGAAGATTCTGGGCAACTTTAGAATAAACAGGCAGCATTGTCCTTTCTGTCTGGGTGGCACAACTAAGGTCAGTGATGAGGAAAGTTGGATGGGGAATCCCCAGGTGGAGGGGGTTGAGGATAGCGTGATTTCATTTCTAATCTTGGATCTTTGTGAGATCTCCTCTCCCAGTCATGGTAATCCTCTCCTGGTCTCTCACCACGACGTTTACGTTCTCCAGCATAAGTATGATGACTAAAATGTTAAACAATAAGCCATCGTAAGTCATCAAACTATAAAGCATTAAGACAGAAGTCTTCATCAAACTATAAAAAACATTAAAACAGAAGTCTTCATCAAACTATAAACAACATTAAAACAGAAGTCTTCATCAAACTATAAAAAACATTAAAACAGAAGTCTTCATCAAACTATAAAAAACATTAAAACTGAAGTCTTCATCAAACTATAAAAAACATTAAAACTGAAGTCTTCATCAAACTATAAAAAGAGCTGGTCATCAGCGACAGTCAAATGAAAACCAAGTGTCAGAACTAATGATCATGGGGTCTAATATTTTATTTACACAACATATACTAACCAATGTGTTTATAAGAGAAACCAAACCAGTTTTAAAGGGTCTACTACCTGTTTGTTCCCCATTCCTCTCCACTTCTTTCTCTATTGTAATGTTGCTGCTGCCCACTACTCTGGTCCCTATAGTGGTTGCCATACTCAGGGCGATGATGGTCACCTCTATGTGGGTCTGGGCGATATCCTGTTCTATGTTCACTTCTCCCTCTAAAATCACGGTGGTAATGTTGATTACCTGGCCCTTGACGGTCACTGTTAAACCTGGGAAAACATTTACTGGCATATTAAATTGTGATAGGCCTTGGGCTCTAGATGAATAAGTGTAACTTGTTAAAGTTCGCACATAATAATACAAAGCTTACACAACAAAATGAGTAAATAATATTGAAAAACAGCTGACAAAAATTAAAGCATGTTTACAAAATTAAAAAAATAAAGCAAATATCTAGAATTGTACAGTTGAAGAAGTAACCAATAAAAGTGATAAGCCCATTAAAGTTAGTTAAATAAAGAATAATGAGAACATCAAAACAAATGCAGCATGTCCCGCAATTATAAACAAGCTGCCAAGCATTGTATTTCTTTCCCAGGGAAGTTGTTAGTATAAGGTCAGTGTTGTATTCACCTGTAGTAAGAATCTTTAGAATCTGTTCTATCACTGCGGTGAGACTCATGGTGAGAGTAGGGATTGGGGTGGGGATGGCGGTTGTATGCACTATCAAATCTGTGAATACCAGACAACATTCATGCACATTATACATAGAAACTAGCTAACACATAGTTTTTAACATCAAGAAATAGAGGTAGATCTATCGTGTTTTTGCAAAAATAAAAATTCTGCACTTCTTAAAAAAAAAACTGAGTGAAGGTTAAATGTGGCCATAGTGTCAAATATCCCTCACCATGGTGTCAATCAAGTATGACAAGTTTCACCAGTAGAAACCTTTAGTAAAACATCTTTATTTATTTATTGAACATTTACTTTGTAAACTAAAAAGAGCAGCTATAATGTATATGAGTGTTTTACTATGACTGATCCAGTTCATTAGATTGAATATAAATCACGTTAACCGCTGATCCACCTTATTCTCTTTGTAAAGAAAGATAGTTTAAAGACATTTAAATGTATAAAATACTGTCTGTTTTATACAATTACTTAAAAACAAGTACACATGTTCTTACCAAGTTAACCAAAAAAAGTTAATAATGAGAATAAAAACTGATTTGAGTTAAATGTAACATGTTTAATTAGAAATAAGTTCATTTCAAACACTGATAAATTAAATCTGCTGATATTTTAAAAGTAGAAATTTATTTTTTGAGCGAAATCTATGCACATCATTCTTTATGTATTTGATGTGAACAGTATAAAATAAAATTGAATTCTAATAAAAGCAAAAAAATAAAATAAAATAAAAAGAACACCATAAAAGAACACATGATAGCACATCAATACAACAAGTGATATACTGCATAATCTTAATACTAGAGTGATGATGTACAAACCTATTTCTGGTGGCATCTTCTGTGCGAGAAAGTGGGCTGGCTAAAGTCCAAGAATTGCTTGGACTAGCCCCACCTTGCTCTGTTCCATCTTTAGCTGTTCCAGGGCGATATGTGGTTGAAGGGTGAACCACTGCAGGCCTTGGTTGCTGAGTTTTATTATGATGACTATTTACATGGCTAAAAGAAATATGCATCACATTAATTAAACTAAGTTTATTCAGAAAAGACAAGGCAAATAATGTACAATTCATAATAAATACATTTTTAAGCTTCACTGGTTTGGGTAAAAGGCTGAGGTGATAATGATTTACTCAGAACACGACTTGAAATTAAGTGCCTACCTTTCTTTATGATGATGTGGATGCTGTATGGTGTGATGACGATCATTTCTGTGTCCCAAGTTTGGTTTCTTTGTTGTTGCTTCTTTGTCAAACTTTTCCTGGCTTCTTTTTAAATGGTTATTTCTCTGTTTTGAGTCATTATCCTGAAAATAAGACAGTGAACAGTGTAAATCTAGATCTGGCAATATAACTAGTAAGGAAAGCAAAATTATTCAACAACAGTTATTACTCACCTCTTTTTTATCATGCTTTTCACTTTCTCTCTTTTTACAAGCTCCTTTGTATAATTTACGTAGTTTATTGTGATTTAACGTTGTGAAATTTGACACAAATAACCACAAATTGCTGGGGATAAAATGAAATTAAAGAAAATAAACTATTTACCTACAAGTAAAACTAAAATTTCTTAAAACAATGATTTTTTTTTAAATTACAGATTTAGGATAGGGTATTATGTGCAGTGGACAGAAATTCTTTGAACACAAGTGTTTTCCCCTTGTTTATTAAATGATGTAGAGGTACAAGGTATCTATATATAATTCTCTTCTTGGAGACAATATAAAACACCAAGCTGTAAGCGCGCCCAGCAGCCCCCTCTCTTCCTCTCTAGGCATATTGCTATCACCCCTACGTGGTCTGGTGAGCTGTGGTTCACGCTAAATGTTTACAATCGTAGAGCCGGGTTTAGTGACGGCTATTAGGGGCAGATAATTTAGTTTGAAACGATTTTAAACTTAGGGGAGGTAACTAAGAGGAGGCTGCTTTCACGGGGGGGGGGGGGGGGGAAAGAGGGGTTGGGGGGAAAGGGGGGTGGTTATCGCCCTTACGAGCTACTGATAGTTTTAAAGCAAATATTTCATTGGCAGCATTGGTACTGTCGAATTCACAAATTATGAATTACTGAAAAGTAAAAAATAAAACAACTAAATAGCGTTGTATAATACGCCGTGGGTCGGCTTGTAAGTAATAAAATTCTAAATTAGAAACAAGAAGCACCAAAACATTCTCAAACACAAAAAAGTTAATCAATGGTCTTAAAAATAAATTTTCTATCTAGATAAGTATCAGAGGTTTAACTGTAACAGACCATTTAAAAATAAAACTGATTTCTTTTTCCATGGGGAGGGGTTAACAGTAAGAAAACTCATGTTTAAACATGATAAATTGAGGTAACCAATTAATTTAATCATATTCATAAATATCTCAGATCAAGTCATGATTAAATGATATATTTAAATAAGGTTGTTAGTAGATCAAAGATAGCCTGAATATAACTGTTTTTCATAAAAAACCAGATCCACAAGTGGAAAACAATAAAGATAAATCTGCCAGTGCAACTGAGTTATCCTTTAAGCTTAATTATGCACCACTTGTACATACTCAAACATGCCTCCCCCAGGCGACCAAACAGTCATCAGAACAGAGGAATTTGAAACAAAAAAAGAGGAACAAACACACGGAGGTTACTTTACCAAGTCGAAAATAATTAAAATAAGCCTTACATTATGCACAGTTGATATAACCGTATGTATAGTTTCATATCCTTATGTAGCCAACCTCTAGCCTACATCTAATTACATTAATACTAAATTAAAAGAAAAAACTTGTAAACACCCCCCCTCATAAGAAAACTAAAACTTGAGCAGTTACAACACTATTAGCTTGATTTAACAGTAGTCAAGGCTATAACTATTTAACTATTTTGGATTACTTGGTTTCCTTTCCCAATTTCACATACTAAGCTGTATGGACAACACACAACTGCTTAAGTGTTTTATTTTTAATTAGTGCATAGTAGCGTCAGTTATGGATTTTTCATATTTTCCTTCATATATTAGGTAATGCATAATTTACAATTACAAATGTTAAAAAGATAATTTATTTCTGTAATCTTGTTTTATAAATGAGCTTTTCTCAAAATACTTAAATATTTTGCTCTTTATAAAGAGCCTTAATCTTAGCTAACTTTCATGTATAATTTAATGTAATGTATAATTTAATGTAATATTTGATTTTACACGCTCTTTTTTCAATTCCATTCATTTGGTGTTTTTTAAATTGTACATTTTTGCTTATTTTTTTTACATTTAGCGGAACAAATGACAAAATCAGAAAGCAAAACATTAAGAATTTTTTGTTAGTTAAAATAGCATAATTATTGGCATGTCTGCATATTTAAACAAGTAAATATTTTAAAATTAAGAAGACTCACTCTCGCCAAAACTTTATTTTCTCAGGATCCGAATATTCTTCAATACAAACATTGATATGATCTCCAATCTTAAGCAAGATACTCCGAATAAATGCAACTTGATCTTTTTCACTTAAACTTTCATCAGGTTCACTTAATTGTTTCAATACTTTCTTCAGCGGACGCATCTTTTCTTTGCACTGTAATAAATAACAGAGAAACACTTTCATTAGACAAGTTTATAAGATACAAGAAAATTTCAATGACGAATTTTTTAAAAATATTGTTCATCAAATTTGTTGGTTTAAAATACACATATTATATATATATACATATACACACAAACACTAATAATTTAAGCATGAAACATCAGTGCACCAGCAAAATGTGCTTAATCAGAATATTGATAATTGAGTGAAGAAAGCTGCAATAAATAAGGCACAATTATAAAATTTTTAGACCAGCTTAAGTATTATAGTATTTAAAAAAATATGTAAGATATTAATACATATTTTTCCTCAATGTAAATTAAGTACTAATGTTTCTCAAGTTGAGTTAGTATTAAGGTTGAAGAACAGATGGAGGTGGGCTTAGGTCTCAATGGGAATGGTCTAAATCAGGGGTCTCCAAACTACGACCTGTGAGGTCCTCTCATCCAGCCCTTTTGAAAGTACCTTTCAAATTTTGGAACAATATACACACTTTATCAAGAATGAAGTAGGCCAACGTGAAGAACAATTTGAGAACAAACTTGGACCTCGAGTGTGTTGTCGGTCACCGACAGCATTTCTTTCAGACTTTTTTCCCGGGTGGGGGGCACTCGAAAATTGCATATATATATATATATATATATATATATATATATATATATATATATATATATAATTCCATGGGGGGGGGGGGGCTTTGCCACCCCAAAGAGATGCCTGGAAGAAATTTTGGCTCCCGAACGTATATTTGATAGTTAATCCGGCCCTCGGGCTGAAAAGTTTGGAGACCCCTGTGTCTAAATCATGGGTGCCCCAACTTTTTTCAAGTGGCGACCCCCTTTTATAAAAAAAAAAAATGACCCACGACCCCCATAGAATATAAAGGCGAAATTAGTAAGGAAATTAATCAACACCAAAATAAGATTTTACAGTATCATTTTAAATTAAATTATTTTTGATAACTGTTTTAATGTGATGGGTAAAACTGCATGCTATTCACAAGCCTCAACATTCTCTGAGTTTTTGTAAACACCAACGGCACGTCTTTCTCAATATTTAATTTACTTCATTTTGTTTTTAATTGGAGACGTGTTGAAAAAAAGGAACTAAAGCTCAAAGGCAATCAATGCCTTTGGGTATGAATGGTGCATACTACACCAAAATTGTGTGAGCAGGTTTTCAAAGCATTAAATAATGTACGTGCCGTGGAATCATTCTTCAAATCTAAGAATTCATCTTGTAATTCATCGGGAATGCTGGCAACATCAAGGGAAACAGAATCGACTACGCGTCAATGCAGTTTCTTCTTCTTTCTACTCAGAGCAATAACGCCACAGTTTATTTTCAAGAGATTCAAGATGCCAGAAATCTATTCTTTCACGTTTTGATTAATCTCACAATCAGATTCATCTATCATGCTGCAGAGTTTCTCAAACATTGCAATATTTCCAAGATGCATTTTTCTTCGCTAATTTTGCAGCTATGATAAAAATGCCCTGAGATTATCATGAAAAGAATTAACTTTCGTTTCTTTTCCTTGAAGCTTCATGTTAAGCCTATTTTCCTGTTTGAATATATCTGCTAGGTGTGCTACTCTCTTAAACCACTCTTTATCGTTAAAGTAAATCTAAAGGTCTTGTTTCCCATGCACTTCCAAGAACAACTTTATTCCATCTTTCAATTCAAAAACACGATTCACAACATTTCCTTTTGACAGCCAGCGTACTGTAGTATAGAAAAGCAGAACTTTGTGATCAGAATTCATGTCTTTGCACATTTCTTTAAACAGACTGGTGTTTAGGGCTCCTTATTAAAAACAATTTACGACATTTATTATCTAATAAAGTGCCTCTTGCAAAGGAGTCGGAAGAGTCTAGCTGGCGAGGGCATAGCTGTGAATCATGCGGTGGATTCCCCTAAAAAACCCAATTTTGTACCAAGCATTGATGGCGCACCATCCATACAAACCCCACAGCCTATTTCTCATTGTAATCCTCTTAATCGTCTTTTTTTTCCATGATATCTTCCCTTTTTGTAGCAGTTTCAGGTTCACTACAAAATAGAAACACTTCTTTGATATCATCTGAATAAATACAATTTCACAAAGACAAGCAACTGCAAACACAAACCTGTTGATTCATCAACTTGAAAAGCAAACAATAGTGAAAGCTTGATTTCATTCAAAATTTGGTCTTTAACATCTACAGACATGTCTGCTGGGTCTACGACAAATTCCCGAAAGACACTTGCCAGACGTTTGCCCGAAGGCCGATTTCCCGAATGCGACAAATGCCTGAATGGACACTTGCCCAAATGCGACAAATACCTTAATGCAGGGTTCGTACTGCTTTTTGAAAATGAAATTCCAGACTTTTTCCAGACATTTTCCAGACTTTTTTGGAAAAATTCCAGACTTTAGACAGATAATCTGTTAGCGAATAATTTTTTAAAATGATGCACTATTTGTACTGTCATTATAATTACTTCTACTAAATTGACATTTATTTTAGGCTATATTCACAGTGAACTTTCTCTAGCCAAATTGACAAAAAACCCATTTTTTCTAAGTTTGCCTACTCCACCCTACCTACAATTTTAAAAATTAAAATAATTGATTAAAATGATGCAACTATTTTGTTTCCAACATTAGATTTATGTAATCTGTTCCTGATCTAATTGCTTATGTTTTCAATTAAACTATCATTAAAATGGTATTGCATAATAGTGAGAGTTAATTACTATAAAGAATAATAATGTAATGTATTAATTTAGGTCTGCTCTTGTTAAGTAGCATAAATAAATATAGGCTACTTGTAAAAAAATGTAGAGCAAAAAAAAAAAAAAAAAAAAAATCATTCACTGTTTGTGCTTATAGTAATAGCTGAGAAACGGGTCTGCAATAAAAAAAAAATTGCCGGTATCCTTCTTCCCCCCCCCCCCCCCCCCCCACAGACACGACACGGTGAAGGGGTCACTGTGAGGTCATAGTAGTCTAGACTTCATTATGCCTGTTTAATATGTCATAACAGGAACTGTGCTGTGACTTATACCCCCTCCCCCACCCTACTTACCAAGCGGTACCAACTACGCACTTGGGGTCACGGTGAGTTCACACAAAGGACCGATGTTACAAGGAGGGGCGGGGTAGTCGAACTTTAATCGTCAGCATTTGCAAAGATTTCAAAAAACAGTTTAATGGAAGGTTAATTAAAATTAAAGGGGTCATCCATTTATGATGTACACATGGAGGGGGGAAGGGGTCAAAAGATTTTGTGATTACATTCTAAAACAAACATAAAACTTGTATCTTGTGAGTAGAAAGTAAAATTAAGACCACTGTGCTGGTGTTTTCAAAACCATCGCAGCGTGTAAATAAAACACGGTATTTATATCTGCCCCAACATTATTGCAAGAACGTGTCGTCACACTTTATAAAACCCTACTCTCGACATTCCCGAGTGTGACGTCATTTATGGACGACTCCTTAATAAAAATAGTACCTCTTTGTTAAGCTGAAGCAAACAGAAATACAGGTATGAACCCAAGGAGGCCTTGCGACTTATTAATCTTATAAATGTTAATATTAATCCAAAGTAAGTGAACGCGTGTGGACAGAGGGCGGGGGGAGTGGGGAAGGGGGGGTTGTCTAAAATCCGAAAAATTGTTGTAAGTCATAAATGGATGATGCCTTACAGACTTATAAATTATATCTAAACTACCACTCACACATCTCCCCCATAATTTTTTGTTATGACTGCCTGCATGCAAACTCAAACGAGGAAAAAATAGCGGGTAAAATCGAGAGCCTAACAATTCTGAGGGCGATCATTCTTTCATTAAATGACAATTGCAAGTACTTGTAACACATTCACACGGTTAGTCGTGCCACAAAATATCTCTTCCCTCCCTTCCCCTCTTCTCCCAATGACGTAGTAACTGAGCATTTTTTCTGCGAACCAGCGAAAAAACGTCACAACATAGTGTAAACCCGGGAAAAAAATTGGAGTAAATTCACTTTAAAATAGCAATTTTTTAAGTTGGAAAATATGGACTACGAAGTTTTGTTTCTAAAACTAGATTCCAGACTTTTTCCAGACTTTTAAAAAATCCTGCCCAAAAACTAGCGATTTTCCAGACTTTTTTAAGTCTTAAATTCACTTTTCGAAATTCAAGACTTTTTCCAGACTTTCCAGACTGCGTACGAACCCTGTTAATGCGACAAATGCTGGAGAATCACGATATTTAGCATGACAAAGATAACTATGAAATTAAAAATTAGAAAAGTATATAGAAGTATTAAGAGGAATAGCTCTCTTTCATCTTTTAACCGTTAAAGACTTAAAGAAAAAAATTGCATAAAGTGCTACATGAGATGTGCACAATGACACTATGGTTTTCCTTGACATGCCAAACTGCTGAGCAAGATAATCTTTTGTGATTGTGTACAACTATGATCCTCTCAGAACAGTAGTCTATACATTGATTACATTTATAGCTGTCATTACCAAAAATCTATTTGCTATTTTTAGTAAAGTAAAAATGCATATTTCTATTAATGATTATTTTAAATGTTGATGGGAGATCAAGCCAGAAAAAAAAATATTACCAGACAAGAATAACAAAAAGATTTAGTTAGCCTTACTTCAGAGATCAAAGTAATAGTTTGGCTATTCATTTGCCAAATGCAGCATCTGGTCTGATAAGAAACTGTTAATACAAAACATTTTATTACCTCATCAAAAACTTTTGGTTCCATTTTTTGACGTTCTTCTTCTTCTGCTTCATCTGCTATTTCCTTTGGCTCAGATGAAGCCGTAAAATGCATGGGGCCAGATTGCTGTTAACAGAGAATTGAACAAAAACAAATCATTTTAGGCCAACTGCTGATTAGTTTTATGCAATTCTTCATTAATAACAAGAATTTCAATAGTAGATCAAACCTTTTTTTTATGTTTTCCTTTTCCTTTAACAGGTTTGTCTTTTTTCTCAATTTTTCCATCTTTTAAAGATTTTTTTGAAGGCCTGCCTTTATTCTTTTTTGGTTTTGCATCATCTTCCGAATCCAGTTCAATATCACTTATATCTGATAAAACTTCTTTTTTTACATCTTTGTCAATTGAATGTTTTTTCTTCGCTGTTATGTCTGTTCCTGAAGGTTTCTTTTCTTTATTTTCATCAGAACTGCTAGAGTCATCTCTTTCAATGATTTCAGCTTTCGATTTTGGGTTTCTTTTTCTTGCTTTAGTTGACTTCTGAAATCAATTTTATAATAAGGATTATTTATTTACAGTCCTATGCTGCCCTTTGTGAGGTCGGAAGTGTCAATTTACGCTTGAACTACATATATATATATATATATATATATATATATATATATATATATATATATATATATATATATATATATATATATATATATATATATATATATATATATATATATATATATATGCAAAGATATCTAATTTAAATCTAATTAGTCATTAAACTCAATTTTTAAATTTCTAAATTTAGTAACAAAAGGGGAGATGCTAATTACATAAGTTTTAAAAAGGAAAGTGAACTAACAGTAGATAAACTATACATAGAATACTGCACATGCACATGCTAGGTAACTGAAGAAACATTTAAAATTAACTTTTTCAGAATTTTCATTTTAGTTAAAATTTGTAACTGAAAAATATTAGCAGAAAATTCAAATTCTGAAATTTTCAGATATCTGTTAAAATTTGGAAACGTTATATTCATGATTTTTAATAAATTATTAAGCTACTTAATAATTAAGTTATTTAACCACGTACATAATAAACTATCCTGTATAATGCTTTTTGCTTTATTTTTATAAATAAGTGGATGTTTTTTAAAAATTTCAAGTGCTGTGGTAGAAAAATGTAGGTTTCAAATTATCATACGGGAATTAAAATTGTTTTTTTCCTCTGACTGTAAAGGGTTATTTGTTTCCTAATCTTTAGAAAAATATAAAAATCCATGAGATCAATTATGAACATGTTGTAAGGATACAAGATTATATCTTAATTCAATATGAACACTTTTTAGCTATCCATCCCAAATATTTCGGACTTCTATAACCTATGGTTACCTTTTTCCCCCACCTTTCTTTTCATGCTTTCTCATATTGTTGCAAAATTCTGAACCCTTTGTCATTATACCATCTACAATACAGTATTTGTATATTCATTTACAGCAATTTTTTAGGATATATTAATGTTTATGCAGCACCCTTCCTTATTTTTGCACAAAGTGTTATGTACAAATTTGCATTAAAAAAAAAAATAGACATGCATATATTAAAATGAAAAAACATATAAATCTATAATTAGATATTATTTATCTCTTATGAGATCAAAGTTGTAGGTTTAAAAAGGTGTGGATTTTCACACCTTTTGGTGGTTACCATAATGAGTAATTGTTAAGTTTTACTAATTTTGTCTAAAGTTTATACACTACCAAACCCATCCCTGCGCTTTGCTGCAGGGGTAAAAGAATCTTCCAGGATAGCCCGGGGCAAATCGCATCCTGCCGGTTCAGATGATCCCAACTCAGTTTAGTGAACGACTATAATACTAATTACTATCCATAGTCTATCACACGCTTTAAAACCATAGTGCTACCTGGATAGCCCGAGACACTAAATTGCACCCTGTCGGGCGCCGGCGAACAAGGCTGATTCAATTTTTTGAACAACTAAACGCCCCATCTTATTAATAGTCTAATACACTGTTTAACTCTAATGTAGGGGCCATAGATGTCATATCACTAATAGGATACCCAGAGGCGTCAAATTGCGCCTGCCGGGGCACCGGCGAACTCGCCTGATTCAATTTATAGAACGACTATAACTACCTATCTTATCCATAGCCTATCGCTCTGTTTAAAACAAACGTAGGCGCCATAGTACTCACAGGGAAGCCTGGGGTGCTTCTAGTCTTGCAGCCGGGGCGCCGGCGGATGCGCCTGTTGAAGTTTTAACACTGAATATAGCAGTACCCCTTACCAACTATGCATGACGCCCGATTAACGGATACTAAGAGTTTAGATAGTCCCTTTAGAACTCTGGGCACATACATTTTTTTTTTGCAGAAACCTTCAAGAGTATTTTGATAAACTCCCTAAAGCTTATGGCACTCTGATGAACGGTGTCGAACCGCATAAGTACCATAGCAATCGGGTGAACGGTGTCAAAAGTCAATTGACTTTTATTTTTATATACCATATATAGAAAAGAATCGAATGGCGCCCTGCAAATTTTAAATACTTTTTTTCACAGAAACCTCCCCAGGATGAAAGGTGTAGTAAAGCATAATAGACACACACACATACTACACACACACACACACACATATATATATATATATATATATATATATATATATATATATATATAGATAGATAGATAGATAAATAGATAGATAGATAGATAGATAGAAGCGTTAAATTTTATGTGTGGTGCCTTTCCTCAAATCATTCATCGATCTTACATTGGGTGGAGTAACAGCATCTTTCCTCAAAAGCTTGAGCAAGTAATCTACTCTAGTTTGCAGGTGCTTGGCTTGAGGTTTTAATTCTCCATCAGGCAGAATCTGTAATTGAAACCATCTTCAATCAAAGATATAATAAATACAAATTGGCTTAATATAATTATCATTTTAAATACTTGTTTGACACTCTTAAAAGCTTTAACCAATGCAATCCTAATTGCTCAAAACTTAATTATGATAAAGAACATAAAGTTGATTGAAAGGATTGCTCAGAAACATCTTTCTTCAATGCCATGATTGACTCAAAGAGAGCTGGGTTAAAGCTAAAGCTTTCATCAATGCAATCCTAATTGTTTAACATTTAATTAAGATAAAGAACATCACACAAGAAGATTGAAAGGGGTTTTTCAGAAACATCTTTCTTCAATGCCATGATTGACTCAAAGAGAGCTGGGTTAAATCTAAAGCTTGCATCAATGCAATCCTAATTGACAATTAATTAAGATAAAGAACATCACACAAGAAGATTGAGAGGGATTGTTCAGAAACATCTTTCTTCAATGCCATGATTGACTCAAAGAGAGCTGGGTTAAAGCTAAAGCTTTCATCAATGCAATCCTAATTGTTTGACATTTAATTAAGATAAAGAACATCACACAAGAAGATTGAGAGGGATTGCTCAGAAACATCTTTCTTCAATGCCATGATTGACTCAAAGCGAGCTGGGTTAAAGCTAAAGCTTTCATCAATGCAATCCTAATTGTTTGACATTTAATTAAGATAAAGAACATCACGCAAGAAGATTGAGAGGGATTGCTCAGAAACATCTTTCTTCAATGCCATGATTGACTCAAAGAGAGCTGGGTTAAAGCTAAAGCTTTCATCAATGCAATCCTAATTGTTTAACATTTAATTAAGATAAAGAACATCACGCAAGAAGATTGAGAGGGATTGCTCAGAAACATCTTTCTTCAATGCCATGATTGACTCAAAGAGAGCTGGGTTAAAGCTAAAGCTTTCATCAATGCAATCCTAATTGACAATTAATTAAGATAAAGAACATCACGCAAGAAGATTGAGAGGGATTGCTCAGAAACATCTTTCTTCAATGCCATGATTGACTCAAAGCGAGCTGGGTTAAAGCTAAAGCTTTCATCAATGCAATCCTAATTGTTTAACATTTAATTAAGATAAAGAACATCACGCAAGAAGATTGAGAGGGATTGTTCAGAAACATCTTTCTTCAATGCCATGATTGACTCAAAGCGAGCTGGGTTAAAGCTAAAGCTTTCATCAATGCAATCCTAATTGTTTAACATTTAATTAAGATAAAGAACATCATGCAAGAAGATTGAGAGGGATTGCTCAGAAACATCTTTCTTCAATGCCATGATTGACTCAAAGAGAGCTGGGTTAAAGCTAAAGCTTTCATCAATGCAATCCTAATTGTTTAACATTTAATTAAGATAAAGAACATCACGCAAGAAGATTGAGAGGGATTGCTCAGAAACATCTTTCTTCAATGCCATGATTGACTCAAAGAGAGCTGGGTTAAAGCTAAAGCTTTCATCAATGCAATCCTAATTGACAATTAATTAAGATAAAGAACATCATGCAAGAAGATTGAGAGGGATTGCTCAGAAACATCTTTCTTCAATGCCATGATTGACTCAAAGAGAGCTGGGTTAAAGCTAAAGCTTTCATCAATGCAATCCTAATTGTTTAACATTTAATTAAGATAAAGAACATCACGCAAGAAGATTGAGAGGGATTGTTCAGAAACATCTTTCTTCAATGCCATGATTGACTCAAAGCGAGCTGGGTTAAAGCTAAAGCTTTCATCAATGCAATCCTAATTGTTTGACATTTAATGAAGATAAAGAACATCACGCAAGAAGATTGAGAGGGATTGCTCAGAAACATCATTCTTTAATGCAATGATTGACTCAAAGCGAGCTGGGTTAAAGCTAAAGCTTTCATCTTTCAGGTGACCAAAGTCTCAACCCAGGTTCAGAAACATTCTAGTCACTGTTTGTATTTATACTTGCTACCAGCGACCTATATGTAATTGTAGTCTGTTGATATGCTGGGCTGAGCTCAAAATAAAGCATGCCTCTAGCATTGAACTATCACTTTAAGGCATCATAAGAGTAACATAATTATAGAATTTTGTTATAAATAATTAATGGTTGTCAAAATTCAACTGGAACCAAATTCAATAAAAAAAGTTAGCTACTATGGAGGCCTTGCACCTGTGTTTTGTGAAACACCTGTGTTATAAGCATTTACTTAGGTCACAATGTCTGTTGTGTGGTAGGTGGGTTTGAGGTCTAACCTAGTAATTAAACTTTGTAATGAAGCCCTTTTAATAAATAGGTTGTAGCAATTACTCTATCATGGATCTCTTATAGCACATGAGCACATTAACAAGGGGTAGATAATTATTAAAAAGAGAAACATCGCAAGCAGCAAATGAAGTTCCAAAGTATTTTTTAAGTCATTATTTTAGCAACAAAGCCTTTTAAAAATATTATTACATTTCATTTAAATAATGGTTATATTATTAAAAACAATGAGAAAAGACAACAGATTCAATGTTGAAAAAAAATCTTGTAACATATTACCTGAACTTTTAATTAAGTTATTGCTCAGAATGTTTGTTCTTCAATGCCAGTAATGGCTCAAAGCGAGCTGGGTTAGAGCAAATGCTTTCATCACTGCAATAATTTTTTTCATAAATTCATAAAAAAGTACCTACCCTATCGGATAAGCCTAAATTCTCATCCATTTTAATAGCTTCCCAGCTGCCCAAACCATACTCGTAAATTCCTTTAAGTAGTGAACTATCATCATCTATGTTCCAGAAACAATCCCAATGAACTTTTTTAACAGGCTGATCAAGTCTCCACCTTAAAATCAAATTGAGAAATTATTGTGTATTAAATAATATTTAAATAAGAAATACATTAAACATTTAAATAAGTACTTGATCCTCTGGTCTTTCTGTAATCAGCCACCAAATGATATTTTCAGATGATTGAGTTTTCAGCTCTTTCAGATCTGGCTCAGCATTGTTTTCCATGATTTAATAGAATTTTTTAAACCATTATCTTTTTTCACAATGACTAAAAATCGTTACATGACTAGATAAATGGCCCGTTGATAAATACAACAGGCGAAACCAAATGCACCACCTCAACTTTAAATTTAACTGGAAACTAAAAATGTCAACAATAACAGATTTTTATCCATAATTGGTATTTTAACCAGATTTAACCTAGATCTACATGTAGTTACTACACATTCATACTAACTACAGTCGTAGTCATACCCCTAAACCTTGCAACTAAGCTCAAACTTATACCCCTAAACCTTGCACCTAAGCTCAAACTTTATAAAAGTCGCATTTAGTTTCTCTCAGGCAAAGCCCTCAAAAGAATGTCTACCACTATGAAGCAAAATAGAATTTATTATAGAAAATACACTTTTACCAGTGTCTCTGCCTTCCTACCCAAAGAGATGCCTGAAAGAAACTCAGACCACTTTTAAGATTAAATAAGTAAATTAGGTGGTAATGTTAGTTCCTTTATTATGAAGTATCGATGACAGCATTATCATGTATATTTTTTTCGGCATCGGCTTTTTAATGAATCAGTGACGTCATTTTATTTTGTGTACTTTTCCGGCTTTAGAGCTGTACATGTTCTTTTTTTTTAAAACTTCTTATATGTTACATATTTTCCTATAATTTCATTAACCCAACTTAATTTACAGAACATAAATTATACAAATGAGAAGGCTCGCTGAAATAAATTTGAGATTTTTATTTGATTTATAATTATCCTTTACGCTCCTTGAATTTCTTAGAGAAAAGTGTTAATATTTTTGTGATACAAATACCAAGCTTAGAAATAGGACCCATTTCCTTGGCACTCCTCCAATGAAGCCACATCTTTGAAGACTAAAACAGCCAGCTACAAACATGTACATGAGATATTGGTTACAATTGATATACTAACTTTTTTCGTTGTTCTTTATCCTCTGGTACAGCATCTGAAAGTGGCTTGAGATCCTCTTCAGCTTTCAAAAGAGACTGTGCATTAATACTCACACTTGCTATCTTAAAAGAGGGTCCTTTGTGAGTTTTCTTACCTACTAAAAAAAATTTTTGTGAAAAACATTTTTGCACACAGCCAATTGAAACTATTAGTTAAGGGGATATGCGCGAAAAAAAATCACAAAATTTCTTGTTTTTCGTGATGATGGGTTTCTTGCACTTTTGGATACTTTGTCCATTTTTGTATAAAGAAAATAATAACTTTAAAGAGAAAAAAATATTTTATGTGTTTAAATTACGATTTTTATGACCCTATTAATTAAAAAATAATCAATTTTTCCCAATCTTACAAGCTCTCTATAAAAAGTTTTATATCCGTCATTATATTGTATTTGACATCATTGGAAAGCTGGATTTCTCATGTATCTAATAAACTTAATTTCCGACATCTCGGAAACACTCAAAGCTTACAATCGGCTTTGCAGTTTACACAGATTTGGTACTTTTCTGACCTAGTTTTCGTTACTTTTGGCTGTTTTTCTCAGTTCGCAGGTTTTTAACACTAAAAAGCCTACTACTTTTTTATTTATTAAACAATGCAAACCATATTTTCAGTAAATGTTCTTAATGCAAAAATACAACTTTTGTCACGAGGGAATAGTGATTGCTTTCATAGAAAAAAAGTATTTGGTAATTAATATTCAAATTTTGAAACTTTTGAATACTAAAAAGGGTACGATTTTTTAGACCTTGTAAAATTCTTACTAGTAAATATTTCAAAAAGTTGTCGTGACAAAAGTTTTAATATATACTGAAATATAACCAGTTTAAATTTGATTGCTATAGGTGCATAAATAAAAAAGCCTTAGTATTTTTAAAAGTACCGAAAAATTCAAAATGGCGGAGGTTTTTTGGGTTTCCATGACAACCAAAATTGTTTTCGACCCTCTTTTTTGCTGTTTAGTACTTACTTTTATATGCCAAATATGATAAAATTATTCAAAAGGCTTTAGATCTTAAAGTGTAAAAAATAGAAAAAAACATAGCATATCCCCTTAATTTGTGTAGTCAGCTACTTAAGACAAATATAGATATATACCTTCTGGATTTGGATTTTCTTGAAGCTTTTGGTTGTGTTCCTTTGTCGCATCTTCACAAGCACGTCTTAAATATTCTGCTAATCGTCGCAAATCAGCTTCACTTTTTTCCTGGAGCTCTGCATCCTCTGCTATAGCGTCTAGCCTGAAAATACCAAACTAACTTTCTTAACCAATTACCACCTTCTCCCATTCAATCAATTTCAAAGTTGTGGGCATCATTGAACTAAAATATCTTTTAGTATACCTTTTTGAGAAGCAATTTTTTTAAAAAGATTTAAACTACATTTATATACTGTTTTTCAGGCATTGAATAAAAATTATTTTTAACAGTTTATGACCCAGAGCACCCAAAACCCTTGAGTCCCATAACACCTGTTTTAGTTAATACTTTTGGAAAGCCTAATTTAATTAAAACATTATAAAAAAAGTTTTTATTATCATAATTTTATACATTTACACTTACATGTTTTCTATACATGTCTATAACACAAAGCCCACCAAAAGTTGTGTTTATCTTGAAACATTCGATCCACAGAACGTACAATTTAGCATTCACACTTAAAGAACATGTTATAGAGCACTTTAGAAAAGAAACATGACATTTGACCTGAAGCGTCTGCTATAAATATGCATGTCAAACTGTTTTTTTTTAAATGGTCCCAGACCTTTTTTGAAAGCTGTTATGTGAAGAACTCAAGATTCTAAGTAAGTGGATTTTTTTCATATATCTCAAGTATTAAAATTTTATGACATTTTAAAATTTTAGTTTTTGATTTTTTCCCCACATCCTAAAAAGTGCCTTTTTTTTTAAACCTCAAAAATTAGTACTTTTAAATTAAGTGCATTGAAATTGGGTTTTCTCACTTTTTGATGAAATAAAAATATCTCCAAACTTTTCCAATGATAAGAGTATTCTTGATAAGCAGGCCTATAACATTATGTAAGGACAACGATTCTTTGAATTTAAGTAACCTGTATGCATATAACATGTACGTTTAAAATACATGTTTAATCAGAAGTGTGCATGGGTTCACAATCTGTCCAAAAAAAATTTTTAAAAACATTTTTGACTCCTACAGTACAGCTGACTATATCGAAATTCAGAATGACCATAGCTCTTTGCGTCTGTAACAGTGCAAGGGTCCCATAAAGAAAATATTTTTTGCCTAAATAATTATTAGTCTCTAGAAACTGTAGTGGATTTAAAAGTAAAAATATTTATTTAGAATGCCTCAGTCCTATATGTGTCCACTGGTTATGTGTAATTTACGACGTTGACTCCTATTTCAGCCTGCTTTTCTTTTTAGATTTGCTTTCATAGCCTTTGTCCAACCAACAACATACTACAAGGCAGCAGTTTGATTTTGGAGTTGTCTCCCCAGCTATCAAGCCTCATCTGCCACAGGGTTCGAACTGGAGACCTTATCGGTTTAGCAACCATGAGCTTTACCAACTCGACCATGCCAACCGTAAATTGAATAATCGTGATATGGTAGGGCAACACCAAAATGCACTTGCTTATTTTCATACAGCATCTTAACATTCTTAACTATAGCATTTAAAAATGTGATAAATTATCCACATTAAATGGACGCCATCATTTTTTAAGTACAAATATCCCTTGTGCAACTGCCGATAAATAATCATCTCGGTGATAGTTTTTAATTGATAAATGAGGTATGTTGTGTAATATTATCAACTACTAAAATTACACAGAATTAGAGTGCATAAAATTTACTTTTTAATGGTTCTAAATTTATTACTATATAGTATAGTATATATACTAAAGTTCCCCCTCCATACCTAACAGTCTATGGGGCAAGTGAAGTAGAGTTCACCTGTTTCTGTGACCTTGGCATATAAAGGGATAGTGTGGTGAGCAATATGCCCAGCCCTACTTTCCCTAATGCGAATTAGGTACCCATCAGAGCTGGGCGGATTCAGGGACAGTCAACTGACTTGAACCCGGATTCAAAATTGAGACGTTTAAAAATTTAAAAAAAAAACACCATTCAATATTTGAGAGGGATGTTTTGCTACAATGGTTTTTATATATTTGCGTTTTTAAAGACATAGTGGTTTATAAAATATAACGCTCAGCGACAAAAAGAAAACTTTGTCCCAAAACACAAAAAAGGATCCTGGTTTTGTGCCCAGCAAGTCAGAAAATGTTCCTTATACCCATAACATGTTTCGTAAACATATAAGTAGGTCATGTCATAACCGTAAACACAGTGTAAGACTTAAATTTTGGTGTGAAAGGGTTAGCTTGTTCATGCAGAGTTGTGCTTCTTACATTGGGAATTCAAGGGTGGTGTTTTGGGAGAATGAAAAGGTCATTAATAGGTAATACCTTTTCAAAGGAGCGGCAAACTTTTTTATGCTTTTCACAAAACGTCTTATTTCAGCATTAGAGAATCCTCTAACACCATCTTTTGTGCCACCTCTAGGTCTTCCTCTTTTACGAGGCTGATCTTCATCATCTTCCTCTTCTTCCTCTTCACTGGCTTCACTTTCTGACTGACCTTTTTTTTTTCTTTTTTTCTTATTGTCTTTATCTGAATCATAGTCAACTTGAAGCTGTGAAAAACATGGAATTTTCATTATTATCTTTAAGCTTTTCTACAAACAGCAGACAGAATTGGCAGAATTTTACCCGGTACTCATATCATCATTAATAGCCAGACAGCGACATCACAAAAAGTTTTGTCTACTGGCCAACCCAGCTCACCCTCTGATTAACTTTAGTTTAGACCAGTGCTACTCTGCTTGCTTGCATGGGGGGGGGGGGGGGGGGGGTAAACGAGTAAACGCACTGAGACTTTGTAAGTAGGAAAACAAGGACATTGTGTTCAAGTTTTAATTTAAAATGAGTTACTTTTTAAAACCAGATTTTTTATATCGCAAATTTAATTTCTAAATTCTAGACTTTCGACAAATTCTAGTATCTGCACAGTATGGTTTCAAAAAAGTTGCCTTTATTTTTTATTTGTCAAATAGAAAATGGATCAATCTAAAAAATTTCTGATTTTCTTTGAAAAAAGTCTGTTAGTAGTAAAAATAATTTTCTTAGGCAGAAATTTTTGTTTTACAACAGAAATAGCGGAATATTGGAAAAAGACTAGAAATGTGTGCAAGGGCATTTTAGTTTTCTTAAATCAAGCAAATAAAGACATTAGCAAAGAATGACCACGTGATAAAACATTTTCCCACAAAATATGACCAAGTGTATGTATAACTGATCTCTGTTTGAGCATTTTTCTGTTTGCACACTTCCATTTGTGCAGTTTTCCATTTGCGCATACTTTTTTCTAGGAACCAAATTTACCCTGAAACTTTTGTATTTTCACATCCAAGTTACTACATAATAATTATGCATAATCAGTCTGTTGAAATGTTAAACTTCACTGTGCATAGCCTGACTGATTTTAAATTTTTTCATAACCAATTTCCTAATTCCCCAAGGAGAAAATATTTTATAATTTCCTCATTTTTAAGTTTTTTTATTTTGTGGGACTTTGAAACCAAAATTTAAGTTAAAAATGTAAGACAGTAACCACCTGTTTTATAGTCTTTCTATTTCTAGGTCCAAGTTCTAAGTCTAACATCTTCTGTTGTCTTTCTTCTTCTTCCATTTTCAGCCTTACATCTTCTGGGATAATTTCATCCCAATCTTTTCCTAAAACAAAGTGAAAACCAATTTAAATCAAGGAAAGGAAGTAACACTGAGAAAAAAGCTATTCTTCAAGAAGGTAAAAATTATCCTCTCAAATCATTACTAACCTTCTTCACCAAAACTGGCCCGAGAAGTCTCAGTTTCTTCTTCTAAATTACCAAAACTTGCAACTTTGAACTGAGACAAAAGTTCATCTCCAACTGTATTACTTTCTGTTTCATGCTCCTCAGCACGATTTAATATGTCGTCAATATCTACCTATCAATAGAACATTAAAATAAAATGATTTTTCTACTTCTTTCATACAATGAGAAAAACTTAAGTTTTGTCCGCTACCTTTTCTTAGTAGGCACCATTTTTGTTGGGGAAAAAAATGTATTGTAAAATGCAAGGAAAATAAAGTTATATTAACTTGAACTTTCTCAGAAATGTATAAGCAATAAAAAGACTTTTGTAACAAAAATTTTTGAAACTTTTTTTAGCATTTGTTGCTACTCGAAATGGGAAAAGTAACAGGCCAAAATTTTATAATTAATATAATTTCAACATTTAAACTTTGTTTAGAAATGTGAGAAACCAATGTGGCTATGGGATACCCAACATTATCTATCTATATATATAATTCTCTTCTGGGAGCCGTTAGAAAACAAGCTGCAAGCGCCTCCTTGCAGTCCCCTCTCTTTCTCTCTATCACTATCACTACCACCCCCACCCCACCCCCACATTGTCTGGTGAGCGGTGTTCACTCTAAATGTTTACAAAGCTAAATGTTTACAAATCGTAGAGCCGGGTTTCTATTAGGGGCAGATAATTTAGTTCGATTTTAAACTTACAGGAGGTAACTAAGAAATAACTAAGAGGAGGCTGCTTTCACGGGGGGGGGGGGGGGGGGGTGTAGGGTCGGGGTTAGGGGAAAGGGGGGGGGGGGATAGTGTTTTAAAGCAAATATTTTCAGTGGCAGCATTGGTACTGTCGAATTCACAAATCATGAATTACTGAAAAGTAGAAAATAAAACAACTAAACAGCAGCGTATAATACGCTGCGGGTCGGCTCGTTTGTTTTAAACTTAGAGATGCACCCCTTTGTTCGGTCAAGTATAGATATATTTCAGATTTCTTTTACCAGGGATGTGACCAGACCATGAAAAAATAAGACGTTTATCGGACAAGAACTCATAATATTTTTATAGCGCAATTAAAGCAGTCCCATGCTGTTACTGTACTAATTAATTGTTTAACATAACTAATATTTTAAATAAAAGAAGTTTATGTTACTCTAAAATAAAACAGTCTTGTCTAATTGCAATTTAATGATTACCTTATAAAACGTTTTTTAATTTAATTTTACAATGTAAGTTTTACTTTAACATTAAGCTAATATAAACTATAATGATCTAGTTCAGGGGTCTCCAAACTACGGCCCGCGGGCCGGATGCGGCCCGCGAAGTCCTCTCATCCGGCCCGCGGAGATCTTTTTGTCCAAGGAAAAATCGTCTGTTGGTGATGGCTGAGGAATTTTGCCCAGAAAAATCAAAGACATGCCTGGAAGAAACTGGCCCCAGAACTGAAATTTGATGGGTAATACGGCCCTCGGACTGAAAAGTTTGGAGACCCCTGATCTAGTTGTATGCTTGTTTTCAATTTTGAATTATGCCTTATAATGTAAGGTACATTCTTTTAGAGATGGACCTAGATTTAGATTTTACCACCCCCCCTACCCTCCATCATAAAAGCCATACCAACCCCTAAAAATGATGTCACACCTCAGCCAACAATCACCCACCCCCCTTCCCCCTCAAAATTAATTTTTTTTAAACATCGATTATTTTTTATAAAATATTGACTGAGCTCGACCAATATAGTATATTTTAATCAATTTCTATTACAATTTATTTAAACAGTTTTCTAAAACGTTCAATAACCAGTAAAATTCAGTAACAGTACTTTTTAAAATGCACTAATATGACATCACACTATCTGAACCCCCCCCCCCTTCCCAATCATCACACGTCACTAAATACGTTGCCGTCGTCTAACTACTATAATACTCTATTTTAAAAGGAAAATGTGGAATGCGTGTGTAGGCTGTTTCCATAGAAATCATTTTTGTTTGTTTTTTTCAAATTTTAAAAACTTCCTATTTAAAATGGGGGAAAAAATGAAAAATCAGCACAAATTTTAGGAGAAAATGTAATGAGCAGAGGAAAATTGCAGCTGAAACAGAAAAATTGGCAAAGTCACATCCCTGCTTTTACACAAGTCTAGCTAAAAAAAACATTTTATAATATAAAACAGATCACAAAACAAAATTTTTCAACAGTAATCGCTTCTGCAAAGTAAATGAAGTTTAACTAAGAATATAGGAATCAGTATAGTGAGAATGCAGTGGATTAGTTACATAATTTTGAATTCATATTGTTTATTAGTTTACCTGTTGCTCTTCCTCATCTTCATGATCTTTTTCTTTAAACAACTCTTCTGCTCCAAATTTTAAAATAGCACACAACTCTTCTTTGCTAAATGGAACAGCACTGAAATTTATTTAAAAAACCAATTAAACACAAATTTGTGATACAAACTGTCTAAGAATATGTGTAAAGCATAACTGTAAAAATGAACTAAATTTTCAAAAACCTGGAAGGTGCTGAGCCTCTGTCTAAAACAGTTCTGCCAGTAGTGTCCATCCTCTGAATCACTAAGTGATCAAGCACCATTTTCTTTTTGGCACTTTCCACAATTTTTTCTTCAACAGTAGAACTGGTAACCAACCGGTAGACACTGACCTAGTCATAAGTAAACAATGTTTTTAGTCGTTAAACTGCTTAATTGATAAAGAGAACATACATTACAAAATATTTAAATCTGATCACTTAGCCAGGAGAGCAAATTCATTCATCAGTGATTATTTATTTTACAAGTGGAAGCTCCACTTACTTGTCTTGTTTGACCAATACGATGAGCTCTAGCCTGAGCTTGCAGATCATTTTGAGGGTTCCAGTCACTGTCAAAAATTATTACAGTATCTGCAGTGGCCAAGTTTACACCAAGACCACCTGCACGAGTTGATAATAAAAAGCAAAAGTCCTGCAATAATTAAAATAAAGTAAATTATGTAACAAATTTGCTGTAAAACAACAAAACATACTGAAACAATTACTTTTCAAGACCTGAAGACATAGGATTAGTATAACTAAAGGAAATAAGTTGTATTGCAAAACCTAATGTTTGGAACCCAACATCCCTCTTAACCACACATGGCTTAAACAGAACGTATTACCAGTAATTTCACCAGTATAATATTTGAATATAGACTACAATGCTAATTACCTGAGATCCTTCAGCATTAAAATGATCTAATGCTTGCTTTCTTAAATCTCCCCTGATCGTGCCATCAAGTCTCTGAAAAATTGATAAAATGTTAGAAAGAATGAATAATTTTATGTAAAGTAATGATTGGTGAACAATGCCAAAATACTTACTTGATACTGAAAATGTCTGCACTGTAGATATTCAGCTACTATATCAAGCATTCTGACCATTTGAGAAAATATCAAAACTCTGTGTCCTGTTTCTTTTAACCTCACCAGCAATTTATCTAGCAACAATAGTTTCCCACTACCTCGCAGGAGAATCTAAGAATATTGAAATATTTTGACATTAAGATCCACTAATTTGATTAGTCACCTAATTAAATGGTAGGCATGTTGAAAAGAAGAGATGACACAAAACCTGTCACATAGAAAAATCTTTTAAAAAGTGAAAAGCTAAAAAAATGTTGACCAATTATTTCAAGTAAAACAAAATACTGTTACTTAAAAAAGTAATACAAAAGTAAAGTAAAACCTGTAGTTTATCTTTATAGGCTGGCTCTTCTTCTAATGGCACTACCAAATGAGCATGATTGGCACATTTTTTCAATTCCATCATTATGTTAGCAAATGATGATACATTTCCACGCAATCCCTTCATCAGCGTGCGAAACTCTCGCTTTAAAATTGCCCTGCAAAAAATTAAAAGATGGGCGTCGGCAGTGTTTTATTGTGAAATTTTCTGCCTCTCCCACTACTTGCCTCTTCAACCCAATATGACCTTTCTTCAGTTCATAACAGCAGGGTTCACTTATTTATATTAATAAAGATGCTTGTAATTGTTATTTATAGAAGTGGATGTAAAAATGTAATATTTTTTATGAGATGTCTTATTTTTACTAAAATCATTTGAAACATAAATACAACGGCTTAAGTTCAAAAATATTTTCCATTTTAAATCTGTCCCACTTTTAAGTTTAAAAATATATCGAAATGGATATATTTAATTTTACTTATCATTAAAACACTATATTCAAGTTATAAATTCATACTTAACATACAAAATCTGTCTTCCTAAAAAAATTTCAACTAAAATGAAAAGTTCGTTAACAAACCTGTAATAGGTCTTTTGTAACGATGATAACTCAACACGCAAAATTCTCTCAGTTTTTGCAGGTAGTGATTTTTCTACATCTTTCTTCACTCTTCGCAAAAGATATGGTTCCAGCTGCTTGTGCAAGGACAAAAAACCTCTACCTTCTTCATGTGAATGTTTGTCCTCAAAATCAGGCCAATTATCAAAACTAAGAATACAGAAACAAGAAAATTGGAACAAAAAATAGAAGTGTGATTAATAGCATTGTGTCCTTTTTTAAGGGCAGCAGCAGAATATTATAGTGTCAATGTAGACTAGAAATGTTAACTCAATGGCTAAGGGGGGGAGGGGCATCTAAATGGAAATTGTTCTATCCATATTTATTTCACGTAAATAATCATAGAAAGGGAGGAGAGAATATATAATTGGAATGAGCTGCATACTTTAATGGGCAAGTATATTTATTTCAGTTAATTTAAATCATACATGGTTACACTTACACATTAGGCATTATGAAATGCAGGAGTGACCATAATTCTTTGAGTGAATTTTGTAATGGTGTGCCTGTAATAAGAATTCTGTGGTTTGTATCAAATGTTTCTAAAGATCTGTATAATAGCGAATCATCATTCTTTAATCTGTGAGCTTCATCAACACCAAGGAATGCCCATGATTCTGCAGCTAAAAATGCCTAATGACACATAAAAGACAACAGCATTTAGTGAGAGGCACTGAAACTCACTTCAACCAATACTACTTTGAATAACTGTATATACTTGTCCATCCGAGAACTTTTAAAGATTATTTTGGAGAAATATGATGTAGCCTTTTTTATGAGCAAAGCACTGTTAATTTTATTTTTTAATTTAACAGTTAATGACACTAGATAATAATTTAAGTCAAACCGTACAGCAAGTTTGCACACAAGATTTTGTATTTGAGTTTATTTGTAGGAAATATCTTTTTAGATATAGCACTAGAAGTTATGGTTATGTCATTAATAGTTTATGAAATGTAGCCCGAGAATAAAGTAATAATTTAGTAAGCTGAATAAAAATGTATAGATTTCACATATTTAATTACAGACACCATAGTATAATAGCTATAAAATTATACCAAAGTTGACAAAGCCCAAATTAAAATTAAAATGTTGAATATTTAAATAATTAACGCAAAGGCAACGCAAAATATTTAAAAAAGCTTGAAAATAACTATTTTTCCAAAAATTACATTGATGTTCAATGTCTATCACAATTTTATATAATTGAAATGTCATGATACAGTTTACGCTTTATGTTCATACTATAATCTACATCACATTCTGTTTTGAAGTTTATTTTAGAGCAATTTTTACACTGGACTTTTGATTTGGGATTGAACACACAAAACTTAGGAACAAGTATATACAGTACTCAAGGATAAATTTGTTAATGTTTAAAATTAATCACAAAGGTAATTAAAATATTATAAAAAACTTTTATTTAACACCCCAGAGAAATACTTTATAAAATATAGAGAAATTATTGTAATAATTTTTCTTAACAATTACAGTCAAACATTCATTTTATACATTTGTCTCATCAATGTAAAGATAATTAAAAGTCCAAACTTATGGTAATAAAGCTAAAAAAAAAAAAACCAGTAATAGGAAATACTAAATAGCTAATGTTCATAATTTAGGACTTAATATATAAAAACTACATAATATGCTAAAACTTACCTTATCTTTCAATAAAATTTCATAGGTTGTGATTAGTGCATTAAATTTCAACCTTTTATTTCCAGGGTGTCTCCACTCCTGGTCTCTAATCTAAGGAAACATTTTAATATCCATTACAAATTACAGCAAATGTCAAACCCAATTGTTAAATGAAGAACCAAAATTTAAGTTAACAATACTTTTTGTGAAGAAAAAAGCATTCTACTTAGATTATAATTACCACAGTTCTGCTTATGACATCTCCAATATACACAATGACATTCATCTCTGGAGCCCATTTTTCAAATTCCCTTTGCCAGGCCACAACCGTTGATAACGGCACCACAAGCAAAAATGGACCGTATAAGTGATGTTGGTTAAAAAGATAGGTAATAAAGCTTATAATCTGAATGGTTTTTCCCAAACCCATTTCATCAGCAAGAATGACACTGTGCTCCCTGCAAAAGTTTTATTTGTTTAGATTCAACATGCAATTTTAAGGACTACTAAAGCCTACTAAAACCAATATTTTTGTAAAATAGGTTTTTTTATGAAGTGTTGAATCTATATATCTATATATACATATATAATTTGTATATAACAAACATACTTGCACCATGAGTGTATTAACCAGTTCAGACCATCTAGCTGGTAGTCCCTTAAAACCAAGTTTTCAACACCACCTAAATAAGATGGTTGGCTTTTTAAAGGGGCAAACTTTGGCCGCACTTTTAGTACCTGGTCAATAATATTGATATTTTATTAGAACTAAATTCATTTGGTTCAAAATACAGGAATAAAATTTCTACAATTCCTACAAATATGAAATAACCTACACGAGTTAATTTGGTAGGGATACACTGAGACTTGTTTCTTGCTAAATATTTATCAATGTGATTCTGAAAGAGTTTAGATGCCAGCTCTCCATCTTCCCATGTACACTCTGCATATGGTAACCCTTGCCACTTGCACATATATTCAGCAGATCCATTATTTTCTTTACGATGACCTGTTAAGTTGCAAAGTTAAAAAAAATTAAATACGTTAGTTGTCACATTCTATTTCCAGTTATATTGCTTTATTGTAAAATCCTGGGTTTAAGATCTTAAGAAATAAAATAATTTAAAATTACTTACAAATAATTCGCTCTACTATTTTATGTGATTCTATAAGGTCTTGCATCATCTCTTGTTGGCAATCATAGTATTCAACATCTTCTGGAGTCGCATTTTCTTTCCTAATTGAGAACAATCAATTCAGTTAAAATTTCCTATTATCAATAACTTGCAAAAACTAAACTTTTACAACTAAATAACCATTAATGTTTGTTTATCATTCTAATGAGTCCTGCCTTCTTAACACATAAGAAATAATGAGCATTGTTCTAAAAAATATCAGAATAAATACACAACTTTTATTTATGCGACAGCAGAAGTGGCTCTTGGAAAAAACATTGATAATTTTTATCTTAAAGAACACATTGACCTCCAACAAATTAGATCATTATCATCTAAAGCAATGCATTTTACTACAATAGAAAAGACATCAATTATGGATCCTTACCATTCTCTTATCTCTGCTTCCCTTTTCATAAAGTTTTCCAATTTTTTTATTCCATTAACTTTTTGCTCTCTAAGTGAGGCTTCTGTCTCCCATGTATTATGGATATGGGACCAGCCCTTCCACTTAATAAGATACTGTGTTTCCTTTTCTTCTTTTTCTCCTTCTTTTAAAGGTGTTAGGTTAGGGTCACTGTTTTCCCTGACATTATATAAAGTTGTCTTGTGCCCAGTTGCTATTAAGTTAGGGGAAAATTCAAAATTAAAAAGTTGATATTTTTGTGTTTCAAGATGTGTGTGCTATCAGTAAAATGAGGAAAATCTATCATTTATTTATCAACAGGTCACACAAGGTATTTTTTTTTTAAATATTACATCAGAATTTAAGTATAGCACGCTTTTTTACTTTCTCGTATTTACAAAGTATAGAGAAAGCTTTTAAAAAAAAAAAAATTAACATTTTTGCAAATCTTGACGTTTTACATGTCCCTGAGTCGGATAAACATAGTTTTGCAACCTTGTCCCTTTGTCTGTCTGTCTGTGTGTCTGTAAACACGATAACTTGAGTACCGTTACAGCTAGGCTGATGAAATTTCATATATAAGTATTTTATCAAAATCGTAGATTCGTATCAACTTTTGAGCGATTTCTGATCACTTGAAGTGATACTTTTTCTACTTTCAATTTTTCAAAAGCCTATAACCTGAGTACTATTTCAGATAGATAAATGAAATTTCACATGTAAATAAAAGATCTAATTCTCTGCCTTCTGTCAAATTTTGAGTAATTTCCGTTGACCGGAAGTAGTAGTTTTTGCTATTTCTGATTTCTCAAAAAACACATGTGAATTTATAAAGTAGGCCTACTAATAATATTCTGCACTATTATGCACATTTTATTTGGCGTTTACTTGGTGTGCAATTCTTTTATCTACGAGATTTTATTCTATTTTAAAAAGTTTAAGTATTTAAAATGGATTAAAAATCATGTCTGTATCCCGAGTTGCCATCCCCTGTTGTTTCATATAAGAATATTCGAGAAAGTTTAGGGGAGATCACTTCCGGTTTATTATAAAAATTTTGAAGCATGGTTTTTGAATACATACAGTGGTAACAATTTTTCACTAAACAATAGTTATTATTTTCAAACTATCATTCTCAGGTATGTGACCAGACCAGGAAAAAATATTAGGAAATTTTCTTAAGACAAGAACTCAATGTTTTATCATTTTTTAATATCGCAGTTAAAGCAGTCTCACACCGTTACTGTACTATTTAAATGTTTAATGAAGCGAATATTTTAAATAAAAGAAGTTTATGTTACTCTTACACTCTAAAATATCAATGAAAGTCTTGTCTAATTGCAATTTAATGTTTACCTTATAAACAACCTTAAAATTATGTTTTTTACAATGTAACAAAAGTGGCAATTAAGTTTTACTTTAACATTTAATTTAAACTATACTAATCTAGTCAAGTTGTACACTTGTTTTCAATTTTAAATTATGCCTTATATTTTTTTTAAAGATTGGCATGGTAAAAATGTTTGTCTTCAACAGTAAACAGCCTAGATTTAGATTAATTATAATTTGAAAATATTAGGTTCATGTGATGGAAAATGAAATGGACCAGATAAGTTGAAACCATTTTAATAGCCAAACCACATCGTTATTTATGTTTTTGGAATAGTTGTAAATTGTTAGGGGTCATCCATGAATGACATAACGTTTTTTGGATGATTTTTACCTCCCCTCTATGCTGTCACAAAAGTCAGACTCCCCCCTAAAAGACAACTCAGCCAACAACTGCTACCCAATACCCCTCCTCAAAATTGAATTTTTTTAATCACCGTCTTTTCCCTCCAAAATATTGACTGAGCTCGACCAACATAGGGTATTTTAATAAATTATTTTAAAAACAGTTTTCTAAAACGCGTAATGGCGACTAAAATTCAGTTTCTAACATTACTTTTTTAAAATACAAAATTATGACGTCACACAATCTGAACCCCCCAATCACACATAACAAAATTACCACCACCCCCCCCCCCCCTTACGAGTGTGACATTTATTGAAGATGTGACCTACTTAGGTCTTTTTTACTTTATTTATATTTAGTCTCCTGAGTTATGTGATTGACCTTGGGAGAATTGTTAGTTCACCGGTTCACATCGGTCAACTGAACTCCGTCACGTCATGTGAATGGATTGTTTACTCCTATAACAGTTAAATGTTTATGAATGAATGTTGGGAGTGTGTGTGTTAAAAAAAAGGCGAATTGGATTCAGGGAGACAGTGGGGGTGTGCGCATGCGCGAAAGGAAAGGAAGCGGGAGGTAGAAGGCGGCAGAACAAGAAAGATGACGAAACTGAGTCGTGTTTGTTGAGTAGTGTAGTTAAGTGTAGCTGCTGAATATCAGTCTGAATATGTAGATCTAATATTAATAAAATTGTGAAATCTCCAGTAATGTGGTTGGTATTTCCTTTTAGTTTATATCGTGAACCCAGTCACACTAAAAGGTTGTGACAACTCCCTAACAGATCCTCGACTAATGATCTTGCGACCGGGAGGATCGCTAACAGATCCTCAACCAATAGTCGTGGGACTTTTGAGTGATTTCCCCTAATATTGAGATGTATTTAATCTGGTACATTTCATGTCTAGAAGGCAGCCAGATTGACCTTTGGATAGGAGAGAGATGTTGCCGTATGTTTGGGCGCCATTTTCAGTAGTGTAGTTTTGTGGGATGTTTTATCACCTTTGTATAAGGTATTGTGTGACAAGTTGTAATATTACTGATATTTTGTTCTGGTGTATAGTTGCACCCTATGTCACATCGGTGATAGGTTGACCTTTTTTTGGTTTTCTATTGTAGTAGAGGCAATATGTCTCTTCTTGATATTTGTGGTATTTATAATGCCATTCAGTTGTGTCAAGTAATGTTCTTTAATGGTGTTTAATATACTAAGCCACAGCTGTGATATATAGTGATTTTCTTTAACTGTAAGTTGGAGTTTTGAGCTTATTTATTGTACTCTTAAAAAGTCTGTACATTTTGTACAAACCTAGTGTCATAGTCTTGTACACTTATTAAAAGGGTATTGACAGTTTAAGTAGTGTTGAGTCTCTTCGATTTGTGTTTTACCCCTAGACATCAATAACGAGCTCACGGCAAGTTGTTGGGATTTCATTAGTGTGACTTCTGTCAGTGCCATCCCAAACGAACCCGGGGTGTCCGCTCCCTCCGTGGCTGTCGGAGAGCGGCCATTACAAAGACCCCTTATTAACAGTCTGTATCGTATTTTTTCTTCCACAAACAAGACACGGTTGAAGTCACGGTGGGTTCAGTTTTTTTTTTTTTAAATCTGTTGGCTATTTGAAATTGTGATGTCATTTTTATTTCCGCCCCCCCCCCCCCCCCCACAAGCAGCACCAAACACGTACTCGGGGTCATGTTGTGGTCACAAGAGCCACCGTTGCTACAGCAGGGGCGGGTTAGTCTTATCCTCATCGTCACCTTTTGCAAGGATTTCAATATTAATTTGAGATTATGAAATAAAATAGAATCAGAGAGAAACTAGATTTGGGTGGCTTAAAATACCGATAGATAAATTATGCTACATCAATAGCTAGATTACCAGGCTTGGGCGATGTAAGTATTGTAAGTTTCATTTGAAGAACAGCATTATTTTAGAGTACTTTTTCCCGTGTTTTTTTTTAATAAATATTTAATTGACAATATCAGCGGAAAATTTGGACTAAAAAATGTGCGTTCTGAAAAAATTGTAAATCCGCCGAAACTCTGAATCTTGACCTAGATCTACATTTCATCTTGATTTAGCACCGTCACACCTAGCGCATATTCAAGTGTCCGTTTGACTTAAGTGCTGCAAGTCTCGATTTAAATACGAACAAGTGGAAAGCGCACGTCGGCTGTTTCCGTAGTGGTCATTTCCATTTTTTTCCCTAATTTTTAAAACTCCGTACAAAATTGGCAAAATCAAAAATCGGCGAAAATGAAATCAGCGGAGGAAAATTGCAGCTTAAACGGAAAAATCAGATTTCGGATAAAATTCGGAAGTCACATCCCTGCATTCTAAAAAAATGCAGGATGAGTGTTTAAGATATATACCTCCTTTCCTTCCAAGCCGAACTTCTAGCACTTTTTCAATTGTTTCTCTGTTTTCTTCTTCAATATCTGCTAATGGAGTGGTTGCTTCAATAATATCGTCTGAATCTGTAGCTTCGTCTGTGTCTTCCTTATAGCTTAAAATTTAAAAAAAAAAACTCATACTTTCAAGTTTATGGGAGTAAAACCTAAGCTGTTTCATTTGATATAACTCATTTGTAAAAACATTCTTAAAAAGAAAAAGCCTGAAAAAAATCAAAATCACTTGCACACTATTTTGAGAAACAATTCAAATAAAACTAATTTTGCCAATAAACTACAATGTGATCCTGTGTTAACTACAGAATCTAAAAAAACCATCCATCTCTATAGAAAAGGAAAAAGGTTTTAAGTTTATGTTGTAATTTAAAAATGTAACAATTTATGAAATTAAAAAAAAAAAAGCTTTAAAATTTCTACAATATAATTATATGCAGTATTTTTTAAAATCCTATTTACTAGCAGATATCAATTGTAGAAAAAAACTATGAAGAAAAAGACAGCCATAAAGAAGTCATTTTACTGAATACAGTATTGATTACTATATAAATGTAATCATTTTGTGTGGCATTACAATGCAATTAAAACATGTAAACTTTATTTACTGTACTATCCACTTTATTCACATAAACATATTACTAATGCATTGCTCAATGGTCTACCAGTAGCAGCAATGTTTCAATAGAATAAGCCAGCGAGATCATTTTTCAATATCATAGATTAAAATTTCACCAAGTTCTTGGGAAGAGTAAATGAAATACAAGAGATTGCTAACTCCCTGTCTCTGTATCAGTCAAATACTACCAAAAACAAACGCAATGTCATATTCACAACATCCTAATTCTGTTGCATATAACAGATAACTACTGCCTTTAAAACTAGTACTACAAACAAATACAGGAGGTCGATACCCACAATACAATCAACTTTTAGAGTAATTGAAAGATGAAAGTGTCATAACAATTTTATACATGATTTTAAAAATAAATGGTAACTTCTTAGGTAATTTTGTTTTAGTGCCTAGTTTAATAATATCTTGATACATTTTGTTGTAATAACAATAACAGCTGACAACATTTATTTTTAGACTACAACTTATATAATTTTACAGCCATGAATAGATGTTGCATTGTAAAAATGTTTGCCACTTTAAGAACAAAACTTGATGTAACTTTACTATCCTCTTTAGCTGTAAAATCTATCTTCAAATGTTGTCAGATTTTTAAAAATTATTTCCTTATAATGAACTAGATTTCATTAAAAGTTAGATAATTCAGGTCATTTTTATGGAAACTGTATTTTTATAGCTTGTTTAGGTTACAACGAAAACCATTATATATTTATTAGTTGATCTTTAAATCAACCATGGGTTAATTAAAAAAAAAATTACTTCAGCATATATAACTGGCCAATGAATTACTTCAGCATATTTAACTGTTCAATATATGACTTCATCACTTTTAACTGGCCAATATAAAAATGTTCAATGATAGATAATGCAGTATTTCCCCCAAATAATTTATGTAATTTTCCAGGATAAAATTTGTGAATTCAAGGTCAACTCATAAAAATGTAAGTAGACATTTTAAAAGTTGCCTGTTGTATAAATTAAGAATAAAAATAAGATTTCCTAACAAGAGATCCGACACTACTCTAGTACTTATTGACTATGGCAAGACTGCTATCAAGATATTTATATCCACAAAAAAAACAACTGACAGGGCATAATAAAATATACATCTACATGTATACATTTAAAAGTCCACCAAGACAGCAAGCTAGTTACAAAACTGAAGCCCACTATCTTACCTAACTTTCTTTTTACAAGCTTTGTGCCTGATTGGACGGTTATGATACTTGCTCCTAGTTTAAAACAAAAACATAAATTTTACACTTAATAGTAAAGTGGTGGGGAGAAGAGACCTTAGAGAACAACTCTTCTATTCAACAGAGATAATGTAAATCAATATTGAGAACTAATATCTTTTTTCTATTTTAGATCAAAGCAGATCTATAATAGAAATAAAGAATTCAGACTTTTTTTGTTACATGAAGTTTTTACTATCAATATTTAAAGACACTGACAAGAAATAGCACTTTTTGCACATGATTTTATGATTCATTAAATATATTCAACACTTTTGTTCACTTTAAAAAAAAATTGAGGGTTTAAATTTAAGGATACGCTGAAGTTTAAATGAATTTATCAGTGATGATAAAGCAGATTAATGATTTAACAATTAATTTTTCCTAAACATTAACATAATACCAACTAAAATTTAGTTCACGTTCTTTTCCCAATAAATTGAAAAAACCAAAAAGGTTTTAAAAAAATTTCTAAACGAGGAAATAAACTTCACTAGAAGTTATTTTAAAAAAGCTGAAAATAGAGTGATGATTGGTTTATGAACAGTTCACTGTAGCATTTACAATTTTAAGCCTAAATAACATAATATTGGCACATTATAATCTACTTAACTTACAATCATGACTTAGTGGATAAACTTACTGGATAAACTTATTTAAAATGGGTTGTTGTTTTACAAAGTTTAAGGGAAGAAATGGTGGTCAGTTTTGATGTTTTATAAAAACTGCTATTTAGTTGTTTTTATTTTCTTCTTTTCAGTAATACATAATTTGTGAATTGGACACTACCAACAATTGCTGGGACTGAAAATATTTGCTTTAAAGCACTATCAGTAGCTTGCGAAGTACTATTATCACTCTCTCTCCCCCCCCCCCCCCCCCCCCCCGTGAAAGCAGCTGCCCCTTTAGTTATCTCCCCTTAATTTCAAACAGTTTTTAAAAAACTAAATTATCTGCCCCTAATAGCATTTGGCAACCACAACTCACCAGACAGGAGAGTGAGGGAGGGGGCGGGAGGAGGATTAGATAGTCTGCTTGCGTCGTGGTGTCCACGAAGAGAATTATATATATGGATGAAAATTTAAGATTCAAGACCAAAGCTAATATTTGTATGACATTGCTTTTTTTATTTGACATATGTGACAGATAGTATTATTTGATGTTTTGTTGCTAATATGTTGTATAACTCAAAAATTCTGTCATCATTGGTCTTTCCTATGAGTCCATAATGTTTTAAGGAATCGATGTCACACTTTTAGCATTAGAAAACTTTGGAAATCATACAAACCTAACTTTCTGAGCACTTTTCCTTTGTGGTACTGGTCTGCTGTAAGAGTCACTATCATCTGAAGATTCTGAAGATGATAGGTTTTTACTCCTGGCTTTTATTCTGGGTGCTACCCGTGTTGCACGCTTTCTAGATGATCGAGGGGGTGCTCGTGTCCTACAAATATTAAGCAAATCGTCAACCTATTCATATACCACTGGGAATTTTTTTAAGTAGAAAAACATGTTGAATAAAACAAATATAAAAACTATTTAAAACTGTAAAAATTGAAATAATAAAACAAAAATAAACCACAACTTGCTTTCTTTAGTAAAAGCATTGGATGCTAATTAAACTTACAAATGTACATTTGCTTTATTTCTACTTAAAATAGTAAAGCGATATTTAGATTTTAGCAACTACTTGATTACATTCCGTAAATTCTTAATGAAGTTACGTGATTAAAAACATTTGCTTGCAATCACCAGTCACCTGTCTGATCCAGCAATCGCCTTTTGTTATTGGATAAGATCAATCATATTTTATGACTAATTTAATATCTAATTAGATAACCTTGCCTTGTCATCAGAGACAATTGTATCGGAACAGAATGAAATATGTGCCCTAGAATTGGGGTCAAAATTGAGTAACAAGGTTTGTCACAAACAGCCACCACAAAGACAGTTAAATAACTTTATAACAAAGACTAACTTTAAATTGACCACATACAGTAGCAACATGTACATTTTAGTGAATAATGAACTTTTGTACCTCTTAGAATTCTTTGCAGGCTTAAAATTATCACTTCCGCTACTGCCATCCTCGCTCTCATCATCATTATCATCATCTTCATGACTCTTCCAATCCTCTGATCTTTAATGTAAAAAAACAAAGTTATTTTATAATATAGAGTAACAAACTTTCTTAAGCTTATAATTTTTCTAAAAAACATGTATACAAGATGAGCGTTAATTAAGAACAATTACTAATTTATTTTGTACAAGCTTGCAGTAATCAAAATTTCTTAAGTTGCAAATTAACCATTTAACAATAAAATGAAATTTTTAAGAGGGAGAAATACATACTCTCTCCTTCTCCTCCTTTTCTTTTTATCCCCTTCACTATCACTATTCTGAAATAAAACATCAAAAATGTATATTATATGCGTAAAGCATAATGTCCTACAATATTTATATATAAAAAGATAACTTACCTTAAACAGTTGCAACAATGATTTAATGATTACAAATATTTCTAACTTTGACTGGGATTACAATGCTCCAATGCAAATGAAATCAGTCTTCAAACCTATTTGCAAGGGAAATAACAGTTATACCAGACAGCTGAAGTTTCTCCAGTGTCAGTTATTTCACAACAAATTTTTATAGTATATTATTTGGGCCAACTTAACCTATCCAGTAATGTCACAAACTGGCAAATGGACAGATTTCAACAGCTGATTATGAAAATTATTCAAAAATCAAACTTAACAAACCAACCACAACTGATTTATCAAATAGGTCTAAATAGATGTTCAAAATAACTCCTAACATCAAATCAACAAAAGTTATGTAGAAATTACCTTAAAAAAGGTTTGCCATAGAAAAAATTAGCAATTAATAAGACCAAACTACACATTTTTATCTTTTATAGTTCAACACTGTATATTGACAACAAACAGGGATTGGAACAGATTACTATTATGCACAAATATTAGCTATAAGGTGGTTTGATAACCTAATAAGACAGTACAGGAAATTCAAATGGGAGGTGGAAATTCAAATGGAAGGTGGAAATTCAAAAAGAAGGTTGAAATGTAAAGGCCATAATTTGAGGAAACCAACAATTAGGATTACCAAACAAGGCATTTCATGGAATTCACAACAATCTAGAAAAAGAGGAAGACCCAAATACACCTGGTTCAGAGAAAGCCATACAGTAAAACAGACACTTTTGTAAAAGATTTTGTTGGCTTAGTGTTTGACAATGCAGCAGAATAACACAAAGGTATTTATTGCCAATGCTGGTTCCAGCCAGTACATAAAGATTTTTTATTTCATTTATCTTTATTTTATTTGAGGGTTTATTATTGAGATATGCTTTTGCTGCTTATTTTGTTTAGTATTTGTTGTTAAAGGGTTATTTGCAAAATCCAATTTATTGGATAAGTGAGATTAATTTATGTGGGGGCAATGTAGTGTTTTAAAACAAGATTCTTTACTAAATATGAAACCAAATCCCAGATTTCAGGAGCCAACATACCAATATTACTTAGGAAGAGCCTTTGTTTTCATCAAGTCAAGTGTTTGTTGCCAGTTGTGGGAAATATTGTAATCAATTTAAGACAACAAAATGACTCCACATAGGTTAAAATTGTGGTTAAAATTGTGAGATGGATTATTAACTCAGAGAGAAGTGGCATATTCAGTAGGTACAGTATAAGAGGTGACTATGGTAACTAGCTTGGGTGACTATGGTAACTAGTCTTAAGTGACTAAGGCAACTGTCTAGGGTGACTAAGGTAATTAGGATAGGAAAAATTTGGGGGCCATTCATGGATAGCCAACTGTGTTGTTAATATAGTGAGAGTAATATGGTCTGTTGCGCATGCCAGGACAGCGAGGGTTGGCGTGCGTACGCGGTGGTGGTGGTGTTGTCCCACGTAGAGAATTATATATATAGATACCTTATAAAGAAGATTAGTTACTCTAAAATAACAAATGTTCTTCTAATTGCAACTTTGTTTCCCTTTTAAACTTTTAAAAAATTTTAATTTAAAAAATAAAAAATGGGAAATGAATTTTCTTTTGTTCACTAAGCTGATTTAAATTGTTATGACCTAGTTGCAGTCTTGTTAGCAGTTTAAATATTTTTCTTATATTCTTAAAGATGGACATTGTATTAATGTTTTAACAATAATTATAAAGAGTCTAGTTGTAATTTGAAAAATTTAAACAGTATTTTGAAATTAATACTTGAAAAAAAAAAAACATTTGTGCCATTTCTTTTGAGGGGGGGGGGGGGGGCCTTAGACGTCCTTACGTGGGCGTGGGGCTTAGCCCCTACACGAAGAATTGCAAGAAAGAAACTGCACGCAAACTACTTTTAACATTAGACACATTTATTAGGTCGTAATGTCAGTCTTTTTATTATAGAGTATCAATGACGTCATTTCTTTTGAAGGAGGGAGGGGGCCTTAGACGTTCTTGGGGGGTGGGGGGCTTCACCCCTACCCGAACAATTGTGTGAACGAAACTCTTTATGCAAACCACTTTTAAGATTAGACATAATTGGCTTTTTAATGAACTTGAGAATCAATGACGTCATATTACTGTGTGTACTTTTCCGGCTTGAGACTATATGCTCCATGTGACGTCACGTTTCATTTTTCGTATTACTATACATGTTTTTACTCTGTGTTTTCTCTATAGTAAAAGCGTTCTTGACAGATACATACACAGATACACAGACAATGAAACTATTATTATAGATTATACCATTATTTACAAGATTTTCCCAAAAGAAGTATTCAGAAATAATCTGATTAAACAGATTAACTGCTGATTATCTTAGTTTAAAAGATAAAACTATATTACAAAGATCCGAATATAAAAAAAGACGGCTAAAAGGAAAAAATAAAATGCTGAGTCTGTCAGTAAAAGAAAACCTGTGAACAAACTCAAGACTGCAAAAAGTTAGTAGGCTCCCTCTGTACATGTTCTGATAAAATTAACTAATTAACTTATGGTGTAGTTTTTTTTCTACTAGACGTTTATTATTATAGTGTATAGTATACATGCTGCAAGTGTAAACACAGTGTAAGGAAACAAATGAAGCAGTTTTAATAAATTATAAACAATAAAAAATATACTGACCCCAACATTATAGCGAACCACTTCTCTTCTAGAACGCCCAGATCTTCTAATTCCATAGAGATCAGGCTTTTGATCCCATTCCTGAAAAATTGTGTTTTAACAGTTGATACTATATATTTCAATATTATATTTTATTCATTACTGAAATTTACTTCAATATATACAAGTAAAATAGTAAAAAGAATGCGGAATTATTCTGATCAATTTTATAAATTGAAATTTTTAAAATAATGATATGAACATCTTTTGATTATTTATTATTATGCAAATGTACATCTAGAAATTAGCTAATAATAAAAGATTATAACATATTTTATCCCTAACACAAATTTTGAAAGCAAGCTTAAAATAACTCCACACATAATAAAATGCCCATTAAAAAAACAATAATAAAAATTAAACAAGCTCCAGGCCATTGAAAATAACCATGATCTGAATCAAATTTATATTTAACTTCATTCAACTGAAGTATAAGTTTTCTAAATGCTAGATACAAGCTGCTGCTGCAATAAAACATTGTTACATCTCCAAATCTTACTAGACTCAATTTGTTTTTTAAACTTAGCCCACAAGGAGCTTAATGCAAAAATTATAGTAATATAATGTAAAACAAAATATCCCAAGCTACACAACTACTGAATTCTATACAAATTTAAAGCAAAACAAGGTTGTTGTTTTTTTTTAAGATTCAAGATTTTAAGACTCACCAAAATATAATCCTATAAGAGATAACAAAAGTCAGAATACAAAACAAATATAAAGGGAAATTTTAGTGGTTGTAATCTGACAGTTTTTTTTTTAAAGTTTAAAATGATATTTTCTTTAGCTTCAACCCATATTTTATATCGTTATGTGATTGCCAATAATTAAAAAATAAAATGTATTATCTTCTGCACCCCACCACCTCCACACAATGCCAAAAACTTTTATATTGTTGAATTTAATTATTAAGATTAAATCTGTTTTCCAACAAATACAACATTAAAGTTCATTCAAACAACAAGCTAATTATACATGATTGGTTTCAAGAACACAAAAATGTAATTGTGTCTTTGACCATTATCCACTATTCAAACAAAAAATTTAAAAACATTGAAAATAATAAGCTTTTAAATAGACTGAAAACTGAGTAAAACAAACTTGCTTCCTTTAGTAAAAGTATTACTTTCATAAAGAAAGCAAGTTTTTTTTTTCTTATTTAAGTTTTTCACAGATTTTTTTTCCATAATTTTTTATTTTTTAAATTTCCAAAGTAAAGTCAATATTTATTTTTACAATTAGATCTAGTACATAGATTTTTTGCATTAAATTTGTTCTTAAGGGTGATGAAAACCAAAATAACCAAAAATGCTCATTTCTAAACCTAATGCTAAAATATTTAGCATATAGTTATGACTCAAAGAGTTAAGTCTAAAAAATGTTAAAAAAAAAAAAACAATTCATAAAAAACGTTTTAATAACAGGCTTTTATGTCACTTTATTATCTATTGGATACCTTTACCTATATTTAGGAAGAGACCCACGCTTTTCTTTATAGTTATTTAAATAGTAGTGCATAATTTATTTTCGACGTTTTAGTGCATTATTACATAAAAGCTTGTTATTATGATTTTTTTTTCAGTACTTTAAATTTTTAAAATTTAAATAGATTTGCATGACTAAAAACCATTGCGCACCTAATAATGTAAAATAATGTGGAGAAGTTGGATGAGACAGCCTACCAATTTGGACAAAATTTTTATTAATTTATAAAAAATTAATTAGGCATCCAATAAAGTCAAATTTAGTGTCAGATTGCATAGTCTTCATGTCTTGACCAACGTGCCAAATGTGAACCGGATCTGTCAGAAGTGCCTGAAATTTCGCCCAGACATTTCGATCTAGACAGACAAGTGAAAAGCTTGTAAAATAAACCGGGAGTGATCTCCCCTAAACTTTCTCGAATATTCCTATATAAAATAACAGGGGATGGGAACTCGGGCTTTAGACATGATTTTTAATCCATTTTAAATACTTAAAGTTTTAAAAATAGAATAAAATCTCGTAGAAAAATTAATTGCACACCAAGTGAACGCGAATAAAAAAGCGCATAATAGTGCGCAATATTATTAGTACTTTTAAAATTTACATTAGTTTTTTGAGAAATCGGAAGTAGCGTAAATAAGTACTTCCGGTCAACGAAAAACTCTCAAAATTTGACAGAAGGTAGAGAATTAGATCTTTTACTTACATATCAAATTTCATCTATCTATCTGAAATAGTACTCAAGTTATAGGCTTTTGAAAAATTCAAAGTAGAAAAAGTACCACTTCCGGTTATCCGAAATCGCTCAAAAGTTGATACGGATCTACGATTTTGATAAAATACTTGTATATGAAATTTCATCAACCTAGCTGTAACGGTACTCAAGTTATCGTGTTTACACACGGACACACACACACACACACACACACAGACACACAGACATACGGACAAGATTGCAAAATTATGTTTTTCCGTATCAGTGAGATGTAAAACGTCGAGATTTGCAAAAATCTCGATTTTTTTTTTTGCACGATTACAAGACTTTCTCTATACTTCGTATATACGAGAAAGTAAAAAGGTAAAAAATTTCATACTGTTGCCGTGGTGATGGCGGCCATCTTGGGTTTTTATTACCTTTTTGTATTAAAGATGGCTTAAGTGAATTCAATAAAAACTTGCAGGATTATAGAGATACACGTTGGTAACAATAGTGACAGATTACATTTTCAAATTTGAAAAAACTTGTTTTTACAATTTTTTTTCTGAAAATCACAACAACAAAAAACGAGGACAAGTGTGCAAAAAATAAACCATTTTAACTGTAAAAGAAAACCATACAGATTTTCAATTTTATGTCTACAGAATAACTAGAGAAAATTTTGATCACTTTTAATAATAATTAAGCAAGTTATTCCAATGTTAAAATCATTTTAAAAATTCAATGGCTGCCATCACTATGGCAACGGGCAGGAAATTTTGGACCATTTTTTAATTTATTGACTCAACTCTTTCAGTTATAACTATATGCTAAATATTATAGCATTAGGTTTAGAAATAAGCATTTTGGTAATTTTGGTTTTCATCACCTCGCCTATGCCCTTAAGTTGTCACCACATGACTAAACCTCATAAGTAGTTATTTGCAATCTCTGACAATTATCTGCCCTTTCTTAGTATATGGTTAGCTCTTAAGCATGAAACCATCTGTGACCAACAGTTCACCACCTATGGCTTGCTAATCAAGCGATTTACATAATCTTTTCCAGCTCATGCCCAGAAGAATTAGAGCTCTTTTGTTTTAATGACCTCAGCATTCAAGGGGATGATGAGGTTAGCAGTACGGCCAGCTGGCTTTGTTTCCCAGGGTGAGTCAGGTACCCGTCAGAGCTGGGTAAACTCAGTGACATCTTACTAACTCAACTCGTGAATCGAAAGAGACTTTCAGGTTAGTAGTCACAGATCAAGTACATAATTTTTTTTACCTACCATTTTGTTATGAACTAGTTTAATATTTGATAAGGCTAAAAATTAGGTATTCTTGCACGTTTTTGGGGGAGAAAAAATCATACAGAAATCAATTAAGTTTCACCAGTCTTCTTCTTCGTTCTTAATTTTTAGTATTGGAAGGGATTGAGGCTTATCTGCCAGAGGGTTCGAACCCGAGACTTTCGAATTTTAACAACCATGAGCTTTGCCGACTTGACCACGCCTCCAACACAATTAAGTATACGTGTCAACTGGTTATGCGCCATTGACTCCGATTTCAGCTGCTTTTCTTTTTGGATTCGCTTCCATAGAATTTGTCCAACCAAGAACAAACTACAAGGAAGCAGTTGTTTTGTTTTTGGAGTTGTCTCTACTAGAAGAGTGGCCGTCCCCTGCTAACGTGCCTCATCTGCCTGAGGGTTCAAAATCGAGACTTTTCAGTTTAGCAACCATGAGCTATACTGACTTGACCACGCCGACCCAGTCTCACCAGTAATAAGATTAGTATAATAAGCCTTGCATAGTAATAAAAATAAAAGAGTTTTACATAAATATTTTTTGTGAGGATTTCAATTTTTTTTAAATATCTTAACACGTACTTACATCTTTTAACTCTCGTATTGCTGTCACTCTGCGCCCACTACCGCTGCGTAATGTTTCATTATCCCCTGTGTCTTGGGAATCAGTGTCAAAGAGGGATCTCTTGATATTCTTTTTATCCTTGGTCTTTTTGTCCTTCCTGTTTTCATCATCTTCATCATAAGAAGAATCAGCTTCAGAATTAGTATCCTTTTTCTCTTCACCAGATTCTGAGTTTGTATCATTTTTTTCAGACTCAACATTGTCATCAGAACCAGAGTTTTCCGATTTCTTATCATATTCATCGTCTTCATCATCGTCTGTTAACTGAATTTGTTTTGGTAATTCAGTTTCCTCCTCAGAAGAGGAATTGTTTTTATTTTTTACATCTTCATTTTCAGCATCTGAGTCAGAATGAGAACTGGAGTCACTGTAGGAAAAGAGCATATAAATTAACTTTTTCAAGTAAAAAATGTAATATTGGTGGGTTGGGAGGGAGAGAGAGAGAGAGAATAAAGGAAGGGCAGTAAAATTTTTAAAAAAATAAAATACTTAAAAAAAAAACTTTTTAAAAAACCACGGTTTTCTTGTGGACTAAAAAGTAGAAAATAAATTTTTCTTCCGACCCTAGGGGATCTACCAATGACTGCTCGTAGATTTTGTGCTTCCTCGAGCTGTGCAGGTTCTTGTGATGCCTGTTCATACATTTGATGACAAAAAACGTGGGTACGTTCACCATCAAATTTCCCGACCCATCTGCCCGACCCACGTTTTTTGTCATCAAAAGTTTTTTTTTAAGTATTTTATTTTCTCCTTTTTAGTCCGTTGCTACACATGAAAAACATGCTTTTTAAAAAGTTTTTAAATAGTTTATTTTCTACTTTATCTAATGACTTGATTAAGTATGACTTGACTAAGTGTTTTTAAATACATAAAAATTTAGAGGATTTTTTAGGTACCCATCAGAGTTGGGTGGACTCAGGGACGGTCTGCTGACTTAAACCCGGATTCGAACTCGAGACTAACGGGTTAGCAGTCCAACTCTCTACCGCTAGACCACTCCGCCACTGATATAACCTCTTAATTTTGTTTTGATAAATCTGGATTGATAATTTATTTTTGCTTTAGAAATCATGTCCTCAATTTTAGGGTCCTTGGGGCGTAATTTAATTAAGCTAATTTAGGTCTCTAATTGCTAGTTTTTATGATTGCATCTGAAATTGTTAGGCGAAAATAGCCTGCATGCCGAATTTCATATCTCTAGAGCAATCAGAAGTGGGCTAATTTTCGTTGTCAATTTTAACAACAAACCCACAGACCACCACCCGTTTTTATAAACAGAAATAAAAACGCACAAAAAACGGCTGCTAAAACCCAGCTTAGTACTACTTTTCAAAAACGTTAAGTGTAATGTTGCATATTTTGGATAAAACCCCTCCCCCCATCCAACATTTCAAAAGTTCTGTGTCATTTGTGTATGGAGGATGACACCTTAGTACAACTTAATTTACATTTTAAAAATTTAATGTGTTTCATTACTCTAGAACTAATGTTTGATTGATGAAGAACCAAAGCTATTTCTATATTTTCCCAATAAGATCCAGAAATTGAGAAATGGTATTCAATTTATTGGCATTTTAACTCATTTTCTTGAATAAAAAATGGTGAGAATAGCTGTCATAAATACAAAATGATTTGATTTTATAAAAAAGGAAAAGTACATCTCAAGCAGTGGCTCACACAATGATCTAATAAGGAATATTTAAACTTGGAGCATACACTCATATGTGCATCTATACTTTAAGAAAACCTAAAGCACACACCCACACATATATATATATACATATACAAATTATACAGTGGTACCTCGAAATAAGAGTGCCCCTACAAATGAGATTTTTGATATAGCAGGAAACAGATTTGTACAGCAAAATACATGTTCGATCTTCGCCATTGATTATCTTCTTAACCAAACATTGTTGGTGATTTTGTTGATAGATATATAAAACAAAAATACTTTTGCGGAATTTGTTTTTGACGATATTCTATGCCTTGACAAAGTATGCAAATGACGACAGAAGGGATCTACTTGGGTTTACACGTACTTTTAAAATAAGCTAAGGAACCATTTTTTTAATAATTTGATTGCTTTTAGCAGATTTTTAACAGTAAGAAATGAATGCTGTAATTGATAAATGTAAAAAAAAAAAATTTTATATTTTAACTTTTATATAAAAAATAGAATTATGATATATCGACGTCGTGGAAAATGCAGGTTTTTCTTCAGGAATAAAAATTGTAGGTTTTTTACCTCAAAGCATGTATTTTGATATTAGTTAAAGTGAACTCTACTTACATTTATAAAAGAAGTTTTTTTTTTGCCGTATATATAATTTTTTTAAAATTTTAGCAGTTTTCTGTCACGGTTACTAGATCTTCGCTCTATTCACATGTTGTAAAACTAGACTTATCTTTAAAACAAGAGTACACTGTGAATAGCAAAGATTTCAAATTTAAGTTTACTTTTGACTTTAAGCCAAAAGTTTTATATCAAAATTAATTGATAATGTAATTATTTTGAAGTTAAAATTTTCAGTCTGGACTCTGGTTCTAACCTTTGCCCACTGAACCAGCTTTCGCACGACCTTCACAATAGTGTCGAGGGCTAATTCTAAAAATAATCGAGTCTTTACTAATCTAATCTTTATTCTTAGATAAAAATTAAGCACAATCGTTGAAATGCATGAGAAATATCGAGTAAATAATTCTTTAAAGCTATAGCCAAAAGAAGGTAGAACTTTATAATGCTGTAAACTATTAATCATTATTTAGTGTGACCTACTATTAAAATTCAAAGATTTGGTAAGCAGCTGAGTAGCTGACTACGCATGGGATATGACTGACATGTTATGAGATGGGGTAAGAGTACACAGAAATTTTTTTTTTTTTTAGAACCAAGTGCATTTTTTACTTTCTCGTATATACGTAGTATAGAGAAAGTATTGTAATCGTGCAAAAAAAAAAATCGAGATTTTTACAAATCTCGGCGTTTTACACCTCACTGATACGGAAAAACATAATTTTGCAATCTTGTCCGTATGTCTGTGTGTGTGTGTGTCTGTGTGTGTGTGTCTGTCAGTGTGTAAACACGATAACTTGAGTACCGTTACAGCTAGGTTGATGAAATTTCATATATAAGTATTTTATCAAAATCGTAGATCCGTATCAACTTTTGAGCGATTTCCGATAACCGGAAGTGGTACTTTTCCTACTTTGAATTTTTTAAAAGCCTATAACTTGAGTACTATTTCAGATAGATAAATGAAATTTCACATGTAAGTAAAAGATCTAATTCTCTACCTTCTGTTAAATTTTGAGTAATTTCCGTTGACTGGAAGTAGTAATTTACGCTACTTCCGATTTCTCAAAAAACTAATGTAAATTTTTAAAGTACTAATAATATTGCGCACTATTATATGCGTTTTTATTCGACGTTTGCTTGGTGCGCAATGTTTTTTTTATGAGATTCTATTCTATTTTTAAAAGTTTAAGTATTTAAAATGGATTAAAAATCATAACTATATCCCCAGTTACCATCCCCTGTTGTTTTATATAAGATTATTCGAGAAAGTTTAGGGGAGATCACTACCGGTTTATTTAAACATAAAATCCAAATATACTAACATATTGGTTGTGGATTTTAATTTCATTATAGATCTAGTCACTAACTTCAGTTTTTAAAAGTGATTTTGCTTCTAGATCTAGCATATTTTTAAAATTATGTAGATTTAGATTCTAAATCTATTTGACAGATTTGTCAGTAAAATGAGGTTACCACTCCCACAGACACAGATTCTTAGGTTTGTCATTTGATCTATTATAAGTAGCATTAAAACAACTGCATCTATCATCAACATTGTTTTAAGGGCCAGTTCTAATTAAACATTCTGTTCATTACCAATTCTAATGAAATCGTATCAGGCCCTAACACCCAGTTCACCTAAACTACATTTTGAATTAGGCCACGGACAGTCATAACTTTTATTTGATGTTTAAAGTACTAAACAATTATAATTAGCCATGTAAATGCTGCAATTATAACAAAAATTGGCTTATAAGGACAAATTTTACTATTAATGTTTTATATATGTTTAACTCTGTTTCTTAAAGCCAAAATTTTGAATATTTTTTAAAGGGGAGTGCTGTCTTTTTTTCTAAATGGTGACATTTCTTTTCTATGTAATTATGTTGTTGATATTGTGAAATTTTAGACCTCACTACATTGAGATGTAAAAAAATGCTTGCAGTTGAGTGAGTGTAGTTAATCTACATTTTGAACGTGATGGTAAATATCTAGTGCTATAAATTTTTATATTTTTGAATTCCTCTATTGTTAAGCAACAAAAATGATATATATTATGTTAATATTTTTTACTTTAAAAATTGACCCTAAAGGTAGACGTTTGAGAATTGGATCTATTTCCTGCCATACACGAGCTCTCTGGTGAGGTAAAACTTGCTTTGACTAGAGCAAACTTTGAGATATGAGTAACCAATTAGCAGATTTAACAGCTTGTGGAAAAGAAACAATCATAAAAAGTTGCAACTGTTGGTGCATCAGAGCTATTTAATGACAATAACCTAACTATTTCCAAAACATTCTGAAAATTAGGTTAATTTTAACAGTCTGCATGAAAAAGTGGGGAAGATGAAAAGCTGAAGAAAAAAAAAAAAGACCAGCAAAAAGAAAAGCAGTGACGAAAATTAAGCAAAAGTAACAAAACATTTTTAAGTAACAGGTTCAATTCTGTTTGATGAAGTTCTGTTAAGTCGGCTGACTTCCAAAGTAAATACACCTTATAAAACTAGTTTATTTTTTTTTCCTATTTAACAATATTTCTCATTTTAATTTATAAATACACGTTTCTTATTTTAAAAACATATAAAAAAACCAGCGGTTGCATTTTGGGGACTGGAAGGGATTAATAGAATATCAATTGATTTCTATCGAGAAAATAGCTATTTTATATACAAGTAATGTTGCGGAACTAATTAAAATCATAGCTTGAGGTATCACGGTGTGTGTATATATATACATACACACACACACAAAGAAAGTAATATTCGGCTGTATGTTTTTTTATTTAAGTTAATATCGTATTATTATTACAGGAAACAAAAATTAACAAAAGTGAAAAATGTTACTTGTACCGCAGCAATGCTACCTTAACAGCAATCTCTATTGCCCCTTTATTTGTAGTAGACATTTTATTACATTTAAAATAAAAGAATAGGCCACTTCACCTACATTTTGCCTTAATTGCCAACAATCGTTGAAATGCATGAGAAATAATGAGTCAATAATTCTTTAAAGCTATGGCCAAAAGAAGGTAGAACGTTATAATGCCGTAAACTATTAATCGAGGGACGGCTGTTATGGAAACAGGAGCCATTTTACTCATTATTTAGCGTGACCTACTTTTAAAATTTGAAGATTTGGTAAGCAGCTGAGTATAGAAATCAATTGATATCCCATGAGATGTTTAGTTTTCTTATTTAAAAGGAATTAATTTTATGAGCAAATCACAAAGCAATTTAAATCGCACAAGTGCATTGTGGAACTGCATATAACCTATTAAAGAAATAAAAGTGACATTGTGAAACCCCATACAACATAAAACAATAATATAAACTAAAACTCTCAAAATGGTTTTCGATCATAATTGCATATAAAACACAAGTTGTCTGCTAAATGCTAACCTTGATTCAGACATGGAGTCTGCATGTCCATTGCCTAGAGAAAGGTTTTGATGATCCGTCTCTAAATTGTCACTAGTTTTACTACCACTTGGCCCAAATAAGGGGGTAGTCAGATCAGGTAACGAAGATAACCCTACCTGGAGAAAAGAAAAATTATGTAAAATGTTTTATTTCTCACAAAATACCAAGTGATACAGTTTTTAAATAATCAAAGCAATCAAAAGAAATTATCTTAATTGTTATTTTATATGCTAAAGGTAAAAACTTAGACGATAACACTAAAATTAGTCTTTTTTGTTTTTTTTAAATTCAGAGCTAAGTTCCTATTATAACTCAAAATAGCTAAAAAGGGTCCCCTTTAAATTCCTGATAAAATTGGTTTATTATGTTTGCATGTGTGTGTGGGAAACAAAACACAAACAATTATGGTGCAACACCTTCAATTACAATGATAAAAATTAAAAATTGATTAGGGTGTGGGTATACTTTTAAGATGATTTAAATAACAATTTGCAAGATCTAAGCTATTATTACAGTTGTTTCTCAAATCAAGTGGTAAAACCTCATATACTTAAATCCAGGCATAATCATTTTAATTCAAAATCAATATAATTTTTCATTCTTCATTTGGTAAAATGTTTCTTCTTTGTTTAAAGGAAACTTCGTACAGTGAATCAGCTGCATCTTAACTTTAAAATGTATTAAATACCTACATCTAAATCAAAGAGCAGGCAGCAGTTACCCATTGTACAACAACATTCACTGAATGATTGATATAAATATTTTAATTATGTTATGCATACATTTTGTATCCTGAATGTTCGATAATGAATAATACTTAGCCTAAGTGTTTGAGACAATTCTAAATACATTTTAACAATTGCCTACTTCATTGCAAAAATGTTTCCCACAGCTATGTAGTATGAATGTTTCTATAGAGAAAAGTTTTATTTAAAAATAAAGTAAACTATGGCAAAACAAGACTAAAGAAAATGTGGCACGTTAATAGAAATTCAATTTCAATAAAACAAGTTAAAAACAAGTAAATTGCAAAAATGGGTACCCGATAAAATTTATTAAAATCAAGGTCAAATGAAAGTCAAATATATCATATTTGAAATGTAGTACTTTTTTTTATGAAACACATTCAATTATGGTTTTAAAAAAAAAAATTAAGTAAAAAACAACTCAGATGTAGATTCATTTTTAAGGTAAGTTGGTCTATGAGTTTATGTAAGAATTCAAAACCATGAACACCATTGAAGCAAAGCTATGGGCTGGTTTAATTTAATTTTTGAAAAACATTAAAATATTGTATACAGATTCTAGAAAAATGAAGTAGTTTATTTTAGAATTATAATTAATCAACAATAGGCCCTATAAAAAATTATTGAACTTATTTTTTTAAGGTATCAGCCAACTTGAATAACAGCAGAAGCAAAGGATATATACTGTTTGTAAACTACAGCAGCCATAAAGGAATACAACACCAATTTATTTATGAAAACAGATCCTGAACATTTAAAAAATTATACAACTGTATAAAACTTGACAATTAAGTTTTGGACCTCGCTCATATCTGTAAATGTCTGAGGCTTTTCAAGATGGCGCCCAGGAATATGCTGCCTGAAAATGCACTGAGAACGCGCATTCCTGACTTAATCACGTGCTATTTATGACCCAACCACATCAATATTAAATTGCTGGAGAAAAATGTGTTACAATAAGGATTATTGTTCAATGTATACACAACAAAGGTGGATGCATTACGGACCTTAAAAATATTTTTAGTAAACCGCGTTTAAAAACAATTTTGAATTTCACCATTCAATAGACCTCTTTGGATATAAATGTAGATCTACCACTTAAAATACATTTTAAAAGATTCTTTTAAAATCATTTTTTAAAATATGAAATTATACAGTATATTTAACATACATCCATAAAAAGCTATGATTTCTCAATTTGTCTTGTAATTTGAAACACTTTCATTTTACTGTAAGCGACGCAAGGAAAGCACAACAAACATGGCCGCCATTGGTGTGAGGCTCTCAGGTGCATTATGGGATTCTTTTAAGTGACGCACCACGAAAAGCTTTGATGTAAGTTTCATATGTTGCGGTTTGATTCGACATCGCTGCTTCATTTTGAACAAACATTATATGCATGCAATCATGGGATTTGACAGATACTAATAATTATATATACATATTTTGTTCATCTTTCGATACGTAACTTACCATTTTAAATTTATTTTTAGTTTTATGTGAGTTTTTCAATAATAAGTAATTTAGAAACGGTTGAAAATATTTTATTGAACCCGCCCGAAACGAAATTTCCGAAGCCTTGCAATGGCACGTAACAGAGGCGTAGCGAGGGGGGGAGGGGGGGGGGGGACATATGTCCCCGGGCGCCGACCTTAGGGGGGCACCAAATTGAAAGTTTGAGGGGGGGTGTAAATGAAAAGTTCGAGGGGGGTGCAAATCGAAAGTTTGAGGGGGGTGCAAATGAAAAGTTCGAGGGGGGGTTGCAAATCGAAAGTTTGAGAGGGGGGTGCAAATAAAAAGTTCGAGGGGGGTGCAAATCGAAAGTTTGTCCCCGGGCGCCGGGTAGGGTCGCTACCCTCTGGCACGTAAGGCGTGTATATTCAAGACCAATGGGTTTCCATAAAACATTACTCGAATTAGCATTTCTAATTTATTAATTTATAATGGAATCATTTTTTAAATAAAACTATAGGCCTAAATATAATTGTTTTTTTTTTAAATCATATACGTCAAATGAAGTGTTTCAGAGGTAGCTTCTTTTGAGTAATTACATAAAACCAAAATATTAAGTTCTTAAATTAAATTCTTCCGAATGTAATGAAATAAAATTTACGTTATAATGTTTTCTTTTTAGTAACCAGACAATTATATTTGCGTTGTCTTTACTCATATTTATTTATGTCAGTATGTTGCTAAAAAGAAAATATACCAGCCCAATTATTACGGCTTCTGTTTGAGACAAAAACTACTAACATTAAATATGCAGGTTAGTTGTAATTGTGTTTGGGGTGGGGTGGGGCGAAAGTGGAAAAGAGGATTTTGGTCTTACGGCATTTTGAGACCACTCACTATAACTATTAGATGTTTTCCAAAAATGACGTCACACTTCTGATTGTGGTCTGAGCCTTGTGTGAAGAAGAGAAGGGAAGAAAATGAGCCGTTTTACTTTTGCAATTTAAAAAATCCTTTTAAAATTTAATCTTTTGATTAGCTTTTTTTTAAATTATTATAACTGATCAGTGAACACTTAATAATGATCCAGATTATAAAAATAATTCAGTGTTAATGGTATTATAATATAATAATGATAAATTGTGTTTCAATAATGTCATGACGAAAGAAGGGGTTAAAAATGGCAATTGTTATTAAATTAATGGACTTTGTCATGTGTTGTATACGTGTTATTGAGCACGCTTGTATTTAAATATATTTAAAACTAATGTATTACAAATAAAATGTCTCCTCAGAAAAAGAAAAATACTAACAGTTCCTTAATAATTAAACTTGTTTTTTAAATATTTTCGAAATAATAGGAATTTGAAGATATCATTTGAAATGATACTGGCAGAATACTCTACGACCAACTACGTGCATTAAAAGACTACACTTCGTCACGCATGCGCCGCATCTTACTGTATTTTTTTTCTTGTGCTTTGTCCTTGCCCTCTAGGCCTATGAGGATAAACGAGGGCGGTGTATTCTTCGGCTGCAATCGATCGCACTTTACTTTGTGTGCGCCCCCCCCCCCCCCCACACCCCGCCCTCCAATGAACTTAACTGTTATTTTATTTATGCTCATTAAGGCCTCTAATATGTTTCGATATTTTTTTCAACTAAAAAAAGTTATCGATCTATCTACAACGATACATATTAGACAATACAGTTTATGATAAACATAGGCAGTGTTTCTTCCAGACTTTTTTCTCCGGGGGGGGGGGGGGGGCTATATTTTTTTTCAAACTGTTAGGTGTGTCTGTGTCTCTTTCCTTTAAGCATCTTTTGGCACAATATTAGGCATACGAAAGTCAGAAAACAAATTAGTAAAAAAATAAATTAGCAAATGTTAGAAAATGAGGCAGATCTACTAAAAATAATATTATAGCCTACGACTAAGAAATGAAATCATAAACAGTATAGCAAAAAGTCAATTTATTATTTAATCTGAAAGTTTAAAAAATTCAAATAGTAGCATGTAGCCTACAAATGTAATACGTTTTGTATCAAATATACATTTAGTAGCTTTAACATTATGTTAACTTTGTGGCTCTTTGCATTGACAAAATCACATAAATTAATCATGTCATATGATTGTCATTTCCCGCAATATAAGTCATTTTCAATAGAAAGCAATGCAAGGGCGGTAGTCGTGCTTGTCCAATCATTGACCGCCGAATCTTTTTTATGCTTTTGAGTTTCGAATAAGATTGTTCACCTTCAACACTCGGGGGGTCGTCCATAAGGCTCAGTCAATAAGGCTCCTGACAAATAGGCTCCCGTCATTTTGGCTCCCGACATATAGGCTCCCGTCATTTAGTTTTTTCCACAAAACGGCCCCCGTCATTACGACTCCCGACAAATAGGCTCCCGCCATTTAGTCCCCTACATTATAGCGTGGGGGAGGAGAAGTGCAAGACTGCCGGGAACCAAAAAGGGTTTGCTCTCGACCCCAACCAGATATTTTGACTTTAAGCTGCGGCCTTCACGTGGCTTCGGAAGAGTGCCACTAGTCGGACCATGCTCATGACCCCCCTAATGGGTGCGGAATGGCTAGTGGTAGCCAACAGCAGCTAGAGGTTTTTAATCTGGCCGAACGCCCCCCACGATCAAGCTGGGTACCAGGCGGTAGGACGACGTCCCGCGTCTGGTGGGTGGGGAAGGAAAGCCCGGTGAGAGCCGACGGAAGTAGCGACCGATGTGTGGTAAACTCTTGTGGTCGGAGTTTGCTACACTGAGGTCTGCCTGACTAATGGAAGTCAACCTTCTGAGCCGGTTTCCGTATATAGAGAGAGAGTTTCTCCACAAAACGGCCCCCGTCATTACGGCTCCCGACAAATAGGCTAGCGTCATTTTGGCTCACGACAAAAAGGCTCCTGTCAATTTGGCTCCAGACAAAAGGACCACTGACAATACCGTTTCTGTAGAGACTAAGTCTCCCGGCAAAGCGGTCTCATTGAATATGACACCTGCCAGTGGGACCCCTTCATCAGTATTCTTTAGAGTTAGCTTCAGAGTTTCTTCCAGGCATCTCTTCGGGGGGGGGGGGCGGAGCCCCCCCCCCCCCCCCCCCGAACGAAATGAAATTTATATAATTTATATAGAAAATATATACTTTTAACAGTGTCCACCCCCCCCCCCCCCCGAAGAAAGTCTACCGCCCCCCCGAAAATTTCAAGTGCCCCCCCCCCCCCCGGAGAAAAAAGTCTGGAAGAAACACTGGTTAGCTTATCCAACACTCTTATGTAATACAACGTATGCATCTCTTGTTCGGCAGGCCTTATTTTTACTTTCTCGAATATAGATCTACGAAGTATAGAGAAAGTCTTGTAATCGTGCAAAAAAAAATCGAGATTTTTACAAATCTCGACGTTTTACACCTCACTGATACGGAAAAACATAATTTTCCAATCTTGTCCGTATGTGTGTGTGTGTGTGTGTCTGTCTGTGTGTGTGTAAACACCATAACTTGAGTACCGTTACAGCTAGGTTGATGTAATTTCATATATAAGTATTTTATCAAAATCGTAGTTCCGTAAGCCATTTCCCCTGTTGTATTTGAGAAAGTTTAGGGGAGATCACTCCCGGTTTATTATATTAGTTTATCTATTATAAAATATAGTATGTTTTAATTTAAGGGTCTATGACATCCATAATTGAGTCGGTTATAGGCTGTTCCAACTCAGTGTGTGGGGAGAAGGGTCCACGCTGTACCTTCCTACCTACAGTATGCTTGTAGGTTATCAAAACATGATGCTGTAATCATGTAAACATCATGTATATCATACATTTACACTTCTGTGCTCGCTTTTAAGCAACATATCTTTTCTGTTGTAAATTAAACATCAATACTTTAGAATTGGTGGAATTTAGCTGTTAAGGGCTCGATTTGTTTGTGAATTAATGTTGGTTCATGAAAAACAATTTCATTCGGGCATTTAAAAGGGTTTATAGTGGTATTGGAGGTAGGACAAAATCAGTAGCGTACGCAGGGGGGGAGCAGGGGGAGCGGCCGCTCCCCCTATGGCCATTTTCAGCAAAGTGGCGCCTTTTTTTTTAAACTCAAAGTTTTAAACAATGATATTTGTTAAAAAAATATTTTTGGGCGGCACATCTATGTAAATCACAAGATTTCTTTTCATGCAGCAATTAAGCATTATTGTACTAGTCTAGTAGTGTCTACGTTTACAACACGTATTAACAGCTGCATCAGTTTGCCATTCTAAAAATAACCATTACGATTCATTGCAATGTTTAAAAAACCTACACGGTAGTACCACTTTGCAAGAGGGGTGTTAAGTTTAAGGCATAATAATAATTGAATTAGAAAAAGTTATACATAAAACTCCACACATAATTTCTTTATATATAAAGTTTGAATCGTGTGATTAATTTAAAAAAAAATTACAATACAGAAACAAATACAACTGATGTGGCACCTCTATTTAAATTTACTTATGAGTAAACTGCGTAGTGGTGGGGAAATTTTGACAAGGTCGACAACGTCATCACGATGAAGTAGTATTATTCTTACAGTTTGGGCGATAGTTATTACGATTACAAATTATATGAAACAGTTACAACCCCCCTCCCCCATATACCCTTCTGTAAAAAAAATATTGTCATAATACCACTTCTACTTATTTAAATCTATTTCTGTAATCTATATTTGTGTAATATATGTTTGTGTAATATATATGTATGTTTAGAACAGTCATCTAAAAACTGACGCTATGTTCACTCTGAGTTGGTTATCCCCTCCCCCCCCCCCCCCCACACACACACCTCACCACCACAATTGTGTAGAGCGACATTAATGTCACACCTAGGTATACACTGGGTTGGATAATTGACCTCAAGTGAACGGACAGTGGTGAATGAAGTTGAACCCCCCCCCCCCCCGCCCCCCAAACCACCCAGAACTGATCTGTTAAGTACATGTAGAAAAACGCGTAATGATGTACCAAAGTACCATGCCGCCAGAAAATTAGCTTTTTAAACGTAAAACTCTGGGAATATTGTTTTTGCAATTACCAGTAAAATACCAGTTAAAAGGTGTGTGTTCAATACAGTGATCTAACCCATAAGAACACAAAGAAGCAGTAGTTAATTAAAATATATGAGCTGAACTAAAACACCAACATTTTTTTTTTCAATGGTTCAAATTTTACTGTATTTTCAATACTTCCATTATTTGCTCATTAGATGCACAGAATAAATACAATAAAGTACATTTTAAAATACTGCACTAAATAATAACAAACATTAAAAAAACAACAATCGGGCATCACCTGACACTTAAGCATTTCCTTACATTTGGAACTCAACTTTTGATTTTACTAGTACTAGGCTCAGTACTTTTAAAAAAATAATATCTTAAATAAAGTAAAATGTTTTAATTCATATAATTTATAAGCATGTCATATTTTGTCATTTACATCCGGTTCAAACAGAAATAGCCTTAATATATTGAATAATTAAAGAAAAAACAATAGTGAAATGAAATTAAATTTCCCATTGAATGGTAGTAGCCTATAGTTTTTCAATCATTCATAAAATACCAAATACCTATGAGAGCACACATTTTTCAATATCTCACAACAACACCCAAATATTTTTACACCATTTATTCCTCCAGATTTAAAAAAGTAAAATCACATAGACTAGGCAATAAATTTGAGTCAGTCATCATCATCTCCTGGTTTGTAATCTGGATCATCATCGTCATCATCATCTTCTAAGTCTAGTTCTCCCATATCGACAAATAAAGATTCATCCACTTCCAGTGTGTCTCCCATTGCTTGCAAAAATTTAACATCAGAGTCGTAAAGAGACTGATCAGCCATAAACAGTTCTTTACCTGTTGGTTTTTTAGATGAACCATCTGAAAGGCCTTTTAACCTTCTCATCTCAGCCCTTTCTGCATCAAACTTTAATTTCCAAGCCATAAATGACTCAACATTGACTCTTGTACCCTCAAAGCGTTTTCTTTCAGCCTCTTCATCTGACTTCTTTTTTCTTTCAGCTGCTTCTTCTTCATCTTTGGCTGCTTGTTCCATCATGTTTGTCATTCTCTCTTGTACTGCTGATATTATGGTGAATATCATTGCCATACCAAGATTTTCCTCAGCCTGAGCTTTCATAAAATCCATGAGAGATTCTTGTTGTGCATCATCCATGTTCTCAGTAGATTCAAACTCCATTAATGGTGCTGAATCTGGGTAGTTTTTTGTGTATGTAAACTGTATCACTGCAGACATTGCATGATCAGGAAAATTTTCAGCATCTTGAGGCATCACAGTCAGTTGGAAAACATGGTATGGCTCTTCTTCAACAATTTCGATTTCATCTGGATAAATCGACTGCAGTGCTTCAATTTCGTTTCTCTGCTCTTCCTTATAATCGGTCATCCTTAAAGTTTTTAGTCCCCACTTTAGGGTAATTAACTTTATAATTAATTTAAGTCAAGTGAATGGCTTCAACTCATTAGATTCATAATCTTGTAAATCAATCAAGGGCTTTGATATAGCATTTCATAAACGTCAACAGTCCCATGTAAAACTAAAACACCGACATTTAGTTAAATGTAGGCTGTTATACCGAATAACAAAACATTCAATCGAAAAGAGTGTTTTTTTTACCAACTCTGATTTTAAAAACTCTATTGTGCTGTAATACTTTAGCATTTATGATGACGATATATTAAATTCTGATTATAGACAAAAACATTTTGTAAACACAAATAGTGTTAAACAATTTCATTATATTCTAAAGTAATTGTTTATTTGTTTTGACATTTATAATAAAATGTGTAGATATATACATGTTTATATTAAGAGAGTAATTATTTCCCCTATTTCACTTGTCTTAAATAATTTCCCAGGAATTATTATTTAAGAAATTTTTTTTACAAGAATTACAAAACAGATTGTGTTACGTTCATTGTTTTTGGTTGTAGTGTGTGAATAGAATCTATATATATATATATATATATATATATATATATATATATATATATATATATATATATATATATATATGTATTTTAGATTGATACAATTTTTTTTTGTCGGCCTACATTGTGTGTTTTTTCTTATTTCTTCAGAGTGCTACTTTCAATTTATTTTACATCATAGCGAAGTAATGACATACAGCTAGTAATTATATATATATATATATATATATATATATATATATATATATATATATATATATATATATATATATATATATATATATATATATATATATATATATATATATATAATACACGTATATAGAACTTGTTAAAAATTCGGCGCCTTTTTTTTATCTTTTCGCTCCCCCTAAAACGAAAACCTGGATACGCCTCTGGACAAAATGGTTACTTTTATGCCAATAGTGGTCATGCCCTTCATTGGTCTGGAGCCAATATGTCGGGAGTCATTTTGTCAAAAGCCAATTTGTCGGGAGCCTAAATATCGGGAGCCCATTTGTCGGGAGCCTATATGTCGCAAGTCAATATGACGGGAGCCCATTTGACGGGAGCCAATAAGTCGGGGCCCTTTTGACGGGGCTATTTTGACTGGGTCGTTTTGTCGGGGGTCGATTTGACGGGGTCAAATTAACGGGGCTTTTTTGACGGGGCCGATATGTCCCGGACCGTTTTGACAGGGCACCATATATATATATATATATATATATATATATATATATATATATATATATATATATATATATATATATATATATATATAAGCCCATGTGCGCACTTTTATTTTTCTAATAGGTATTAGTAGCCTATGTTATTTTAGATGTGTCGGACTTTTAGCTATTTAGTTATTTCTTTGCTTTGTCTCTAATATCGTTAAACCTGTAGTAAAGCACATTGCGTTTTGACCAATAACTATTTTATAAAATATTCTTCTAAAAATGTATATATAAGCCCATGTGCGCACTTCTCTCTCTGTCCGCAAAATATTTTCACAAGCTATCAGATCAGTATCTTTAGCGATATATGGAGAACTTGATACGGACTTTTGTTGAAAATAATATGGCAGATGTTTTAAATGTATAAACAAAATTTTATTTAAAGAAGAAAAATAAAAAAAATAAAGGCATGTTCAAATGCAGAGAAACTGTTTTAATTATGCAACCGGAAAAGTGTTTATAGTTGTGACAAGAACTCCGTAATCGATGACGTCACGTGTCATATGTTTGAACTACGGAAAGTACACAAAAAAATCGATAACCGGAAGTGGTACTTTTTCTACTTTGAATTTTTCAAAAGCCTATAACTTGAGTACTATTTCAGATAGATAAATCATATTTCACATGTAAGTAAAAGATCTAGTTCTCTACCTTCTTTCAAATTTTGAGTAATTTCCGTTGACCGGAAGTACTAATTTACGCTTTTTCCGATTTCTCAAAAAACGCACGTAAATTTATAAAGTACTAATGATATCCCGCACTATTATGCACATTTTATTAGGCGTTCACTTAGTGTGCAATTCTTTTTTTTACGAGATTCCATTCTATTATAAAAAGTTTAAGTAATTAAAAATTGATTACAAATATTGTCTATGTCCTGAGTTGCCATCCCTCGTAGTTTTATATTAGAATATCCAAGAAAGTTTAGGGGAGATCACTCCCGGTTTATTTACTATGTTGAACAGATGCATGAATTATTGGCCTTTTATATTAATGTTGTCAAACTTAACAACTAATATGAAGTCTTTAAAATGAAAATAACATTAATATTTGACATTTACTTTTTAAAACTGTAAATCATATAGTAACGTCATACTTTCTGAATACCCCACCTCGTCATATATTGTCACTAAAGTTCGACTCCCCTCTACTTGATTTTAAAATGTATTCCTCTCGATTTAGCACCAGTGTTTCTTCCAGACTTTTTTCTCCGGGGGGAGGGGGGCACAGTGGCGCCTGCATTCGTTTTAAAAAGCGCCACACACTAGAGAAATACGGTGGGCTACAACAATCAATGACTAGATCAAACCAGGGGTCGCACCAGGCACCTCTGCAGTAACGTGACTTAAGGGGCCAGCAGCGCCCCGCGACGAGCCTAAACTTTGATCACTAGGATCTTGTGACGACCCTAAACTTTGATCACTAGGATCTTGTGACGAGCCTAAACTTTGATCAATAGGATCTTGTGACGACCCTAAACTTTGATCACTAGGATCTTGTGACGAGCCTAAACTTTGATCACTAGGATCTTGTGACGAGCCTAAACTTTGATCACTAGGATCTTGTGACGACCCTAAACTTTGATCACTAGGATCTTGTGACGAGCCTAAACTTTGATCACTAGGATCTTGTGACGACCCTAAACTTTGATCACTAGGATCTTGTGACGACCCTAAACTTTGATCACTAGGATCTTGTGACGAGCCTAAACTTTGATCCTACAGCCAAGTTGGCGCTGGGATCTTGTGACAACCCTAAACTTTGATCCTAGAGCCAAGTTGGCGCTGGGATCTTGAGTTTGACTGTGTTATGCAGCTTTAAAATGACATAATTTTTTGGTACCCTGTTTGGCACTACATTGGGTTGGTGCCTGGAGCGGCTCTCCCTTAGTTCCATCTCTGCAACAACCAACAGCTCATGGTCAAGCTTGAAGGGTTAAACCATCATTTCAAAGGATGTCTTGCTGTAACAGCTCAAACATTTCCTACAAGCACATCTTTGTATAATGACCAAGTCCAAGAGTTTTAAGCCAGAGAATATTGTATAAATATTTATTAGTAAAGTGTGCAGTCACATGTAGAATACTCAGAGCTGAAAATCTGGAGGCAAATATAATATTGAATACTTTGATATCATAGTAGTATTAAATGTGTACATGCATCAATACAGCTTTCTATATCCCTTCTGTTGAATATGTACACAATAAATATAACCGAAGACAGCCCTAATATTTTGTTTAAAAACATGAAGACTTGAGTTACAAATAAAATGCCCCTCAGCAGTTAAAAAGGAAAAAAGTGACATTCAATAATAACAGATCTGTATTATAATTATAGCACAACAAAAACACTTGTGTCAATGAATAACAGATCTGTATTATAATTATAGCACCAGTCATGTCTGACCAAGAGAATGTACAAAACAATAAGGCACTCATTTTGTTAAACAAATACAAAAACATTAAAGATGCTTGGTCCAGAATAATTACCCAATGAACATTCCATTCAATGCCAACATAATTTGCATAAACATGTCTTAAGGAATCCCCAACCCTGACCACATGCCAGAAAAAAACAGCTATTTCCTGGTCAAACTAATTGTACAACACACTTTATATTTAACTTAAAACTTTTAAGGACATAATGTATTGAACTATGTGACGATTATTTGCTGATATTATATAAGAGAATACTTTATTATGGAATAAATATTTCAGTTAAACAACTTTCATGCAGAAAATCTACTGAAGAAATGTGCAGAAAAACAAAATGTCTGATCATATAACATAACAAATGGCAGCTTCAAACATGGCAAGAGCATGCATACACAGACAGTTGTAGTCCATTCTTTTTGGCTGATCCAATTAATTTTTAAAACTGGTAAAACAAGTTTGTGTACACTTCATTTTAAATGTAGTGTAGACACTAAACACAGATGGTTGAGACAAATAGATGAGACATCATGGTAACCATTTTATGCTAGTTTAGGGTGAGAATCTAAATGTGACCCACACTGTCAAGGTTAAGCATGTGACCCTCATTGTCATTGTAGGTTGTGACCCATTGTGTAAAAAATTTTTTCATAAAATCTTCATAAAAATGTTAACCAACCAAGTTTTAAAATAACTAAGAAAATCTAGCTAAAAATATACCCGAGGCTGTAATAAAACTTTTGCAAGATCTCAACCAATGGAATGAATACAAAATTATGTACAATGCAAGAAACAAATGGCACGAGCAGCAGTTTAAAAACAAAAAATCACTTAAATGATTCAGCAAAACAACTTTAACATCCAAATTCTTGCCTAAACATATTGCCAGATAAATTGGCACTACAATTAAGATTAAAAAAAAAAAAGCAAACAAACATGAACACAAACTTTGTAAGAAAATAAGACAAGTTTTTTGTATAAGTGAATAGAGAAGTTATTATTTCTACTTAAGAAGCTGCCTGCCGTAAAATTTACGATTCAGGAGAAAAATGAGGAGATTAACATTGATTCTTGCTTTGTTAAACATTTTCATGACAGCTACACCCTCATACTGAAGCTTGAGGAGATCCTGAAACAAAGAAACAAATTTAGCTAGAGACCAGCAGTACAAACACATCTAACAGAACTAGGTGCAAACATCTAACAACATCAGAATGCATGGCATGGAGTATGTATGGATGTTAACATGTTAATGCTAACAGCCTTATACAACAGTTAAGGCGTATGTGTGTATGCTGACATATTACTGCTTACACAATTAAACTGCATGTTATGGCATATGTATGTTTGTAGACCAATGTTAAGAACTGTTGCATCTGACAGACTAGCCCCAACAAATTAGGAGCACATTTTAACATAAGATGTCATAGGACATAGTGTGTGTGTGTGTAGTATCTTGTGTTGTGGTAGCTAATGTGCAGTGGGTTGATAGCATTTGTAACAGTAGTGTAGTTTAAAGTTAAATTCTATTCCACTGCAGGTATTTGTAACAGTAGCATAGTTAAAAGTTAAATTCCACTGCAGACAACATTATGAGCAACATGTGTCTGCAGACAACATTTTGAGCAACATGTGTCTGCAGACAACATTTTGAGCAACATGTGTGTCTGCAGACAACATTTTGAGCAACATGTGTGTCTGCAGACAACATTATGAGCAACATGTGTGTCTGCAGACAACATTATGAGCAACATGTGTATCTGCAGACAACATTATGAGCAACATGTGTGTCTGCAGACAACATTATGAGCAACATGTGTATCTGCAGACAACATTATGAGCAACATGTGTGTCTGCAGACATTATGAGCAACATGTGTGTCTGCAGACAACATTATGAGCAACATGTGTGTCCACTTACTTGAAAAATGAGTTCTACTTTATCCATGCTGACTCCCATAAACTTAGCATTGACATCAAAAACACCCGGATCCTCTGTTGAACTGATCTCAAACATGACATTCTTTAACCTGTAACACAAACATGACATTCTTTAACCTGTAACACAAACATACATGATTTTCTTTAAATATGGTATCTCATATATTTATTAAGTCTTAACCATGGTATATTTAGCCTGAACTTTAAAGTTAGGAATTGACTGTAAACTTTGGTGTCAGGAATTAACTCCAAACTATGATATATCATGAACTTAGTATAAACTTAAAACATATTTATCATGGGTCGATTCAATGATACAGTATTGAGTCTGACTGTACAACTGACATATTATCCCACAATCTAAACCAGTGGAGATACTAAATTATATTGTGTACAACTGATTATGACTGACTAGTGTAGATTATACTGTGTACAACTGATGTACGACTGACTAGTGTAGAGGTTTGTGATGTGTTTACTTACTGTGCCTGGGGCAATCCTTCAATCTCTAACACTACACCCTTTTCATGCAAGCGAGCTCCTGTATAAGTGATAGAACCTTTGTTTTTCTGATCCCCACGGCGAAAGAGACCAGATTTTCTATTTTTTCTGTTAGAACACATCAAACAACAATTCAGTTACATAATGACAAAAATTACATAGGAATTATCACTCGAACTGTCAAGTTACTAAAAACATGACATAATGTTCAGCTTTGAAAGGATGACAGTCTCGAGTTCGAACCCTCGGGCACATGAGGCTCGTTAGCTGGGGACAGCCACTCTTCTAGGAGAGACAACTCCAAAATTAAACTGCTGCCTTGTAGTTTGTTCTTGGTTGGACAAAGGCTACGGAAGCAAATCCAAAAAGAAAAGCAGGCTGAAATCGGAGTCAATGGCCTCAATGGCGCAAAACCAGTTGACACGTAACGCTTAATTGTGTTGGAGGCGTGGTCGAGTCGGCAAGAAGCTCATGGTTGATACATTCGAACACTCTCGAGTTCAAACCCACTGGCAGATAAATCTCGATCCCCTTCAAAACTTATAATTAAGAACGAAGAAGAAGAAGAAGAAAGGATGACATTGAACTCTAGCTTGGTCAAAAATTTAAATTGTTGTTTGGTCAGTTAGCTAAAGCTTAACAAGTAAACTTTTATTAACATGCATTTTTATAAAAAAAAAGTTTTATATAAAACTTGTGCAGGTAAAGTAATACTCACTTGGTTTTACTCTGTAGATTATCCATGCAAGTCTTGACGTACTGGTTGTAGTAATCTATTTGCGACTCATAGAATGTGCGCTTATCACTTAAACTTTTGATGGTTGACCGGAGTCTCATTAACTCTTGTTTGCGGTTATTACGATAGCGTCTTTGATTGCGTATATCCTGCAAGGTTATATAGAAAATAATATATAAAAAGCGAGTGAGTTTTGCAAGCATATCAATGTTTGCTAGCTGGACCAAAACATGAAGACTACAGTACCTGTACTATGGCATTGAGAAGGTCTTGGTATTTATTCTGTTTACTGACCATGCCAGCCAGCTCTAAAGTTTGAAGATTGGCCTTAACTTTTGTTTTCATAACCTCCATTGGCAATCTAAGCCATACAAAAAAAAAATTATTCTTCATCAGTCATTTCAACTTAATTGTTCTATGGCATCTGGATGGACATATAACTTGTTATTTGCAACTTAATTGGCGTATGGTATATGTATGGACATATGACTTTTCATTTGAACCTAAATGACTTAGATCTGAGAGTAAAGTAGGACTTACCTGGTGTCACCAAGGATGGATGCATGGCGCATTAACTTTTTGCCCTCTGCCTGGGACTGAGAAACTTTTTTATCAATGAGATCTCGTTTCTTCACTAGAGCCTGATGCAGTTCTTCCTGCTGCTGGTTGCACGGCGCATCCAATACAATGACCAGGTTGTCCCCTGGTTGACAGGCTATGACATCCACTATCATACGCTTGGTTCTAAAAGAAATCATATGAAAAGAGTTTCAAATATTGAGCAATAAAAAAATTTCAAGCAGCTAAAACTTCTTTAGCAATATTAGGATAAAAAGGAAGAAAACATTTTTTTAAAGTTCTCCAAACGGCCATAGCTAATTGTGGCATCTATAAGAACGAAATCAATCACCTGATGAGAAGGGTCTTCATATCAGCTTTGTCGTCAGTCTGGATGTCAAACTTGTTAGACAATGTTAAGGAAATTTCTGTTTTGGCCATCTGAGACCTGAGGGCATCATTGGTGGCTTCATCTTTGGTTAGAGCTGTTCCCAGCAGTTCATCAATGGTCGGTGCTTCTCCAAGGTCCTCTAATAACTCATGCAAAGGATCTGAGGGTTCTGGGGCGATGGTGTCTTGGTGCTCAAGTAACAACTGAACAATACAAACAGAGGATCTGAGGGTTCTGGGGCTTACAGCTATTTCTAATGACAGTAGATTAACTGGTCCATAACAAAATTTTCTAAAACCTAAAAATTAGATACAGAAAGTCAATTAATTAAAGTTGAAGTGTCCTTACTTGATGTGTATCAACTATCTCCCCCACAGAAATGTAGACCACAGGTTTGGCAATCATGGTAACATCACTGTACTGGTCTACATTGAACCTCACCTCAGGTTCCTCTACATCACAAGCTGCAAGGCAATACTTCCTGAAACACATTTCATACATTCACCTGAGGGAGGCAATACATCCTGAAACACATTCATACATTTATCTAAGGGGCAATACTTCCTGAAACACACATTCATACATTCACCTGAGGGAGGCAATACTTCCTGAAACACATTCATACATTTATCTAAGGGGCAATACTTCCTGAAACACATTCATACATTCACCTGAGGGAAGCAATACTTCCTGAAACACATTCATACATTCACCTGAGGGAAGCAATACATCCTGAAACACATTCATACATTCACATGAGGGAAGCAATACATCCTGAAACACAAATTTATCTGAGGAAGCAATACTTCCTGAAACACACATTCATACATTCACCCGAGGGAAGCAATACATCCTGAAACACAAATTTATCTGAGGGAAGCAATACTTCCTGAAACACACATTCATACATTCACCTGAGGGAAGCAATACTTCCTGAAACACACATTCATACATTTATCTGAGGGAGGCAATACTTCCTGAAACACATTCATACATTCACCTGAGGGAGGAAATACTTCCTGAAACACACATTCACCTGAGGGAGGCAATACTTCCTGAAACACACATTCACCTGAGGGAAGCAATACTTCCTGAAACACACATTTATCTGAGGGAAGTAATACTTCCTGAAACACACATTCATACATTTATCTGAGGGAGGCAATAATTCCTGAAACACACATTCACCTGAGGGAAGCAATACTTCCTGAAATACACATTTATCTGAGGGAGGCAATACTTCCTGAAACACATTCATACATTCACCTGAGGGAAGCAATACTTCCTGAAACACACATTTATCTGAGGGAAGTAATACTTCCTGAAACACACATTCATACATTCACCTGAGGGAAGCAATACTTCCTGAAACACACATTCATACATTTATCTGAGGGAGGCAATACTTCCTGAAACACACATTTATCTGAGGGAAGTAATACTTCCTGAAACACACATTCATACATTCACCTGAGGGAAGCAATACTTCCTGAAACACACATTCATACATTCACCTGAGGGAAGCAATACTTCCTGAAACACACATTCATTCATTTATCTGAGGGAAGCAATACTTCCTGAAACACACATTTATCTGAGGGAAGTAATACTTCCTGAAACACACATTCATACATTCACCTGAGGGAAGCAATACTTCCTGAAACACACATTCATACATTTATCTGAGGGAGGCAATACTTCCTGAAACACACATTCATACATTTATCTGAGGGAGGCAATACTTCCTGAAACACAAATTTATCTGAGGGAAGCAATACTTCCTGAAACACACATTCATACATTCACCTGAGGGAAGCAATACATCCTGAAACACACTTTCATACATTCACCTGAGGGAAGCAATACTTCCTGAAACACAAATTTATCTGAGGGAAGCAATACTTCCTGAAACACACATTCATACATTTATCTGAGGGAGGCAATACTTCCTGAAACACACATTCATACATTTATCTGAGGGAGGCAATACTTCCTGAAACACAAATTTATCTGAGGGAAGCAATACTTCCTGAAACACACATTCATACATTCACCTGAGGGAAGCAATACATCCTGAAACACACATTCATACATTCACCTGAGGGAAGCAATACTTCCTGAAACACAAATTTATCTGAGGGAAGCAATACTTCCTGAAACACACATTCATACATTTATCTGAGGGAGGCAATACTTCCTGAAACACACATTCATACATTTATCTGAGGGAGGCAATACTTCCTGAAACACACATTCATACATTTATCTGAGGGAGGCAATACTTCCTGAAACACACATTCATACATTTATCTGAGGGAGGCAATACTTCCTGAAACACACATTCATACATTTATCTGAGGGAAGCAATACTTCCTGAAACACACATTCATACATTTATCTGAGGGAGGCAATACTTCCTGAAACACACATTCATACATTTATCTGAGGGAAGCAATACATCATGAAACACAAATTTATCTGAGGGAAGCAATACTTCCTGAAACACACATTCATACATTTATCTGAGGGAGGCAATACTTCCTGAAACACACATTCATACATTTATCTGAGGGAGGCAATACTTCCTGAAACACACATTCACCTGAGGGAAGCAACACTTCCTGAAACACACATTCATACATTTATCTGAGGGAGGCAATACTTCCTGAAACACACATTCATACATTCACCTGAGGGAGGCAATACTTCCTGAAACACACATTCATACATTCATCTGAGGGAAGCAATACTTCCTGAAACACATTCATACATTCACCTGAGGGAGGCAATACTTCCTGAAACACACATTCATACATTTATCTGAGGGAAGCAATACTTCCTGAAACACACATTCATACATTTATCTGAGGGAGGCAATACTTCCTGAAACACACATTCATACATTTATCTGAGGGAAGCAATACTTCCTGAAACACACATTCATACATTTATCTGAGGGAGGCAATACTTCCTGAAACACACATTCATACATTTATCTGAGGGAAGCAATACATCATGAAACACAAATTTATCTGAGGGAAGCAATACTTCCTGAAACACACATTCATACATTTATCTGAGGGAGGCAATACTTCCTGAAACACACATTCATACATTTATCTGAGGGAGGCAATACTTCCTGAAACACACATTCACCTGAGGGAAGCAACACTTCCTGAAACACACATTCATACATTTATCTGAGGGAGGCAATACTTCCTGAAACACACATTCATACATTCACCTGAGGGAAGCAATACTTCCTGAAACACACATTCATACATTTATCTGAGGGAAGCAATACTTCCTGAAACACACATTCACCTGAGGGAAGCAACACTTCCTGAAACACACATTCATACATTTATCTGAGGGAGGCAATACTTCCTGAAACACACATTCATACATTTATCTGAGGGAAGCAATACTTCCTGAAACACACATTTATCTGAGGGAGGCAATACTTCCTGAAACACACATTCATACATTTATCTGAGGGAGGCAATACTTCCTGAAACACACATTCATACATTCACCTGAGGGAAGCAATACTTCCTGAAACACACATTCATACATTTATCTGAGGGAAGCAATACTTCCTGAAACACACATTCACCTGAGGGAAGCAACACTTCCTGAAACACACATTCATACATTTATCTGAGGGAGGCAATACTTCCTGAAACACACATTCATACATTCACCTGAGGGAAGCAATACTTCCTGAAACACACATTCATACATTTATCTGAGGGAGGCAATACTTCCTGAAACACACATTCATACATTCACCTGAGGGAAGCAATACTTCCTGAAACACACATTCATACATTTATCTGAGGGAAGCAATACTTCCTGAAACACACATTCATACATTCACCTGAGGGAAGCAATACTTCCTGAAACACACATTCATACATTTATCTGAGGGAGGCAATACTTCCTGAAACACACATTCATACATTCACCTGAGGGAAGCAATACTTCCTGAAACACACATTCATACATTCACCTGAGGGAAGCAATACTTCCTGAAACACACATTCATACATTTATCTGAGGGAAGCAATACTTCCTGAAACACACATTCATACATTCACCTGAGGGAAGCAATACTTCCTGAAACACACATTCATACATTCACCTGAGGGAAGCAATACTTCCTGAAACACACATTCATACATTTATCTGAGGGAAGCAATACTTCCTGAAACACACATTCATACATTCACCTGAGGGAAGCAATACTTCCTGAAACACACATTCATACATTTATCTGAGGGAAGCAATACTTCCTGAAACACACATTCATACATTCACCTGAGGGAAGCAATACTTCCTGAAACACACATTCATACATTTATCTGAGGGAGGCAATACTTCCTGAAACACACATTCATACATTCACCTGAGGGAGGCAATACTTCCTGAAACACACATTCATACATTTATCTGAGGGAGGCAATACTTCCTGAAACACACATTCATACATTCACCTGAGGGAAGCAATACTTCCTGAAACACACATTCATAAATTTATCTGAGGGAAGCAATACTTCCTGAAACACACATTCATACATTCACCTGAGGGAAGCAATACTTCCTGAAACACACATTCATAAATTTATCTGAGGGAGGCAATACTTCCTGAAACACACATTCATACATTCACCTGAGGGAAGCAATACTTCCTGAAACACACATTCATACATTTATCTGAGGGAGGCAATACTTCCTGAAACACACATTCATACATTCACCTGAGGGAAGCAATACTTCCTGAAACACACATTCATACATTCACCTGAGGGAGGCAATACATCCTGAAACACATTCATACATTCACCTGAGGGAAGCAATACTTCCTGAAACACACATTCATACATTCACCTGAGGGAAGCAATACTTCCTGAAACACACATTCACCTGAGGGAAGCAATACTTCCTGAAACACACATTCATACATTCACCTGAGGGAAGCAATACTTCCTGAAACACACATTCACCTGAGGGAAGCAATACTTCCTGAAACACACATTCATACATTCACCTGAGGGAAGCAATACTTCCTGAAACACACATTCATACATTCACCTGAGGGAAGCAATACTTCCTGAAACACACATTCACCTGAGGGAAGCAATACTTCCTGAAACACACATTCATACATTCACCTGAGGGAAGCAATACTTCCTGAAACACACATTCATACATTCACCTGAGGGAAGCAACACTTCCTGAAACACACATTCATACATTCACCTGAGGGAAGCAATACTTCCTGAAACACACATTCATACATTTATCTGAGGGAAGCAACACTTCCTGAAACACACATTCATACATTCACCTGAGGGAAGCAATACTTCCTGAAACACACATTCATACATTCACCTGAGGGAAGCAATACTTCCTGAAACACACATTCACCTGAGGGAAGCAATACTTCCTGAAACACACATTCATACATTCACCTGAGGGAAGCAATACTTCCTGAAACACACATTCATACATTCACCTGAGGGAAGCAATACTTCCTGAAACACACATTCATACATTCACCTGAGGGAAGCAATACTTCCTGAAACACACATTCATACATTCACCTGAGCCTGAAACACACATTCATACATTCACCTGAGGGAAGCAATACTTCCTGAAACACACATTCATACATTCACCTGAGGGAAGCAACACTTCCTGAAACACACATTCATACATTCACCTGAGGGAAGCAATACTTCCTGAAACACACATTCATACATTTATCTGAGGGAAGCAACACTTCCTGAAACACACATTCATACATTCACCTGAGGGAAGCAATACTTCCTGAAACACACATTCATACATTCACCTGAGGGAAGCAATACTTCCTGAAACACACATTCATACATTCACCTGAGGGAAGCAATACTTCCTGAAACACACATTCATACATTCACCTGAGGGAAGCAATACTTCCTGAAACACTTATTTATCTGATTGAGGTAATACTTAATTAAAATAAAGGGATTACCAGATACTTTACAGACATAAGATGATATTCTTTAAAAAATCAAATAAAAAGAGGTTGGTGCTGGCCTACAAGATTTTTCTGATTCCAGTCATTTAACCAAAATATAGATGTGTGAAACAAAAACTTACTTGAACTTCTCATGCGCATTTCTGATGTAGTCATTCATGCTGGCAAGGTAAGAGCTTTCACCACCAAACTAAGGGTAAAAAAATATACACATAAACAGCTGCACCCATAAACTCCTAACTTTTACAATAGATTTAAAGATTACATCTGAGAAGGTCTTGTAAAACTACAGGACTTGTCTATGAAAAAACCAGCTGATATTTACCCCTTTATTGGAAGCAGCAAACTGGAGAATCTTGGCGATGGAACCGAGATTTCGTCTCTGGTCATTGGTTAGAGCTTTCTCAGCTCCAACATTCACAATGTCAAATGCATCTGGGGCAACAATAGCGGAGTTGATGTATCTGTAGTAGAGCAGGTTGCCAACTATCTGCAAGAGGAAAACATCTTTCACACAACTGCTAGGCCATGACAACTATCTGCTAGAAGTAAACATCTTTCACACAACTGCTAGGCCAGGGGAACTATCTGCTTAGATAAAATATTTACCTTCAAAATATCTTTTTCCTGAGCATCTGGAAACTTTTTCTCTAAACACTCCTTCATTACTTTAGCCATGTAACACTCCTTCATTACTTTAGCCATGTATCTCATGCCATATCTGTTGGGAGAAATAAAACAAAGACCACTCAATGGCTGCCTTGGTCAAGGTCCACTCGATGGCTGCCTTGGTCAAGGTCCACTCGATGGCTGCCTTGGTCAAGGTCCACTCGATGGCTGCCTTGGTCAAGGTCCACTCGATGGCTGCCTTGGTCAAGGTCCACTCAATGGCTACCTTGGTCAAGGTCCACTCAATGGCTGCCTTGGTCAAGGTCCACTCAATGGCTGCCTTGGTCAATGTCCACTCAATGGCTGCCTTGGTCAAGGTCAACTCAGTTGACTTTGACAAGGCAATGAAACTTGCCTATAACTTTTTTCAAAAATCTGTAATCAAATCTGTATGTATGTAATATAACAACAGACACACAACTTACGGAATGCTATCTAAGGAAGAAAGAATTTTATTGAGGAACAGATCAGTTACATCCTGCAAGCGTTTAATTGTTTCCTCTATTTGGACTTTCACTTCCTCATGCAGCAAGGCTTGCTCTGTAGAAACATCATAAGGGAGCTCACTGCAAACAAAAAATATTTTAGAACTATTTGTCTTAAAACTGGCATCAAAGATAAGAATACTTAGGCCATTCAAGTCGTCAGGCTAAAGCAATGACCTACCACACAAGTCAAGCATGATTGTGTACCTAGTTTTTCCTGTCAAGCATGATTGTGTACCTAGTTTTTCCTGTCAAGCATGATTGTGTACCTAGTTTTTCCTGTCAAGCATGATTGTGTACCTAGTTTTTCCTGTCAAGCATGATTGTGTACCTAGTTTTTCCTGTCAAGCATGATTGTGTACCTAGTTTTTCCTGTCAAGCATGATTGTGTACCTAGTTTTTCCTGTCAAGCATGATTGTGTACCTAGTTTTTCCTGTCAAGCATGATTGTGTACCTAGTTTTTCCTGTCAAGCATGATTGTGTACCTAGTTTTTCCTGTCAAGCATGATTGTGTACCTAGTTTTTCCTGTCAAGCATGATTGTGTACCTAGTTTTTCCTGTCAAGCATGATTGTGTACCTAGTTTTTCCTGTCAAGCATGATTGTGTACCTAGTTTTTCCTGTCAAGCATGATTGTGTACCTAGTTTTTCCTGTCAAGCATGATTGTGTACCTAGTTTTTCCTGTCAAGCATGATTGTGTACCTAGTTTTTCCTGTCAAGCATGATTGTGTACCTAGTTTTTCCTGTCAAGCATGATTGTGTACCTAGTTTTTCCTGTCAAGCATGATTGTGTACCTAGTTTTTCCTGTCAAGCATGATTGTGTACCTAGTTTTTCCTGTCAAGCATGATTGTGTACCTAGTTTTTCCTGTCAAGCATGATTGTGTACCTAGTTTTTCCTGTCAAGCATGATTGTGTACCTAGTTTTTCCTGTCAAGCATGATTGTGTACCTAGTTTTTCCTGTCAAGCATGATTGTGTACCTAGTTTTTCCTGTCAAGCATGATTGTGTACCTAGTTTTTCCTGTCAAGCATGATTGTGTACCTAGTTTTTCCTGTCAAGCATGATTGTGTACCTAGTTTTTCCTGTCAAGCATGATTGTGTACCTAGTTTTTCCTGTCAAGCATGATTGTGTACCTAGTTTTTCCTGTCAAGCATGATTGTGTACCTAGTTTTTCCTGTCAAGCATGATTGTGTACCTAGTTTTTCCTGTCAAGCATGATTGTGTACCTAGTTTTTCCTGTCAAGCATGATTGTGTACCTAGTTTTTCCTGTCAAGCATGATTGTGTACCTAGTTTTTCCTGTCAAGCATGATTGTGTACCTAGTTTTTCCTGTCAAGCATGATTGTGTACCTAGTTTTTCCTGTCAAGCATGATTGTGTACCTAGTTTTTCCTGTCAAGCATGATTGTGTACCTAGTTTTTCCTGTCAAGCATGATTGTGTACCTAGTTTTTCCTGTCAAGCATGATTGTGTACCTAGTTTTTCCTGTCAAGCATGATTGTGTACCTAGTTTTTCCTGTCAAGCATGATTGTGTACCTAGTTTTTCCTGTCAAGCATGATTGTGTACCTAGTTTTTCCTGTCAAGCATGATTGTGTACCTAGTTTTTCCTGTCAAGCATGATTGTGTACCTAGTTTTTCCTGTCAAGCATGATTGTGTACCTAGTTTTTCCTGTCAAGCATGATTGTGTACCTAGTTTTTCCTGTCAAGCATGATTGTGTACCTAGTTTTTCCTGTCAAGCATGATTGTGTACCTAGTTTTTCCTGTCAAGCATGATTGTGTACCTAGTTTTTCCTGTCAAGCATGATTGTGTACCTAGTTTTTCCTGTCAAGCATGATTGTGTACCTAGTTTTTCCTGTCAAGCATGATTGTGTACCTAGTTTTTCCTGTCAAGCATGATTGTGTACCTAGTTTTTCCTGTCAAGCATGATTGTGTACCTAGTTTTTCCTGTCAAGCATGATTGTGTACCTAGTTTTTCCTGTCAAGCATGATTGTGTACCTAGTTTTTCCTGTCAAGCATGATTGTGTACCTAGTTTTTCCTGTCAAGCATGATTGTGTACCTAGTTTTTCCTGTCAAGCATGATTGTGTACCTAGTTTTTCCTGTCAAGCATGATTGTGTACCTAGTTTTTCCTGTCAAGCATGATTGTGTACCTAGTTTTTCCTGTCAAGCATGATTGTGTACCTAGTTTTTCCTGTCAAGCATGATTGTGTACCTAGTTTTTCCTGTCAAGCATGATTGTGTACCTAGTTTTTCCTGTCAAGCATGATTGTGTACCTAGTTTTTCCTGTCAAGCATGATTGTGTACCTAGTTTTTCCTGTCAAGCATGATTGTGTACCTAGTTTTTCCTGTCAAGCATGATTGTGTACCTAGTTTTTCCTGTCAAGCATGATTGTGTACCTAGTTTTTCCTGTCAAGCATGATTGTGTACCTAGTTTTTCCTGTCAAGCATGATTGTGTACCTAGTTTTTCCTGTCAAGCATGATTGTGTACCTAGTTTTTCCTGTCAAGCATGATTGTGTACCTAGTTTTTCCTGTCAAGCATGATTGTGTACCTAGTTTTTCCTGTCAAGCATGATTGTGTACCTAGTTTTTCCTGTCAAGCATGATTGTGTACCTAGTTTTTCCTGTCAAGCATGATTGTGTACCTAGTTTTTCCTGTCAAGCATGATTGTGTACCTAGTTTTTCCTGTCAAGCATGATTGTGTACCTAGTTTTTCCTGTCAAGCATGATTGTGTACCTAGTTTTTCCTGTCAAGCATGATTGTGTACCTAGTTTTTCCTGTCAAGCATGATTGTGTACCTAGTTTTTCCTGTCAAGCATGATTGTGTACCTAGTTTTTCCTGTCAAGCATGATTGTGTACCTAGTTTTTCCTGTCAAGCATGATTGTGTACCTAGTTTTTCCTGTCAAGCATGATTGTGTACCTAGTTTTTCCTGTCAAGCATGATTGTGTACCTAGTTTTTCCTGTCAAGCATGATTGTGTACCTAGTTTTTCCTGTCAAGCATGATTGTGTACCTAGTTTTTCCTGTCAAGCATGATTGTGTACCTAGTTTTTCCTGTCAAGCATGATTGTGTACCTAGTTTTTCCTGTCAAGCATGATTGTGTACCTAGTTTTTCCTGTCAAGCATGATTGTGTACCTAGTTTTTCCTGTCAAGCATGATTGTGTACCTAGTTTTTCCTGTCAAGCATGATTGTGTACCTAGTTTTTCCTGTCAAGCATGATTGTGTACCTAGTTTTTCCTGTCAAGCATGATTGTGTACCTAGTTTTTCCTGTCAAGCATGATTGTGTACCTAGTTTTTCCTGTCAAGCATGATTGTGTACCTAGTTTTTCCTGTCAAGCATGATTGTGTACCTAGTTTTTCCTGTCAAGCATGATTGTGTACCTAGTTTTTCCTGTCAAGCATGATTGTGTACCTAGTTTTTCCTGTCAAGCATGATTGTGTACCTAGTTTTTCCTGTCAAGCATGATTGTGTACCTAGTTTTTCCTGTCAAGCATGATTGTGTACCTAGTTTTTCCTGTCAAGCATGATTGTGTACCTAGTTTTTCCTGTCAAGCATGATTGTGTACCTAGTTTTTCCTGTCAAGCATGATTGTGTACCTAGTTTTTCCTGTCAAGCATGATTGTGTACCTAGTTTTTCCTGTCAAGCATGATTGTGTACCTAGTTTTTCCTGTCAAGCATGATTGTGTACCTAGTTTTTCCTGTCAAGCATGATTGTGTACCTAGTTTTTCCTGTCAAGCATGATTGTGTACCTAGTTTTTCCTGTCAAGCATGATTGTGTACCTAGTTTTTCCTGTCAAGCATGATTGTGTACCTAGTTTTTCCTGTCAAGCATGATTGTGTACCTAGTTTTTCCTGTCAAGCATGATTGTGTACCTAGTTTTTCCTGTCAAGCATGATTGTGTACCTAGTTTTTCCTGTCAAGCATGATTGTGTACCTAGTTTTTCCTGTCAAGCATGATTGTGTACCTAGTTTTTCCTGTCAAGCATGATTGTGTACCTAGTTTTTCCTGTCAAGCATGATTGTGTACCTAGTTTTTCCTGTCAAGCATGATTGTGTACCTAGTTTTTCCTGTCAAGCATGATTGTGTACCTAGTTTTTCCTGTCAAGCATGATTGTGTACCTAGTTTTTCCTGTCAAGCATGATTGTGTACCTAGTTTTTCCTGTCAAGCATGATTGTGTACCTAGTTTTTCCTGTCAAGCATGATTGTGTACCTAGTTTTTCCTGTCAAGCATGATTGTGTACCTAGTTTTTCCTGTCAAGCATGATTGTGTACCTAGTTTTTCCTGTCAAGCATGATTGTGTACCTAGTTTTTCCTGTCAAGCATGATTGTGTACCTAGTTTTTCCTGTCAAGCATGATTGTGTACCTAGTTTTTCCTGTCAAGCATGATTGTGTACCTAGTTTTTCCTGTCAAGCATGATTGTGTACCTAGTTTTTCCTGTCAAGCATGATTGTGTACCTAGTTTTTCCTGTCAAGCATGATTGTGTACCTAGTTTTTCCTGTCAAGCATGATTGTGTACCTAGTTTTTCCTGTCAAGCATGATTGTGTACCTAGTTTTTCCTGTCAAGCATGATTGTGTACCTAGTTTTTCCTGTCAAGCATGATTGTGTACCTAGTTTTTCCTGTCAAGCATGATTGTGTACCTAGTTTTTCCTGTCAAGCATGATTGTGTACCTAGTTTTTCCTGTCAAGCATGATTGTGTACCTAGTTTTTCCTGTCAAGCATGATTGTGTACCTAGTTTTTCCTGTCAAGCATGATTGTGTACCTAGTTTTTCCTGTCAAGCATGATTGTGTACCTAGTTTTTCCTGTCAAGCATGATTGTGTACCTAGTTTTTCCTGTCAAGCATGATTGTGTACCTAGTTTTTCCTGTCAAGCATGATTGTGTACCTAGTTTTTCCTGTCAAGCATGATTGTGTACCTAGTTTTTCCTGTCAAGCATGATTGTGTACCTAGTTTTTCCTGTCAAGCATGATTGTGTACCTAGTTTTTCCTGTCAAGCATGATTGTGTACCTAGTTTTTCCTGTCAAGCATGATTGTGTACCTAGTTTTTCCTGTCAAGCATGATTGTGTACCTAGTTTTTCCTGTCAAGCATGATTGTGTACCTAGTTTTTCCTGTCAAGCATGATTGTGTACCTAGTTTTTCCTGTCAAGCATGATTGTGTACCTAGTTTTTCCTGTCAAGCATGATTGTGTACCTAGTTTTTCCTGTCAAGCATGATTGTGTACCTAGTTTTTCCTGTCAAGCATGATTGTGTACCTAGTTTTTCCTGTCAAGCATGATTGTGTACCTAGTTTTTCCTGTCAAGCATGATTGTGTACCTAGTTTTTCCTGTCAAGCATGATTGTGTACCTAGTTTTTCCTGTCAAGCATGATTGTGTACCTAGTTTTTCCTGTCAAGCATGATTGTGTACCTAGTTTTTCCTGTCAAGCATGATTGTGTACCTAGTTTTTCCTGTCAAGCATGATTGTGTACCTAGTTTTTCCTGTCAAGCATGATTGTGTACCTAGTTTTTCCTGTCAAGCATGATTGTGTACCTAGTTTTTCCTGTCAAGCATGATTGTGTACCTAGTTTTTCCTGTCAAGCATGATTGTGTACCTAGTTTTTCCTGTCAAGCATGATTGTGTACCTAGTTTTTCCTGTCAAGCATGATTGTGTACCTAGTTTTTCCTGTCAAGCATGATTGTGTACCTAGTTTTTCCTGTCAAGCATGATTGTGTACCTAGTTTTTCCTGTCAAGCATGATTGTGTACCTAGTTTTTCCTGTCAAGCATGATTGTGTACCTAGTTTTTCCTGTCAAGCATGATTGTGTACCTAGTTTTTCCTGTCAAGCATGATTGTGTACCTAGTTTTTCCTGTCAAGCATGATTGTGTACCTAGTTTTTCCTGTCAAGCATGATTGTGTACCTAGTTTTTCCTGTCAAGCATGATTGTGTACCTAGTTTTTCCTGTCAAGCATGATTGTGTACCTAGTTTTTCCTGTCAAGCATGATTGTGTACCTAGTTTTTCCTGTCAAGCATGATTGTGTACCTAGTTTTTCCTGTCAAGCATGATTGTGTACCTAGTTTTTCCTGTCAAGCATGATTGTGTACCTAGTTTTTCCTGTCAAGCATGATTGTGTACCTAGTTTTTCCTGTCAAGCATGATTGTGTACCTAGTTTTTCCTGTCAAGCATGATTGTGTACCTAGTTTTTCCTGTCAAGCATGATTGTGTACCTAGTTTTTCCTGTCAAGCATGATTGTGTACCTAGTTTTTCCTGTCAAGCATGATTGTGTACCTAGTTTTTCCTGTCAAGCATGATTGTGTACCTAGTTTTTCCTGTCAAGCATGATTGTGTACCTAGTTTTTCCTGTCAAGCATGATTGTGTACCTAGTTTTTCCTGTCAAGCATGATTGTGTACCTAGTTTTTCCTGTCAAGCATGATTGTGTACCTAGTTTTTCCTGTCAAGCATGATTGTGTACCTAGTTTTTCCTGTCAAGCATGATTGTGTACCTAGTTTTTCCTGTCAAGCATGATTGTGTACCTAGTTTTTCCTGTCAAGCATGATTGTGTACCTAGTTTTTCCTGTCAAGCATGATTGTGTACCTAGTTTTTCCTGTCAAGCATGATTGTGTACCTAGTTTTTCCTGTCAAGCATGATTGTGTACCTAGTTTTTCCTGTCAAGCATGATTGTGTACCTAGTTTTTCCTGTCAAGCATGATTGTGTACCTAGTTTTTCCTGTCAAGCATGATTGTGTACCTAGTTTTTCCTGTCAAGCATGATTGTGTACCTAGTTTTTCCTGTCAAGCATGATTGTGTACCTAGTTTTTCCTGTCAAGCATGATTGTGTACCTAGTTTTTCCTGTCAAGCATGATTGTGTACCTAGTTTTTCCTGTCAAGCATGATTGTGTACCTAGTTTTTCCTGTCAAGCATGATTGTGTACCTAGTTTTTCCTGTCAAGCATGATTGTGTACCTAGTTTTTCCTGTCAAGCATGATTGTGTACCTAGTTTTTCCTGTCAAGCATGATTGTGTACCTAGTTTTTCCTGTCAAGCATGATTGTGTACCTAGTTTTTCCTGTCAAGCATGATTGTGTACCTAGTTTTTCCTGTCAAGCATGATTGTGTACCTAGTTTTTCCTGTCAAGCATGATTGTGTACCTAGTTTTTCCTGTCAAGCATGATTGTGTACCTAGTTTTTCCTGTCAAGCATGATTGTGTACCTAGTTTTTCCTGTCAAGCATGATTGTGTACCTAGTTTTTCCTGTCAAGCATGATTGTGTACCTAGTTTTTCCTGTCAAGCATGATTGTGTACCTAGTTTTTCCTGTCAAGCATGATTGTGTACCTAGTTTTTCCTGTCAAGCATGATTGTGTACCTAGTTTTTCCTGTCAAGCATGATTGTGTACCTAGTTTTTCCTGTCAAGCATGATTGTGTACCTAGTTTTTCCTGTCAAGCATGATTGTGTACCTAGTTTTTCCTGTCAAGCATGATTGTGTACCTAGTTTTTCCTGTCAAGCATGATTGTGTACCTAGTTTTTCCTGTCAAGCATGATTGTGTACCTAGTTTTTCCTGTCAAGCATGATTGTGTACCTAGTTTTTCCTGTCAAGCATGATTGTGTACCTAGTTTTTCCTGTCAAGCATGATTGTGTACCTAGTTTTTCCTGTCAAGCATGATTGTGTACCTAGTTTTTCCTGTCAAGCATGATTGTGTACCTAGTTTTTCCTGTCAAGCATGATTGTGTACCTAGTTTTTCCTGTCAAGCATGATTGTGTACCTAGTTTTTCCTGTCAAGCATGATTGTGTACCTAGTTTTTCCTGTCAAGCATGATTGTGTACCTAGTTTTTCCTGTCAAGCATGATTGTGTACCTAGTTTTTCCTGTCAAGCATGATTGTGTACCTAGTTTTTCCTGTCAAGCATGATTGTGTACCTAGTTTTTCCTGTCAAGCATGATTGTGTACCTAGTTTTTCCTGTCAAGCATGATTGTGTACCTAGTTTTTCCTGTCAAGCATGATTGTGTACCTAGTTTTTCCTGTCAAGCATGATTGTGTACCTAGTTTTTCCTGTCAAGCATGATTGTGTACCTAGTTTTTCCTGTCAAGCATGATTGTGTACCTAGTTTTTCCTGTCAAGCATGATTGTGTACCTAGTTTTTCCTGTCAAGCATGATTGTGTACCTAGTTTTTCCTGTCAAGCATGATTGTGTACCTAGTTTTTCCTGTCAAGCATGATTGTGTACCTAGTTTTTCCTGTCAAGCATGATTGTGTACCTAGTTTTTCCTGTCAAGCATGATTGTGTACCTAGTTTTTCCTGTCAAGCATGATTGTGTACCTAGTTTTTCCTGTCAAGCATGATTGTGTACCTAGTTTTTCCTGTCAAGCATGATTGTGTACCTAGTTTTTCCTGTCAAGCATGATTGTGTACCTAGTTTTTCCTGTCAAGCATGATTGTGTACCTAGTTTTTCCTGTCAAGCATGATTGTGTACCTAGTTTTTCCTGTCAAGCATGATTGTGTACCTAGTTTTTCCTGTCAAGCATGATTGTGTACCTAGTTTTTCCTGTCAAGCATGATTGTGTACCTAGTTTTTCCTGTCAAGCATGATTGTGTACCTAGTTTTTCCTGTCAAGCATGATTGTGTACCTAGTTTTTCCTGTCAAGCATGATTGTGTACCTAGTTTTTCCTGTCAAGCATGATTGTGTACCTAGTTTTTCCTGTCAAGCATGATTGTGTACCTAGTTTTTCCTGTCAAGCATGATTGTGTACCTAGTTTTTCCTGTCAAGCATGATTGTGTACCTAGTTTTTCCTGTCAAGCATGATTGTGTACCTAGTTTTTCCTGTCAAGCATGATTGTGTACCTAGTTTTTCCTGTCAAGCATGATTGTGTACCTAGTTTTTCCTGTCAAGCATGATTGTGTACCTAGTTTTTCCAGTACTGGACTCTGTCTGGTTGATCCAGGCTTTGTAGACCTCCACAGGGTTTGTGTTGATTCGCAGGTTCCTGTCCTCAATCACACGCGTGATCAATGGGTTCAACATTTCCTTTAAGGCATTCTGACCACGCTGGTTTCTGAGGAGTTCATGGAATACATTAGGCATGTATGTGCAAGATTAGCATCTGTATGATTATGGCTATGTGTAAGACTATAATCTGTATGATTATGGCTATGTGTAAGACTATAATCCGTATGATTATGGCTATGTGTAAGGCTATAATCTGTATGATTATGGCTATAGGTAAGACTATAATCTGTATGATTATGGCTATGTGTAAGACTATAATCTGTATGATTATGGCTATGGGTAAGACTATAATCTGTATGATTATGGCTATGTGTAAGACTAATCTGTATGATCATAAAAAAATGCTAACCTGTTAAAACCAACAATCATTTTGACAACCAAAGGATTTCCTGTTACTATGTCAGTCATTTTGTCCACTTTAGAGCTGAAAGATTAAGTACAGTAATGTTAGGAGGTATGGCTGAAAGATTAAGTACAGTTTTTATTAGGAAAATAACAGTACACTTTGAAATAGTAAAGAATGTAAAGAAAACATTGTAGATATAAAGGTTAATTTTATTGCCTTAAAAAACCGTTATGATGAAAAATTGTCTGGTACAACATTTAAAAGGCAGAAATCTCAAATAAAATAAAAAAAAAACAAACCAATATATATAATTCTCTTCATGGAAGTTCCATGCGGGAGCCCACATAAGCATGCTGAACCACCCCCTCCCTCACTGTCTAGGCATATCGCTACCACCCCCACCAGTCTGGTGAGCTCTGGTTCGCAACAAATGTTTACAATCGCAGAGCAGGGTCGAATTAGGGGTCATCCGTTTATGACGTCCACTAGAGGGGGGTGGGGGTCGGTTCAAAAAATAATAACCGACTTTTGTGGGCGCATGTGGACTGGAAGTTGGTTCAGGTCAATGTGGATGTCCACATGAGGAATTAAACCACAAAATACTTACATTTGATCACTTAAAAAATAAATTTAAAAACTGAACATGAAATGTAGATTATACATTAAATCGGCAGTTCTTGTGGTAAATGTATAAGAAATGTAGCTGTATACCGCCCGCATAAACAAAAATAAATTTTTTTTTTCAAGCGGGAGGGGATTGGGCTGTGACTGCGGCAATTTTCTAAAACAATTCATGGTATTTCCAGTTTATTTTTAAACATTTCATATTAGGCTTACATTAATATTTTGTGTTAAAGCCTAAGATGATGTAGATCTAGTCATTTTTTTCAAACAAAAAACTCAAAATAACCACCTTACAATTAGATATTTAAATAACAGTGATTAACTGCGCTTGCTTGGTCAGGTGTGTAAGACTAATGCCCAGCCCAACCACAAAAAGGGAGAGAGGCAGTTTGTTAAAGAAACACATGCCGCGGAAAGTTGAGTAAAAGTAATATAATGAAGTCACGTTGATTAGCCGAATTTAAAATCGTTGATCGCTAGACAGCCACAAGTGACAGTAAAAAGTTAGGTCTAAGCATCTTTAGTTAAAAAAAATGGATGACTACCTGCAGTCTCTAACTCTGAAAAAAAGTGGGTAAAAAAAACCCTTTAAAATTGAGGGGCAGGGTTCACATAAATGGATGACCCTCTAGTGATGGCTATCAGGGGCAGATAATTTAGTTTTTAGATTTGAAACTAAGCGGAGGTAATAAGTTCTGCTTGATCTTTTCATTTTCATCTGTAAACTGTCGCCATGGACAACTGCTTTCACGGTGTGTGTGTGTGAGGATATTTGTTCTTCACGAGCTACTAATAGTGTTTAAAAGCAAAATATTTTTAAGAAGCAAGATTGGTAGTGTTGAATTCACAAATTACGAATTACTGAAAAGTAGAAAATAAAACAACTAAATAGCGGCATAGATATGCTTACGGCGCGGGTCAGCTCATAAAAAAATAAATAAATAAAAGGCATGCAACATTATTTAAATTATTATGAAACCAAAGAAACAGTTATGAAGGGCATGCAACATATTGCTGTAATAAGATTAAAACTGCCGGCAAAGATATAAAAATTTATGGCAATGTAAAAGTTAATATTCAAATGAAAACAAATAGGGTTGCAAGCAGTTGTTTGCCATTACAGTTAAAATTCAATTTTGCTTTAGCATGATATAAGGCCATATAAAATAAACATTTAACATAAATAGCTATCTATCCTTTAGCCAACATTTCAGATCTCAAATAGCTATCTGTTCCTACATTTATAGCACACCTCTCAGCACTGAATCAGTTCTAGTTAACTCTATCATAGTACACCTCTCAGCACTGAATCAGTTCTAGTTAACTCTATCATAGTACACCTCTCAGCACTGAATCAGTTCTAGTTAACTCTATCATAGTACACCTCTCAGCACTGAATCAGCTCTAGTTAACTCTATCATAGCACACCTCTCAGCACTGAATCAGTTCTAGTTAACTCTATCATAGTACACCTCTCAGCACTGAATCAGTTCTAGTTAACTCTATCATAGTACACCTCTCAGCACTGAATCAGTTCTAGTTTACTCTATCATAGTACACCTCTCAGCACTGAATCAGTTCTAGTTAACTCTATCATAGCACACCTCTCAGCACTGAATCAGTTCTAGTTAACTCTATCATAGTACACCTCTCAGCACTGAATCAGTTCTAGTTAGCTCTATCATAGTACACCTCTCAGCACTGAATCAGCTCTAGTTAACTCTATCATAGCACACCTCTCAGCACTGAATCAGTTCTAGTTTACTCTATCATAGCACACCTCTCAGCACTGAATCAGTTCTAGTTAACTCTATCATAGTACACCTCTCAGCACTGAATCAGCTCTAGTTAACTCTATCATAGCACACCTCTCAGCACTGAATCAGTTCTAGTTAACTCTATCATAGTACACCTCTCAGCACTGAATCAGCTCTAGTTAACTCTATCATAGCACACCTCTCAGCACTGAATCAGTTCTAGTTAACTCTATCATAGTACACCTCTCAGCACTGAATCAGTTCTAGTTAACTCTATCATAGTACACCTCTCAGCACTGAATCAGTTCTAGTTTACTCTATCATAGTACACCTCTCAGCACTGAATCAGTTCTAGTTAACTCTATCATAGCACACCTCTCAGCACTGAATCAGTTCTAGTTAACTCTATCATAGTACACCTCTCAGCACTGAATCAGTTCTAGTTAGCTCTATCATAGTACACCTCTCAGCACTGAATCAGCTCTAGTTAACTCTATCATAGCACACCTCTCAGCACTGAATCAGTTCTAGTTTACTCTATCATAGCACACCTCTCAGCACTGAATCAGTTCTAGTTAACTCTATCATAGTACACCTCTCAGCACTGAATCAGCTCTAGTTAACTCTATCATAGCACACCTCTCAGCACTGAATCAGTTCTAGTTAACTCTATCATAGTACACCTCTCAGCACTGAATCAGCTCTAGTTAACTCTATCATAATACACCTCTCAGCACTGAATCAGCTCTAGTTAGCTCTATCATAGTACACCTCTCAGCACTGAATCAGTTCTAGTTAACTCTCTTCTGGCATGCACAAAATTCAAGGCATGCTGTTATCAAAGAGAGACCTGGCTGTTATCAAAGAGAGACCTGGCTGTTATCAAAGAGACCTTAACCAAGGGGAACATGCAGTACTTACATTCTTCTGATGGTGCCCAGATAGGAGGGAAAAGCAAGACAATTTAACATTACCACCATCTACAATGTGCTAACATAGCAACACTAGCTAAAACTGAGCTTAATACATTCACAGCACATGGGTGTGAGCTTAATACATTCACAGCACATGGGTGTGAGCTTAATACATTCATAGCACATGGGTGTGAGCTTAATACATTCACAGCACATGGGTGTGAGCTTAATACATTCACAGCACATGTGTGTGAGCTTAATTCATTTACAGCACATGTGTGAGCTTAATTCATTCACAGAACATGTGTGAAACAGCTGTTAGCAGCTAAAGCAGATTCTGTTATTGTCTACAGTCTCAAGGTGCCCATACAGACAGCTAAAGCAGATTCTGTTATTGTCTACAGTCTCAAGGTCCCCATACAGACAGCTAAAGTAGATTCTGTTATTGTCTACAGTCTCAAGGTCCCCATACAGACAGCTAAAGCAGATTCTGTTATTGTCTACAGTCTCAAGGTGCCCTTACAGACAGCTAAGGTAGATTCTGTTTACCTGTCCTCTGGGCAAGCTCCTTAGACTGACATGTTACCAAGACCACAGCTACAAGACCACACTACTCACTTGATTCTGTCTACCTGTCCTCTGGGCAAGCTCCTTAGACTGACATGTTACCAAGACCGCAGCTACAAGACCACACTACTCACTTGATTCTGTCTACCTGTCCTCTGGGCAAGCTCCTTAGACTGACATGTTACCAAGACCGCAGCTACAAGACCACACTACTCACTTGATTCTGTCTACCTGTCCTCTGGGCAAGCTCCTTAGACTGACATGTTACCAAGACCGCAGCTACAAGACCACACTACTCACTTGATTCTGTCTACCTGTCCTCTGGGCAAGCTCCTTAGACTGACATGTTACCAAGACCGCAGCTACAAGACCACACTACTCACTTGATTCTGTCTACCTGTCCTCTGGGCAAGCTCCTTAGACTGACATGTTACCAAGACCGCAGCTACAAGACCACACTACTCACTTGATTCTGTCTACCTGTCCTCTGGGCAAGCTCCTTAGACTGACATGTTACCAAGACCGCAGCTACAAGACCACACTACTCACTTGATTCTGTCTACCTGTCCTCTGGGCAAGCTCCTTAGACTGACATGTTACCAAGACCGCAGCTACAAGACCACACTACTCACTTGATTCTGTCTACCTGTCCTCTGGGCAAGCTCCTTAGACTGACATGTTACCAAGACCGCAGCTACAAGACCACACTACTCACTTGATTCTGTCTACCTGTCCTCTGGGCAAGCTCCTTAGACTGACATGTTACCAAGACCGCAGCTACAAGACCACACTACTCACTTGATTCTGTCTACCTGTCCTCTGGGCAAGCTCCTTAGACTGACATGTTACCAAGACCGCAGCTACAAGACCACACTACTCACTTGATTCTGTCTACCTGTCCTCTGGGCAAGCTCCTTAGACTGACATGTTACCAAGACCGCAGCTACAAGACCACACTACTCACTTGATTCTGTCTACCTGTCCTCTGGGCAAGCTCCTTAGACTGACATGTTACCAAGACCGCAGCTACAAGACCACACTACTCACTTGATTCTGTCTACCTGTCCTCTGGGCAAGCTCCTTAGACTGACATGTTACCAAGACCGCAGCTACAAGACCACACTACTCACTTGATTCTGTCTACCTGTCCTCTGGGCAAGCTCCTTAGACTGACATGTTACCAAGACCGCAGCTACAAGACCACACTACTCACTTGATTCTGTCTACCTGTCCTCTGGGCAAGCTCCTTAGACTGACATGTTACCAAGACCGCAGCTACAAGACCACACTACTCACTAGATTCTGTCTACCTGTCCTCTGGGCAAGCTCCTTAGACTGACATGTTACCAAGACCGCAGCTACAAGACCACACTACTCACTTGATCTCCTCCTCAAGAGCTTTCTGAAAGAGCTTGGTCAGCAGATATTCCTCACGTTGGTTGGCTCCATAGTTAAAGAGTGAGTAAATGACCGCCTCCATGAACTTGGTGGTGCGAATGTGTGGCATCTCAAAGATCAGCTTGGCCAGGTAATTCGGGGAGGTTTGCAGCAGGTAGAAAAGGTGTTGATAGGTTTCCAGTCGCTCGTGGTTCTCCTTACTTAAAGCTTTCAGGCCCCCACCACGAGCACTCTCTTCACTTCGTCTGGTCAACTTCTTGTTGTGTGTCACAACATCCTGAAATTAAAATCAACTCTCTTCATTTTGTCTGGTCAACTTCTTGTTGTGTGTCACAACATCCTGAAATTAAAATCAACTCTCTTCATTTTGTCTGGTCAACTTCTTGTTGTGTGTCACAACATCCTGAAATTAAAATCAACTCTCTTCATTTTGTCTGGTCAACTTCTTGTTGTGTGTCACAACATCCTGAAATTAAAATCAACTCTCTTCAATTTGTCTGGTCAACTTCTTGTTGTGTGTCACAACATCCTGAAATTAAAATACTTGCTCAACTTGTCAGTCATAAAATCGTTAATATTATTCAGTCAACTACTTTATCCTAAAATGTTTTTCTGACAACTTAGTTGTGAGTCACAATCCAAGTTATCATCTGATATGTACATTACCATCTGATGTGTGTACATCAATATTACTATTAGATGTGTGTACAAAGTGTATCAGGTGTCTTACTTGTAAAGTGATTCTGTTCTTTATCAACAGACCAATTTTGATGTCCATCTGGTCTAAATCTTGTTCCAGCTGCTGATTTGACCGGATCTCTGCGACCACTTGTTGACGAAGTTTCTGAAGTTCTACAAGGTTTTCATTGAAAACATTTTTATAACCATTAGTACAGATACACTCCATCAAGTTCTACAAGGTTTTCATTTGAAACATTTTATAACCATTAGTACAATTACACTCCCTTTAATAGATTTGTATGAATGACACAAACAGTGGGACACAGTAGAGGAACTCAACCATCAAATGACACACTAGGTTAGCTCAACTATCAAATCACACACTAAAGTAGCTCAACCATCAAATGACACATTAGAGGAGCTCAACCATCAAATATGTGGTGAAGTGCACCTACCTAGCTCCTCAGCATAATCATTGTCACTAGCATCAAGTAGGTGAACAAACTTTCTGACAACAGCCAGAGATGGGTTCTTGTCTGTAGCTGCAGGAAGACAAATAAGCGTCAATCACAAGTCCTCACAATACAACATCCATCACAAGTCCCCACAATACAACATCCATCACAAGTCCTCACAATACAACATCCATCACAAGTCCTCACAATACAACATCCATCACAAGTCCTCACAATACAACATCCATCACAAGTCCTCACAATACAACATCCATCACAAGTCCTCACAATACAACATCCATCACAAGTCCTCACAATACAACATCCATCACAAGTCCTCACAATACAACATCCATCACAAGTCCTCACAATTAAACATCCATCACAAGTCCTCACAATACAACATCCATCACAAGTCCTCACAATACAACATCCATCACAAGTCCTCACAATTAAACATCCATCACAAGTCCCTTGACCAAATTCCACCAACATTCATGACAAATAAAAAATCAAACATCCACTACACGTCCCCAAAATAAAACACCCACAACAAGTCCACACAATTGAACATCCAAGACCAAAATCCACCAGCATTTATGACTAAAAATCAAACATTGATAACAGGCTCCCACAAGAACGGTTTACACTTTAGCTTTGGTAAAGATATCCTTCTTACTTAAAGCTTTATAATCTTGTCTTGCTAGATTGGAACGGAAAAATGCTTGAATTTTTACTATAGCATCCTCCTGCAATGTTAGAGTTTTTAAATTAATGTAATGAAAAATGCTTGAATTTTTACTATCCTATCCTCCTGCAATGTTACAATTTTTAAACTAATGTCATGAAAAATGCTTGTTTTTACAGTACTAGACTATAACTAAAATTAATTCTAATCTAAAAATGATTTTATTTAAAAGTGTTGAAACAAAAAACTCATACTTACATTATCTTTGAAGTATTGTAATCTTTTTCTGTATGCTGACCTGTCACGCCACATTCTATAGTAGGACTGCAACTGTTGAGCAAATACATGTACTAGTCAGCATTCATGTCACATTCATGACAGCAGAGAACACAACTTGAAGACTATTTGATCAAACAAACCTTGCTTAACTCTTTACAGTCCGAGGTATCTAAACTATTTTACTTCCCTTATAGCCAGGAGAAATGGTGCATTTTTCAATCATGACAGTTTTTAAAAAAATTACTTTAAAATAACATGTTACAAAAATAAAATATACAGCATTATACACATTATTATGTATAAGGTTAAATAGCATAATAATTTACTAATGATAAATAAAAATATTTATCCCAGAATAACAAACAAAACGCTACTTCTAATATTTCAATAAAAAATGTATTTGATATGCAGTCAGTGCAGCTACTCTCTTTGTCAATATTACTGTATAAATGAAATTATAAATAAAGCTAAGTGAGCAGCAGAGGTATTATAATTAGATTTAATTTCACTAATATAAGTGTATTGTCAGTTATTAAGAAAAAATAATATTCTTAACTTAAGAAAAATTGTATAAAATAAATCTCTTGTGATAGATCAACAAGAAAGTAAAGTAATAAAACTTCCCCCTTCTGCCCTTTGAATTCTTGTAACAAATGATACATCCGTCACTATGCATACTATACATAGTTTGGGCAACAGAGGGCGCTTCAGATTGTACCACATGAAAATATTCTCGGTTGACTGTGGGCACATAAGACTGTAAAGGGTTTCAGAAAACTCTATCAAAGCTATCAGCACATGAAGCAATAACATTATGTATCTGTCACCCACAAGTACTTACCAATGTGACCGAGTCTGCGTTATCTTTAAAGAAATTGATACGATCTCTATATTTATGACGCTGTTTAGATGCTCGCCAGAATGCCTAACATGGACCAGAAAAATTGGCAATTACAAAATAATGTACAACAGCTATGGAAAAAAGAAATTAACACACATTACACGCTTTCTCACCTGAATTTTAACAATAGCAGGCAGCTGTTTCTTCATGAAGTTCACCCGCTCCTTGTAAGCCTTGCGTGCCATATGACCTCTCATGTTAGCCTGGATTTTTGTAATCAATGCTTCGTTTGATTGAAAGAGCATCTGTCTGTCATATTTAGCTGTCACCTCAGATACAACACGCTGTAGAGGACAAAAGCAGATCAAGGAGGTGGTCAATCCTTGTGTTCCCCCAAGTGGTCAATCTACTTGTTTCTCCTTCATGTGGCTAATCCATTCATTGATCCAGCAAGTGAATAATCCACTTGCTCCACCAAATGCAATCCATTTGTTTGACCATATGGTAAAGACAAATTGTTCAGCCCAGCAATGGAGCTCTCCTGTATTATTTTCAAGAGATAAGAATGTGTTTTTGTGTAGATCTACCTGTATTTCCTCTCTTGTTAAGAGTGAGTAGTCCTTGACAATTGTATCTCCCCTGGTCCAGGCGTGCTCACCAGTGTGGACATTGTAGAAAAACTTTGTGCCATCTCTCAGCCGGTTCATCATCCAGCCACTTCCTGTCTCACCTAGAGGATTAGTGCAGTAACAGAGTCATGTCAACTTTCTTGGACTTAGTTAAACAGATTAGTGCAGTACCAGAGTCATGTCAACTTTGTTGGACTTAGTTAAACAGATAAGTGCAGTACCAGAGTCATGTCAACTTTGTTGGACTTAGTTAAACAGATTAGTGCAGTACCAGAGTCATGTCAACTTTGTTGGACTTAGTTAAACAGATTAGTGCAGTACCAGAGTCATGTCAACTTTGTTGGACTTAGTTAAACAGATTAGTGCAGTACCAGAGTCATGTCAACTTTGTTGGACTTAGTTAAACAGATTAGTGCAGTACCAGAGTCATGTCAACTTTGTTGGACTTAGTTAAACAGGCTGTTGTTAGTGTCCGGCTAGGGTTGGCTGTGTATGGTGTGTAAGGTTAGTGTTGGCTGTGTGTAGTGTGTACGGCTTGTGTTGGCTGTGTGCGTACGGCTAGTGCTGGCTGTGTGTGTGTGTGTGTAAGGCTAGTGTGTGTGTGTACGGCTAGTGTTGGCTGTGTGTAGTGTGTACGGCTTGTGTTGGCTGTGTGTGGTGTGTACGGCTTGTGTTGGCTGTGTGTAGTGTGTACGGCTAGTGTTGGCTGTGTGTGGTGTGTACGGCTTGTGTTGGCTGTGTGCGTACGGCTAGTGCTGGCTGTGTGTGTGTGTGTGTGTAAGGCTAGTGTGTGTGTGTGTACGGCTAGTGTTGGCTGTGTGTAGTGTGTACGGCTTGTGTTGGCTGTGTGTGGTGTGTACGGCTTGTGTTGGCTGTGTGTAGTGTGTACGGCTAGTGTTGGCTGTGTGTGTGTGTACGGCTAGTGTTGGCTGTGTGTAGTGTGTACGGCTTGTGTTGGCTGTGTGTGGTGTGTACGGCTTGTGTTGGCTGTGTGTAGTGTGTATGGCTTGTGTTGGCTGTGTGTGGTGTGTACGGCTAGTGTGTGTGTGTACGGCTAGTGTTGGCTGTGTGTAGTGTGTACGGCTAGTGCTGGCTGTGTGTAGTGTGTACGGCTAGTGCTGGCTGTGTGTGGTTTGTATGGCTAGTGTTGGCTGTAGTGTGTACGGATAGTGCTGGCTGTGTGTGGTTTGTATGGCTAGTGTTGGCTGTAGTGTGTACGGATAGTGTTGGCTGTGTGGTGTGTACGTAGTATTGGCTGTGTGGTGTGTACGTAGTGTTGGCTGTGTGGTGTGTACAGTTAGTGTTGGCTGTGTGGTGTGTACGGTTAGTGTTGGTTGTGTGGTATGTACGGCTTGTGTTGGCTGTGTGTAGTGTGTATGGCTTGTGTTGGCTGTGTGTGGTGTGTACGGCTAGTGTGTGTGTGTACGGATAGTGTTGGCTGTGTGGTGTGTACGTAGTATTGGCTGTGTGGTGTGTACGTAGTGTTGGCTGTGTGGTGTGTACAGTTAGTGTTGGCTGTGTGGTGTGTACGGTTAGTGTTGGTTGTGTGGTATGTACGGCTAGTGTTGGCTGTGTGTGGTGTGTACGGCTTGTGTTGGCTGTGTGTAGTGTGTATGGCTTGTGTTGGCTGTGTGTGGTGTGTACGGCTAGTGTGTGTGTGTACGGATAGTGTTGGCTGTGTGGTGTGTACGTAGTATTGGCTGTGTGGTGTGTACGTAGTGTTGGCTGTGTGGTGTGTACAGTTAGTGTTGGCTGTGTGGTGTGTACGGTTAGTGTTGGTTGTGTGGTGTGTACGGTTAGTGTTGGCTGTAGTGTGTATGGTTAGTGTTGGCTGTGTGGTGTGTACGGCTAGTGTTGCTCAGTGCCTGATACAGCATGTGCTGAGTGCCTGATACAGCATGTGCTGAGTGGCTGCTACAGCATGTGCTGAGTGGCTGCTACAGCATGTGCTGAGTGGCTGCTACAGCATGTGCTGAGTGGCTGCTACCTTGCTGAGAGGAGTGCTCCACAGCCCCAGCAAGAGCCTTGTGGTAGGTGTCTATACAGTCCACAGTGAGGGAGTGGACACTGAGCTCAGGTAAGGTCAGGGCTGACAACAAACCACTTTCATCACAGTCCTGGAGAGCTTTGTTCACTGATGACACTCCTAGGGACACTGGAACAGTTTAAATAGTCTATCAAACAAATGACTTCTTAGGGAGGAGAGGGAATATTTTCTTTAACATGGCATTGGATTAGCCATCTAGCAAAGTTGAGTGCAAATGGACTCACACTTTAAACCCTCCAATGTATTTGAATTGGCCTTGTCTACACAGGCTTGGATCTCCTCTAACCACAGAACTGCTGCATCATCTTTACTTTCCTACAGACAAGTTTTTTAAAATCAACTTTACTTCCTAAAGACACGTTGTTTAAAATCAACTTTACTTCCTAAAGACACGTTTTTTAAAATCAACTTTACTCCATAAAGACACATTGTTAAACCAACTTTGCTTTCTTAAAGAAAAATTTTTAAGATCAACTTTTCTTTTCTAAAGCAACATTTAAAACAAAAATCCACTTTTCTAATGCCAAGTTAAATAAACTTACTTTTATAGACACATTTTTAAATCAACTTCCTAACATACAAATTATTCTTTGAATTTTTTAAAGTCAAGTTAAAAAAATCATCTTTACTTTAAGACAAGTTATGTTCTCTACATAGACAAGATGTGAGCATTACCTCAGCTTTCCTGTCCTTGTGTCGGGCTAACAGGACCTGGTAATGGAAGGCTTGTGGAGATTGGATGTCTCTTAGTTTAGCCGCAGGTAGCTGCAGGGCCTCCACTGTCGCATTCTCATCTCCTTTATTGATGGCTTCATTGATCAGAGTTATTGCTTGGATCCCTGAGGGCAAAACATGGTCCATCTCAGACAAAATGCAACTGATGCTTTTAGAAAAAAAAACATGAGCTAAAGCCAAACACTGATCAAATATTGAGCCAGCCCATGTAAACTAAATCCAGTGCACTTACTCTCATGTTCCTGGTGCACCTGGAGGTGGACACTGTTGATACAGCCAACTATTTCAGCATGGGTCAGCAGTGGGTTCACAGACTGAAACAAGGTTAGAGACACAAGGTTACAGACTGAAACAAGGTCACAGGCACAAGGTCACAGACTGAAACAAGGTTAGAGACACAAGGTTAGAGACACAAGGTTAGAGACACAAGGTTAGAGACAAGGTCACAGGTGCAAGGTCACAGACTGAAACAAGGTTAGAGACACAAGGTCACAGGCACAAGGTCACAGACTGAAACAAGGTTAGAGACACAATTCACAGACTGAAACAAGGTTAGAGACACAAGGTCACAGGTGCAAGGTCACAGACTGAAACAAGGTTAGAGACACAAGGTCACAGACTGAAACAAGGTTAGAGACACAAAGTCACAGACTGAAACAAGGTTAGAAACACAAGGTTAGAGACACAAGGTTAGAGACACAAGGTTAGAGACACAAGGTCACAGGCACAAGGTCACAGACTGAAACAAGGTTAGAGACACAAGGTTAGAGACACAAGGTTAGAGACACAAGGTTAGAGACAAGGTCACAGACTGAAACAAGGTTAGAGACACAAGGTTAGAGACACAAGGTCACAGGCACAAGGTCACAGACTGAAACAAGGTTAGAGACACAATTCACAGACTGAAACAAGGTTAGAGACACAAGGTCACAGGTGCAAGGTCACAGACTGAAACAAGGTTAGAGACACAAGGTCACAGACTGAAACAAGGTTAGAGACACAAGGTCACAGACTGAAACAAGGTTAGAAACACAAGGTTAGAGACACAAGGTTAGAGACACAAGGTTAGAGACACAAGGTCACAGGCACAAGGTCACAGACTGAAACAAGGTTAGAGACACAAGGTCACAGACTGAAACAAGGTTAGAGACACAAGGTCACAGGTTCAAGGTCACAGACTGAAACAAGGTTAGAGACACAAGGTCACAGACTGAAACAAGGTTAGAGACACAATGTCACAGACTGAAACAAGGTTAGAAACACAAGGTTAGAGACACAAGGTTAGAGACACAAGGTTAGAGACACAAGGTCAGAGACACAAGGTCAGAGACACAAGGTCAGAGACACAAGGTTAGAGACACAAGGTTAGAGACACAAGGTCACAGGCACAAGGTCACAGACTGAAACAAGGTTAGAGACACAATTCACAGACTGAAACAAGGTTAGAGACACAAGGTCACAGGTGCAAGGTCACAGACTGAAACAAGGTTAGAGACACAAGGTCACAGACTGAAACAAGGTTAGAGACACAAAGTCACAGACTGAAACAAGGTTAGAAACACAAGGTTAGAGACACAAGGTTAGAGACACAAGGTCACAGGCACAAGGTCACAGACTGAAACAAGGTTAGAGACACAAGGTTAGAGACACAAGGTTAGAGACACAAGGTTAGAGACAAGGTCACAGACTGAAACAAGGTTAGAGACACAAGGTTAGAGACACAAGGTCACAGGCACAAGGTCACAGACTGAAACAAGGTTAGAGACACAATTCACAGACTGAAACAAGGTTAGAGACACAAGGTCACAGGTGCAAGGTCACAGACTGAAACAAGGTTAGAGACACAAGGTCACAGACTGAAACAAGGTTAGAGACACAAGGTCACAGACTGAAACAAGGTTAGAAACACAAGGTTAGAGACACAAGGTTAGAGACACAAGGTTAGAGACACAAGGTCACAGGCACAAGGTCACAGACTGAAACAAGGTTAGAGACACAAGGTCACAGACTGAAACAAGGTTAGAGACACAAGGTCACAGGTTCAAGGTCACAGACTGAAACAAGGTTAGAGACACAAGGTCACAGACTGAAACAAGGTTAGAGACACAATGTCACAGACTGAAACAAGGTTAGAAACACAAGGTTAGAGACACAAGGTTAGAGACACAAGGTCAGAGACACAAGGTCAGAGACACAAGGTCAGAGACACAAGGTCAGAGACACAAGGTTAGAGACACAAGGTTAGAGACACAAGGTCAGAGACAAGGTCACAGGTGCAAGGTCACAGACTGAAACAATGTTAGAGACACAAGGTCAGAGACACAAGGTCACAGGCACAAGGTCACAGACTGAAACAAGGTTAGAGACACAAGGTTAGAGACACAAGGTTAGAGACACAAGGTCAGAGACACAAGGTCAGAGACAAGGTCACAGGTGCAAGGTCACAGACTGAAACAATGTTAGAGACACAAGGTCATAGACACAAGGTCACAGACTGAAACAAGGTTAGAGACACAAGGTCACAGACTGAAACAATGTTAGAGACACAAGGTCAGAGACACAAGGTCACAGACTGAAACAAGGTTAGAGACACAAGGTCACAGACTGAAACAAGGTTAGAGACACAAGGTCACAGGCTGAAACAATGTTAGAGACACAAGGTCAGAGACACAAGGTCAGAGACACAAGGTCACAGGCACAAGGTCACAGACTGAAACAAGGTTAGAGACACAGGGTTAGAGACACAGGGTTAGAGACACAAGGTCAGAGACAAGGTCACAGGTGCAAGGTCACAGACTGAAACAATGTTAGAGACACAAGGTCAGAGACACAAGGTCACAGGCACAAGGTCACACACTGAAACAATGTTAGAGACACAAGGTCAGAGACACAAGGTCAGAGACACAAGGTCACAGACACAAGGTCACAGACTGAAACAAGGTTAGAGACACAAGGTTAGAGACACAAGGTCAGAGACACAAGGTCACAGGCTGAAACAAGGTTAGAGACACAAGGTCAGAGACACAAGGTCACAGACTGAAACAAGGTTAGAGACACAAGGTTAGAGACACAAGGTTAGAGACACAAGGTCAGAGACACAAGGTCAGAGACACAAGGTCACAGACTGAAACAAGGTCAGAGACACAAGGTCAGAGACACAAGGTCAGAGACACAAGGTTAGAGACACAAGGTTAGAGACACAAGGTTAGAGACACAAGGTTAGAGATACAAGGTTAGAGACACAAGGTTAGAGACACAAGGTCACAGACTGAAACAAGGTTAGAGACACAAGGTCACAGGTGCAAGGTCACAGACTGAAACAAGGTTAGAGACACAAGGTCACAGACTGAAACAAGGTTAGAGACACAATGTCACAGACTGAAACAAGGTTAGAAACACAAGGTTAGAGACACAAGGTCAGAGACACAAGGTCAGAGACACAAGGTCAGAGACACAAGGTCACAGACTGAAACAAGGTCAGAGACACAAGGTCAGAGACACAAGGTCAGAGACACAAGGTCAGAGACACAAGGTTAGAGACACAAGGTTAGAGACACAAGGTTAGAGACACAAGGTCACAGACTGAAACAAGGTTAGAGACACAAGGTTAGAGACACAAGGTTAGAGACACAAGCACAAGGTCACAGACTGAAACAAGGTTAGAAACACAAGGTTAGAGACACAAGGTTAGAGACACAAGGTCACAGGCACAAGGTCACAGACTGAAACAAGGTTAGAGACACAAGGTCACAGACTGAAACAAGGTTAGAGACACAATGTCACAGACTGAAACAAGGTTAGAAACACAAGGTTAGAGACACAAGGTTAGAGACACAAGGTTAGAGACACAAGGTCAGAGACACAAGGTCAGAGACACAAGGTCACAGGCACAAGGTCACAGACTGAAACAAGGTTAGAGACACAAGGTTAGAGACACAGGGTTAGAGACACAAGGTTAGAGACACAAGGTCAGAGACAAGGTCACAGGTGCAAGGTCACAGACTGAAACAATGTTAGAGACACAAGGTCAGAGACACAAGGTCACAGGCACAAGGTCACAGACTGAAACAATGTTAGAGACACAAGGTCAGAGACACAAGGTCAGAGACACAAGGTCACAGACTGAAACAAGGTTAGAGACACAAGGTCACAGGTGCAAGGTCACAGACTGAAACAAGGTTAGAGACACAAGGTCAGAGACACAAGGTCACAGACTGAAACAAGGTTAGAGACACAAGGTTAGAGACACAAGGTCAGAGACACAAGGTCAGAGACACAAGGTCAGAGACACAAGGTCAGAGACACAGGGTCACAGATTGAAACAAGGTCAGAGACACAAGGTCAGAGACACAAGGTTAGAGACACAAGGTTAGAGACACAAGGTTAGAGACACAAGGTTAGAGACACAAGGTTAGAGACACAAGGTTAGAGACACAAGGTCACAGACTGAAACAAGGTTAGAGACACAAGGTTAGAGACACAAGGTTAGAGACACAAGGTTAGAGACACAAGCACAAGGTCACAGACTGAAACAAGGTTAGAAACACAAGGTTAGAAACACAAGGTTAGAGACACAAGGTTAGAGACACAAGGTTAGAGACACAAGGTCACAGGCACAAGGTCACAGACTGAAACAAGGTTAGAGACACAAGGTCACAGACTGAAACAAGGTTAGAGACACAAGGTCACAGGTGCAAGGTCACAGACTGAAACAAGGTTAGAGACACAAGGTCACAGACTGAAACAAGGTTAGAGACACAATGTCACAGACTGAAACAAGGTTAGAAACACAAGGTTAGAGACACAAGGTTAGAGACACAAGGTTAGAGACACAAGGTCAGAGACACAAGGTCAGAGACACAAGGTCAGAGACACAAGGTTACAGACACAAGGTCACAGACTGAAACAAGGTTAGACACACAAGGTTAGAGACACAGGGTTAGAGACACAAGGTTAGAGACACAAGGTCAGAGACAAGGTCACAGGTGCAAGGTCACAGACTGAAACAATGTTAGAGACACAAGGTCAGAGACACAAGGTCACAGGCACAAGGTCACAGACTGAAACAATGTTAGAGACACAAGGTCAGAGACACAAGGTCAGAGACACAAGGTCACAGACACAAGGTCACAGACTGAAACAAGGTTAGAGACACAAGGTCAGAGACACAAGGTCACAGGCTGAAACAAGGTTAGAGACACAAGGTCAGAGACACAAGGTCACAGACTGAAACAAGGTTAGAGACACAAGGTCAGAGACACAAGGTCAGAGACACAAGGTCAGAGACACAAGGTCAGAGACACAAGGTCAGAGACACAAGGTCACAGATTGAAACAAGGTCAGAGACACAAGGTCAGAGACACAAGGTCAGAGACACAAGGTCAGAGACACAAGGTCAGAGACACAAGGTTAGAGACACAAGGTTAGAGACACAAGGTTAGAGACACAAGGTTAGAGACACAAGGTCACAGACTGAAACAAGGTTAGAGACACAAGGTTAGAGACACAAGGTTAGAGACACAAGCACAAGGTCACAGACTGAAACAAGGTTAGAGACACAAGGTTAGAGACACAAGGTCACAGGCACAAGGTCACAGACTGAAACAAGGTTAGAGACACAAGGTCACAGACTGAAACAAGGTTAGAGACACAAGGTCACAGGTGCAAGGTCACAGACTGAAACAAGGTTAGAGACACAAGGTCACAGACTGAAACAAGGTTAGAGACACAATGTCACAGACTGAAACAAGGTTAGAAACACAAGGTTAGAGACACAAGGTTAGAGACACAAGGTTAGAGACACAAGGTCAGAGACACAAGGTCAGAGACACAAGGTCAGAGACACAAGGTCAGAGACACAAGGTTAGAGACACAAGGTTAGAGACACAAGGTTAGAGACACAAGGTCAGAGACAAGGTCACAGACTGAAACAATGTTAGAGACACAAGGTCAGAGACACAAGGTCACAGGCACAAGGTCACAGACTGAAATAAGGTTAGAGACACAAGGTTAGAGACACAAGGTTAGAGACACAAGGTTAGAGACACAAGGTCAGAGACACAAGGTCAGAGACAAGGTCACAGGTGCAAGGTCACAGACTGAAACAATGTTAGAGACACAAGGTCATAGACACAAGGTCACAGACTGAAACAAGGTTAGAGACACAAGGTCACAGACTGAAACAATGTTAGAGACACAAGGTCAGAGACACAAGGTCACAGACTGAAACAAGGTTAGAGACACAAGGTCACAGACTGAAACAAGGTTAGAGACACAAGGTCACAGACTGAAACAATGTTAGAGACACAAGGTCAGAGACACAAGGTCACAGACTGAAACAAGGTTAGAGACACAAGGTTAGAGACACAGGGTTAGAGACACAAGGTCAGAGACAAGGTCACAGGTGCAAGGTCACAGACTGAAACAATGTTAGAGACACAAGGTCAGAGACACAAGGTCAGAGACACAAGGTCACAGACTGAAACAATGTTAGAGACACAAGGTCAGAGACACAAGGTCACAGACTGAAACAAGGTTAGAGACACAAGGTTAGAGACACAAGGTCAGAGACACAAGGTCACAGGCTGAAACAAGGTTAGAGACACAAGGTCAGAGACACAAGGTCACAGACTGAAACAAGGTTAGAGACACAAGGTTAGAGACACAAGGTTAGAGACACAAGGTCACAGACTGAAACAAGGTTAGAGACACAAGGTTAGAGACACAAGGTTAGAGACACAAGCACAAGGTCACAGACTGAAACAAGGTTAGAGACACAAGGTTAGAGACACAAGGTCACAGGCACAAGGTCACAGACTGAAACAAGGTTAGAGACACAAGGTCACAGACTGAAACAAGGTTAGAGACACAAGGTCACAGGTGCAAGGTCACAGACTGAAACAAGGTTAGAGACACAAGGTCACAGACTGAAACAAGGTTAGAGACACAATGTCACAGACTGAAACAAGGTTAGAAACACAAGGTTAGAGACACAAGGTTAGAGACACAAGGTTAGAGACACAAGGTCAGAGACACAAGGTCAGAGACACAAGGTCAGAGACACAAGGTCACAGACTGAAACAAGGTTAGAGACACAAGGTTAGAGACACAAGGTTAGAGACACAAGGTCAGAGACAAGGTCACAGACTGAAACAATGTTAGAGACACAAGGTCATAGACACAAGGTCACAGGCACAAGGTCACAGACTGAAACAAGGTTAGAGACACAAGGTTAGAGACACAAGGTTAGAGACACAAGGTTAGAGACACAAGGTCAGAGACACAAGGTCAGAGACAAGGTCACAGGTGCAAGGTCACAGACTGAAACAATGTTAGAGACACAAGGTCATAGACACAAGGTCACAGACTGAAACAAGGTTAGAGACACAAGGTCACAGACTGAAACAATGTTAGAGACACAAGGTCAGAGACACAAGGTCACAGACTGAAACAAGGTTAGAGACACAAGGTCACAGACTGAAACAAGGTTAGAGACACAAGGTCACAGACTGAAACAATGTTAGAGACACAAGGTCAGAGACACAAGGTCACAGACTGAAACAAGGTTAGAGACACAAGGTTAGAGACACAGGGTTAGAGACACAAGGTCAGAGACAAGGTCACAGGTGCAAGGTCACAGACTGAAACAATGTTAGAGACACAAGGTCAGAGACACAAGGTCACAGGCACAAGGTCACAGACTGAAACAATGTTAGAGACACAAGGTCAGAGACACAAGGTCACAGACACAAGGTCACAGACTGAAACAAGGTTAGAGACACAAGGTTAGAGACACAAGGTCAGAGACACAAGGTCACAGGCTGAAACAAGGTTAGAGACACAAGGTCAGAGACACAAGGTCACAGACTGAAACAAGGTTAGAGACACAAGGTTAGAGACACAAGGTTAGAGACACAAGGTCAGAGACACAAGGTCACAGACACAAGGTCACAGACTGAAACAAGGTCAGAGACACAAGGTCAGAGACACAAGGTCAGAGACACAAGGTCAGAGACACAAGGTCAGAGACACAAGGTTAGAGACACAAGGTTAGAGACACAAGGTCACAGACTGAAACAAGGTTAGAGACACAAGGTCACAGGCACACTTAAGCCTACCGCAAAAACCCTTCCCCACCCTTAAGCTAATGGTGGTAGCCTTTGATAGGTAAGTGTAAGAAATGGCAGTCATGTCATCTCGCATTAGTAGCAAGGGGTTATGTCACATTCTGTCTCAAATGAGTAAAATAAGAAATAAAATAATGCAAACAATGAGATGAATTTACATCCATCTTGCTGGATTTCTCAGCAGCCAGCACTGTTTGATACTTGTCAGCATTGGATTCATCCAGGTCTGTGATGTGGGCAGCAGGATTGGACAGGGCATTCAGTGTGGCCTGGGACCCACCAGCCTCCACAGATTTGTTGATAGCCAGGACAGCAGCAATCACTGGAGGAACAAAAAGGTTGCGTCAACATACAAAACTTCAAAAACTAGCTGTGTCACCACATAAACATCACACATACCTTGTGTCACCACAATAAAAACAAACATTACCAACTAGCTAAATTATTGAATAAAAAGAAGAAAGAGTTCAGTTTCAACTTAATCCTAACCTAATAACGCAGGATCAATTTCTTCAAACTCTAGATCATCTCCCTTCTCATCTTTCATGTTGCTGAGTTCCTGGAGGTACAGAGGTGCACACCCTGTGTCAACACTGGTCAGCTTCAAGCTTGGGTTCTGTAAAGCTTTCATTAACAAGACAGCATCTTTGTTGGAAAGGGCTTGATTCACCAGCATAACCATCTGATTTTCTGCCAAATGATGAGAGAAAACTAATTAGCCTGAACTATTTAGCTAAATTATGAGAGAAAACTAATTAGCCTGAACTATTTAGCCAAATGGAAGAGAGAAAACTAATTAGCCTGAACTATTCAGCTAAATTATGAGAAAAAACAAATTAGCCTGAATTAATCAGCTAAATGATGAGAGAAAACTAAGATGAACTAGTAAACAAAAACAAAAGCAGGAAAAAATACAAACTTTGATATTCAACATCAGCTTCTAAATTGGCTTCATTCACAGCCATCTGAATTTCATCTTTGCCTAGGGCTCCATCTGACTCAGCATCCTGTATGAAATTGGAAATTCTTAGACAGCCCAAGCCACTTATTACATGGTCTAGAGAACATAAAGTTTTAGATGGAAGATTTCAGTATTTATCTCCCACTTGCCAGAGATGCAGATTTGAACATACTTATCTCCCCCTCACACTTGCCAGAGATGCAGATTTGAACATACTTATCTCCCTCTCACACTTGCCATAGAGGCAGATTTGAACATACTTATCTCCCCCTCACACTTGCCAGAGATGCAGATTTGAACATACTTATCTCCCCCTCACACTTGCCAGAGATGCAGATTTGAACATACTTATCTCCCCTATCACTTGCCATAGAGGCAGATTTGAACATACTTATCTCCCTCTCACACTTGCCATAGAGGCAGATTTGAACATACTTATCTCCCTCTCACACTTGCCATAGAGGCAGATTTGAACATACTTATCTCCCTCTCACACTTGCCATAGAGGCAGATTTGAACATACTTATCTCCCCTATCACTTGCCATAGAGGCAGATTTGAACATACTTATCTCCCCTATCACTTGCCATAGAGGCAGATTTGAACATACTTATCTCCCTGTTACACTTGCCATAGAGGCAGATTTGAACATACTTATCTCCCCTATCACTTGCCATAGAGGCAGATTTGAACATACTTATCTCCCCTATCACTTGCCATAGAGGCAGATTTGAACATACTTATCTCCCTCTCACACTTGCCATAGAGGCAGATTTGAACATACTTATCTCCCCTATCACTTGCCATAGAGGCAGATTTGAACATACTTATCTCCCTCTCACACTTGCCATAGAGGCAGATTTGAACATACTTATCTCCCTCTCACACTTGCCATAGAGGCAGATTTGAACATACTTATCTCCCCTATCACTTGCCTGCAGCTTGTCCTGATGAAGCCGTGCCAACTTCTCTAAATAAAAATCTATGTTTTCAGGCTTGATGTTCTTTAAACCAAGAGCAGGCAATTGTAAGGCAGCTAAAACAGCAGCCCTGTCTCCACTGGTCAAAGCTTCAAGAAGTTGACTTAAGGCTTGCTGGGCTAAACAATAAAACATGGAAACTGTAAGGTCAAAACAACAAAATGGAAAATGTAATGTTAAAACAACAACAATAATAAAACTGTATGAGGAAAGCACATAAGCTAACAGTGGAAACATTAATAGTTTGCCAGAAAACTGTTTAGATTTAAGCTGCAGCTAAACTGGACAACACACTGGTCACTTACTGTTGACTTTACTTATATTGCCTTGAATTTCTGCCTGAGTAAGTAACTCATCATAGACATCAACTTCATAGGTGCTTTCTGGGTCAATGCTCTGTTGGGAGAGGTAGAGTACACTGATCAAGTCAGAACAAAAACTGTATCAAGCATTGAGGTGAGTCAGAAATATAAAATGTATGAAGCATGTCATCTTAAACACTAAGGTTGATGTACTAACAGCCTTGTTTCTAAAAGAAATGACAGATGTATGTAAACAACATTGTTCCTAGCAGTGATAGATGACATGTATGGCTGTGACAGATAACATATATGGCTGTGACAGATGACATATATGGCAGCGACAGATGACATGTATGGCAGGGACAGATGACATGTAAACAACCTTGTTCCGAGCATTTTCAGCTTTGACAGCCTTGGCTTCAAACAGTGCGAGCTGATATTGCTGCTGGCTGCCTGGGTCAAGGTTCACCAACATGGCCGACGGGTTGTTTAGTGCAGTAAATGTGTCTGATGCCACTTGCTGGTCTACGGCTTCATTGATGGCTATAATAGCTGCATGCACTGAAAGGTAGACCACAACAATACGCTCATGGGCTCACTAGTGGGGGTCATCTGGTACACACATTCACACACCCATATTAAGTCTGATACACACACCCATATTAAGTCTGATACATAGACAGCCTAAAACACACACCCATATTAAGTCTGATACATAGACAGCCTAAAACACACACCCATATTAAGTCTGATACATAGAAAGCCTAAAACACACACCCATATTAAGTCTGATACATAGAAAGCCTAAAACACACATCCATATTAAGTCTGATACATAGAAAGCCTAAAACACACATCCATATTAAGTCTGATACATAGAAAGCCTAAAACACACATCCATATTAAGTCTGATACATAGAAAGCCTAAAACACACACCCATATTAAGTCTGATACATAGAAAGCCTAAAACACACACCCATATTAAGTCTGATACATAGAAAGCCTAAAACACACACCCATATTAAGTCTGATACATAGAAAGCCTAAAACACACACCCATATTAAGTCTGATACATAGAAAGCCTAAAACACACACCCATATTAAGTCTGATACATAGAAAGCCTAAAACACACACCCATATTAAGTCTGATACATAGAAAGCCTAAAACACACACCCATATTAAGTCTGATACATAGAAAGCCTAAAACACACACCCATATAAAATCTGAAACACACACACCCATGTATACACCCCCACCCATATAAAGTCTGATACACTCACCCCTATACACACACATGCAAACAGCAATCACACCAAACATCTGTGCTGAAGAGTTCTCTATCAAGTTTTATAAGAACAGTGGAACAACTTACATGCTGCATCATCTACTGTCAGCTGAAACAAAGATGTGTGTCATATCAATAATAAAGGTTGGTTTTCATACGGCAAATCAATAATAAAGGTTGGTTTTCATACAGCATATCAATAATAAAGGTTGGTTTTCATACAGCATATCAATAATAAAGGTTGGTTTTCATACAGCATATCAATAATAAAAGTTGGTTTTCATACAGCATATCAATAATAAAGGTTGGTTTTCATACAGCATATCAATAATAAAGGTTGGTTTTCATACAGCATATCAATAATAAAGGTTGGTTTTCATACAGCTTATCAATAATAAAGGTTGGTTTTCATACAGCATATCAACAGCAAAGGTTGTTTGTCAAACAGCTTATCAATAATAAAGGTTGGTTTTCATACAGCAAATCAACAACAAAGTTTTTTGCCTAACAACAAAGCTTGTTTGTCATACAGCATTTCACTAACAGTTCAGACATGCGTACACTTGACATAAAAAAGTGGAATTTGAAGCAAAAAAGTGGAAAATATGTGCAGACACTAAGTAGAAAATAACTTAAAATAAGAAAATAGAAATTATACACAGTAAACATAGGCCTTATGAATAGTTTTAGCATAGTTTGATATAGTTAGTATCTAGCCAGCATCTAATACTGTTTAACTTCAGCTTACTTTAAAAAAAAACTGAACTTTAGATGTTAAAAAACTATTGATGCTTCAACAATCTGAAACTATTTTGGACTCTCTGCTTTCAAAGCTCATGTGTTCCTGGTTTAGTTCTAGAAGTAGCCTAAATGTCATTAACAATAAATCTTAATAAACAATAAACTTTTCAATAAATAAATGCTAAAAGCCCACAGCAAAACAAAAGGACTAGTGTAGCTAGATTTTACCTACTTCATTGGCAAGAATGCCTCCAATTTTGCTAAATGCTGGCATCTGGATGCCATATTTCTCTAACTCTCGTCTCATTGCACTGATTTCTTCTTCTGTAAAAGAGATATGTTTAGTAGCATCAGTTTTTACATATCATGAAAAGTAAAGAAGTCAAAAGAAGAACTAGAAATCTTGCATCTCCTCAACTGTCAACTCAAACTTACCTGTAAACTTTATTTTTCCATACAAGTCTTGAATTTGTGGTGCCAGACCCAACTTAAAGAGAAACAGACTGGGGATATTCAATAGATATCTGATTAAAAACTGGGGAGGTTCAATAGATATCTGATTAAAAACTGAGGAGGTTCAATAGATATCTGATTAAAAACTGAGGAGGTTCAATAGATATCTGATTAAAAACTGGGGAGGTTCAATAGATATCTGATTAAAAACTGGGGAAGTTCAATAGATATCTGATTAAAAACTGGGGAGGTTCAATAGATATCTGATTAAAAACTGGGGAAGTTCAATAGATATCTGATTAAAAACTGGGGAAGTTCAATAGATATCTGATTAAAAACTGGGGAAGTTCAATAGATATCTGATTAAAAACTGTGGAGGTTCAATAGATATCTGATTAAAAACTGGGGAAGTTCAATAGATATCTGATTAAAAACTGGGGAAGTTCAATAGATATCTGATTAAAAACTGGGGAGGTTCAATAGATATCTGATTAAAAACTGGGGAAGTTCAATAGATATCTGATTAAAAACTGGGGAAGTTCAATAGATATCTGATTAAAAACTGGGGAAGTTCAATAGATATCTGATTAAAAACTGTGGAGGTTCAATAGATATCTGATTAAAAACTGGGGAGGTTCAATAGATATCTGATTAAAATTTGGGGAAGTTCAATAGGTATCTGATTAAAAACTGGGGAGGTTTAATAGATATCTGATTAAAAACAGTTAGACTAATCTCATCACACATGATAAAATAGTCTAATAACAGGTGGACTAATATCAAATATGATAAAATACAGTCTAATGACAGGTAGACTAATATCAAATATGATAAAATACAGTCTAATTACAAGTAGACTAATAACAAATATGATAAAATACAGTCTAATGACAGGTAGACTAATAACAAATATGATAAAATACAGTCTAATGACAGGTAGACTAATAACAAATATGATAAAATACAGTCTAATGACAGGTAGACTAATAACAAATATGATAAAATACAGTCTAATGACAGGTAGACTAATAACAAATGATAAAATACAGTCTAATGACAGGTAGACTAATAACAAATGATAAAATACAGTCTAATGACAGGTAGACTAATAAATATGATAAAATACAGTCTAATGACAGGTAGACTAATAAATATGATAAAATACAGTCTAATGACAGGTAGACTAATAAATATGATAAAATACAGTCTAATGACAGGTAGACTAATAAATATGATAAAATACAGTCTAATGACAGGTAGACTAATAACAAATATGATAAAATACAGTCTAATGACAGGTAGACTAATAAATATGATAAAATACAGTCTAATGACAGGTAGACTAATAACAAATATGATAAAATACAGTCTAATGACAGGTAGACTAATAACAAATATGATAAAATACAGTCTAATGACAGGTAGACTAATAACAAATATGATAAAATACAGTCTAATGACAGGTAGACTAATAACAAATATGATAAAATACAGTCTAATGACAGGTAGGAGGGTCTACCTCAGGGCATGAACACAGTAGACAGCCCGGGGCATATTCTTTCTATCATAAATATCTGTTGTTTCTGGATAAAATATCTGGGAAAAATAAAAAAAACACTTAGAACATAAGCAATAGAGGATCTAGCATTTTGTGGTAAAACTTACTGATGGCAGATTTCTAAGGTAAACATTGGACCAGATGAGACAAACTTACTGATGTCAGATTTCTAAGGTAAACATTGGACCAGATGAGACAAACTTACTGATGGCAGATTTCTAAGGTAAACATTGGACCAGATGAGACAAACTTACTGATGGCAGATTTCTAAGGTAAACATTGGACTGAGACAAACTTACTGATGGCAGATTTCTAAGGTAAACATTGGACTGAGACAAACTTACTGATGGCAGATTTCTAAGGTAAACATTGGACTGAGACAAACTTACTGATGGCAGATTTCTAAGGTAAACATTGCACCAGATGAGACAAACTTACTGATGGCAGATTTCTAAGGTAAACATTGGACCAGATGAGACAAACTTACTGATGGCAGATTTCTAAGGTAAACATTGGACCAGATGAGATAAACTTACTGATGTCAGATTTCTAAGGTAAACATTGGACCAGATGAGACAAACTTACTGATGTCAGATTTCTAAGGTAAACATTGGACCAGATGAGACAAACTTACTGATGTCAGATTTCTAAGGTAAACATTGGACTGAGACAAACTTACTGATGTCAGATTTCTAAGGTAAACATTGGACTGAGACAAACTTACTGATGGCAGACCAATTTCTTCCATCGCACGTAGCCAATGGTTGATGTTATCTGTATGACGGAAATGAAGACCGCGGCTCTAAGGACAGAATGGTATAGTCTAATTAATAGCGTCCATATTAAGGACAAAATGGTATAGTCTAATTAATAGGGTCCATATTAAGGACAGAATGGTATAGTCTAATTAATAGGGCCAATATTAAGGACAGAATGGTATAGTCTAATTAATAGGGTCCATATTAAGGACAGAATGGTATAGTCTAATTAATAGGGTCCATATTAAGGACAGAATGGTATAGTCTAATTAATAGGGTCCATATTAAGGACAGAATGGTATAGTCTAATTAATAGGGTCCATATTAAGGACAGAATGGTATAGTCTAATTAATAGGGTCCATATTAAGGACAGAATGGTATAGTCTAATTAATAGGGCCCATATTAAGGACAGAATGGTAGTTTAATTGATAGGGTCCATATTAAGGATTAAGGACAGAATGGTATAGTCTAATTAATAGAGCCCATATTAAGGACAGAATGGTATAGTCTAATTAATAGGGTCCATATTAAGGACAGAATGGTATAGTCTAATTAATAGGGTCCATATTAAGGACAGAATGGTATAGTCTAATTAATAGGGTCCATATTAAGGACAGAATGGTATAGTCTAATTAATAGGGTCCATATTAAGGACAGAATGGTATAGTCTAATTAATAGGGTCCATATTAAGGACAGAATGGTATAGTCTAATTAATAGAGCCCATATTAAGGACAGAATGGTATAGTCTAATTAATAGGGTCCATATTAAGGACAGAATGGTATAGTCTAATTAATAGGGTCCATATTAAGGACAGAATGGTATAGTCTAATTAATAGCGTCCATATTAAGGACAGAATGGTATAGTCTAATTAATAGGGTCCATATTAAGGACAGAATGGTATAGTCTAATTAATAGAGCCCATATTAAGGACAGAATGGTATAGTCTAATTAATAGGGTCCATATTAAGGACAGAATGGTATAGTCTAATTAATAGGGTCCATATTAAGGACAGAATGGTATAGTCTAATTAATAGGGTCCATATTAAGGACAGAATGGTATAGTCTAATTAATAGGGTCCATATTAAGGACAGAATGGTATAGTCTAATTAATAGGGTCCATATTAAGGACAAAATGGTATAGTCTAATTAATAGGGTCCATATTAAGGACAGAATGGTATAGTCTAATTAATAGGGTCCATATTAAGGACAGAATGGTATAGTCTAATTAATAGGGTCCATATTAAGGACAGAATGGTATAGTCTAATTAATAGGGTCCATATTAAGGACAGAATGGTATAGTCTAATTAATAGGGTCCATATTAAGGACAAAATGGTATAGTCTAATTAATAGGGTCCATATTAAGGACAGAATGGTATAGTCTAATTAATAGGGTCCATATTAAGGACAGAATGGTATAGTCTAATTAATAGGGTCCATATTAAGGACAGAATGGTATAGTCTAATTAATAGGGTCCATATTAAGGACAGAATGGTATAGTCTAATTAATAGAGCCCATATTAAGGACAGAATGGTACAGCTTTAACAGTGGGGCAGTGAAAGTGGTCACCTTTAAAATGTGTGTAAGTGTAAAAATGTTACTTTGCTACCACTGATAAGGTACATCTAATGTGACAGCAGGTAGCCCTAACCCTAGCCTGGAGCATAAGACACTAGGAAAAAACCTCCTCTACCATTCTGTCCTACACTCTTTGTACAACAATGTGTGTTCAGTGAGTGCCAAACAATATGGGCAAAACATCTTGGACTATTACATGGTATCTTGACTGCTCTTTGTCATAAATCTTCTTAAGTGGGGCTGCATTAGGTGCGAAGAAATGAGCCAACTTAGCAAGAAACACCCCATTCCTGAGTCCCTCTTCCAGCTCTGTGGTGGGAGGCAGCTCCTCATTCACACAAGCTTCAATCCATCTGAAAACAAGACATATAGGTGACTATAGACCATATAATATAGAGGTGACTATAGACCATGTAATACAGAGGTGACATATAGGACATGTAATACAGAGGTGGCTATAGGACATGTAATACAGAGGTGACATATAGGACATGTAATACAGAGGTGACATATAGGACATGTAATACAGAGGTGGCTATAGGACATGTAATACAGAGGTGGCTATAGACCATGTAACTAACATACAGGTGACATATAGGCCATGTAATACAGAGGTGGCTATAGGCCATGTAATACAGAGGTGGCTATAGACCATGTAACTAACATACAGGTGACATATAGACCATGTAATACAGAGGTGGCTATAGGCCATGTAACTAACATACAGGTGACATATAGGCCATGTAATACAGAGGGTGACTATAGACCATGTAACTAACATACAGGTGACATATAGGCCATGTAATACATAGGTGGCTATAGGACATGTAACTAACATACAGGTGACATATAGGCCATGTAATACAGAGGTGGCTATAGACCATGTAATACAGAGGTGACTATAGACCATGTAATACAGAGGTGACTATAGACCATGTAACTAACATACAGGTGACATATAGGCCATGTAATACATAGGTGGCTATAGGACATGTAACTAACATACAGGTGACATATAGGCCATGTAATACAGAGGTGACTATAGACCATGTAATACAGAGGTGACTATAGACCATGTAATACAGAGGTGACTATAGACCATGTAACTAACATACAGGTGACATATAGACCATGTAATACAGAGGTGGCTATAGGTCTGTAATACAGAGGTGACTATAGGCCTGTAATACAGAGGTGACTATAGGCCTGTAATACAGAGGTGACTATAGACCATGTAATACAGAGGTGACTATAGACCATGTAATACAGAGGTGACTATAGACCATGTAATATAGAGGTGGCTATAGGCCTGTAATACAGAGGTGGCTTCAACTATATGCCATGTAATGGGCCATTAGTCACCTCTGTAGGCCTATAGTATTAGCTGCTGACCCCCAGTGACTACACCTATCACGTGACCAATACCAGCCAACCAAAAAAAAACAACAGCACATGCAAGTGGTGTAAACAAGAGGTGCTGCCCAGTGTCTATATATAGACTGTATGTGACATAAATACTCTCAAGGTGATCAGGCCGCAGTGAAACACACTAGCAGCACAGCTAGAAAAACAAGGAAGGCAAATAGGTATCAACTTTTGTGTGGGATGGTTAATACACACGTGTACGGAGGGGGGGGGGGGTTATAGCAGGCATATAAAACAAACTGAAAGAACATATCTCTAACAAGAAAGGTCAACCGCATCTAAAAGTGAACTGTTGCTCTACCCCTATTATTTCTTCTGGCCAGCCGACTTGCTAGTGACACATTCTACACACAGGCGGCTGTTTATAGCAGTGGCGCTAGCCGCTTAAGTAGTAGGAAGTGACACATCCCGTGTGCCAGTAGGTCACGATAACACGGGGACAGTTCACTGGGCGAATTATTCAAACGATACCTTACGGGAAAACAAACGGGTGGGGGGAGGCGACGGCTCACCAGGCTGGGCGAGGTCAGCATGAATCATGCGGGCAGTGTTGACAACATGGGACCAACACGGCGTACAGCGCGGCCCGGCTGATAACCGCCGTGTTTATAAACAACTTCTCAATGTGTCGGGGATCAATGACTGCTACGTCACAAGTAACCAGCTATAGTGCCACCGGCTCAGTCCCTAGTGCCACCGTCTCAGTCCCTAGTGCCACCGTCTCAGTCCCTCGAGCCACCGGCTCAGTCCCTAGTGCCACCGGCTCAGTCCCTAGTGCCACCGGCTCAGTCCCTAGTGCCACCGGCTCAGTCCCTAGTGCCACCGGCTCAGTCCCTAGTGCCACCGGCTCAGTCCCTAGTGCCACCGGCTCAGTCCCTAGTGCCACCGGCTCAGTCCCTAGTGCCACCGTCTCAGTCCCTAGTGCCACCGGCTCAGTCCCTAGTGCCACCGTCTCAGTCCCTAGTGCTACCGGCTCAGTCCCTCGAGCTACCGGCTCAGTCCCTAGTGCCACCGGCTCAGTCCCTCGAGCTACCGGCTCAGTCCCTAGTGCCACCGGCTCATTACCTAGTGTCACCGGATCAGTCCCTAGTGCCACCGTCTCAGTCCCTAGTGCCACCGTCTCAGTCCCTCGTGCCACCGGATCAGTTCCTAGTGCCACCGGCTCAGTCCCTAGTGCCACCGGCTCAGTCCCTAGTGCCACCGACTCAGTCCCTAGTGCCACCGTCTCAGTCCCTAGTGCTACCGGCTCAGTCCCTCGAGCTACCGGCTCAGTCCCTAGTGTCACCGGATCAGTCCCTAGTGCCACCGTCTCAGTCCCTAGTGCCACCGTCTCAGTCCCTCGTGCCACCGGATCAGTTCCTAGTGCCACCGGCTCAGTCCCTAGTGCCACCGGCTCAGTCCCTAGTGCCACCGACTGAGTCCCTAGTACTACCGGCTCAGTCCCTAGTGCCACCGGCTCAGTCCCTCGTGCGACAAGCCCCTCTCACTACCCAGGGACTATGTGAGGGGAGCGAAAAGCTGCCGGTTGGTAAGAGCTGAGCCTCGTGTTGACAGAGGCATGGACGGATGGAGCACACGCCACCTGTTACCCGCCGGCTCCAGCACGTTTACCAACACGCGTCCTCTGCTGACAAGGACGACACAGTCAGCCCGACTGACAGATAAATCACACGACACTTTCATTAGACAGCAGCATAGGACACGCTCGTAAACCAACGGACGGTAGAGGCCAAACCAATTAGAAAGCACAGCTATAAATAGAGCAGCTAGATTTTGGCGATGGGACTGGAACCCCAATAGATCTGTTTAGAAACCTTTCACCCCCATCTCCTCTCGCTAATGCTAGACTAATACTGGACTAATCTAGGAGTACATAGGGCTACATCACTAGACTAATCTAGTAGTACATAGGGCTACATCACTAGACTAGACTAGGAGTACATAGGGCTACATCACTAGACTAGACTAGAACAGTACATAGGGCTACATCACTAGACTAATCTAGTAGTACATAGGGCTACATCACTAGACTAATCTAGTAGTACATAGGGCTACATCACTAGACTAGACTAGGAGTACATAGGGCTACATCACTAGACTAATCTAGTAGTACATAGGGCTACATCACTAGACTAATCTAGTAGTACATAGGGCTACATCACTAGACTAATCTAGTAGTACATAGGGCTACATCACTAGACTAATCTAGTAGTACATACATAGGGCTACATCACTAGACTAATCTAGTAGTACATAGGGCTACATCACTAGACTAATCTAGTAGTACATAGGGCTACATCACTAGACTAATCTAGTAGTACATAGGGCTACATCACTAAACTAATATAGTAGTACATAGGGCTACATCACTAGACTAGACGTACATAGGGCTACATCACTAGACTAGACTAGAACAGTACATAGGGCTACATCACTAGACTAATCTAGTAGTACATAGGGCTACATCACTAGACTAATCTAGTAGTACATAGGGCTACATCACTAGACTAGACTAGGAGTACATAGGGCTACATCACTAGACTAATCTAGTAGTACATAGGGCTACATCACTAGACTAATCTAGTAGTACATAGGGCTACATCACTAGACTAATCTAGTAGTACATAGGGCTACATCACTAGACTAATCTAGTAGTACATACATAGGGCTACATCACTAGACTAATCTAGTAGTACATAGGGCTACATCACTAGACTAATCTAGTAGTACATAGGGCTACATCACTAGACTAATCTAGTAGTACATAGGGCTACATCACTAAACTAATATAGTAGTACATAGGGCTACATCACTACACTAATCTAGTAGTACATAGGGCTACATCACTAGACTAATCTAGTAGTACATAGGGCTACATCACTAGACTAATCTAGTAGTACATAGGGCTACATCACTAGACTAATCTAGTAGTACATAGGGCTACATCACTAGACTAATCTAGTAGTACATAGGGCTACATCACTAGACTAATCTAGTAGTACATAGGGCTACATCACTAGACTAATCTAGTAGTACATAGGGCTACATCACTAGACTAATCTAGTAGTACATAGGGCTACATCACTAGACTAATCTAGTAGTACATAGGGCTACATCACTAGACTAGACTAGTAGTACATACGACTACATCACTAGACTAATCTAGGAGTACATAGGGCTACATCACTAGACTAATCTAGTAGTACATAGGGCTACATCACTAGACTAGACTAGTAGCACATAGGGCTACATCACTAAACTAATATAGTAGTACATAGGGCTACATCACTAGACTAATCTAGTAGCACATAGGGCTACATCACTAAACTAATATAGTAGTACATAGGGCTACATCACTAGACTAATCTAGTAGTACATAGGGCTACATCACTAGACTAATCTAGTAGTACATAGGGCTACATCACTAGACTAATCTAGTAGTACATAGGGCTACATCACTAGACTAATCTAGTAGTACATAGGGCTACATCACTAGACTAATCTAGTAGTACATAGGGCTACATCACTAGACTAATCTAGTAGTACATAGGGCTACATCACTAGACTAATCTAGTAGTACATAGGGCTACATCACTAGACTAGACTAGTAGTACATACGACTACATCACTAGACTAATCTAGGAGTACATAGGGCTACATCACTAGACTAATCTAGTAGTACATAGGGCTACATCACTAGACTAGACTAGTAGCACATAGGGCTACATCACTAAACTAATATAGTAGTACATAGGGCTACATCACTAGACTAATCTAGTAGCACATAGGGCTACATCACTAAACTAATATAGTAGTACATAGGGCTACATCACTAGACTAATCTAGTAGTACATAGGGCTACATCACTAGACTAATCTAGTAGTACATAGGGCTACATCACTAGACTAATCTAGTAGTACATAGGGCTACATCACTAGACTAATCTAGTAGTACATAGGGCTACATCACTAGACTAATCTAGTAGTACATAGGGCTACATCACTAGACTAATCTAGTAGTACATACATAGGGCTACATCACTAGACTAATCTAGTAGTACATAGGGCTACATCACTAGACTAATCTAGTAGTACATAGGGCTACATCACTAGACTAATCTAGTAGTACATAGGGCTACATCACAAGACTAGACTAGGAGTACATAGGGCTACATCACTAGACTAGACTAGAACAGTACATAGGGCTACATCACTAGACTAATCTAGTAGTACATAGGGCTACATCACTAGACTAATCTAGTAGTACATAGGGCTACATCACTAGACTAATCTAGTAGTACATAGGGCTACATCACTAGACTAATCTAGTAGTACATAGGGCTACATCACTAGACTAATCTAGTAGTACATAGGGCTACATCACTAGACTAATCTAGTAGTACATAGGGCTACATCACTAGACTAATCTAGTAGCACATAGGGCTACATCACTAGACTAATCTAGTAGTACATAGGGCTACATCACTAGACTAGAAGAACAGTACATAGGGCTACATCACTAGACTTGTAGAACACTACAGGAGGTCTACATAGGCAACACTGCTAGTAGTACAGAAGATTTTAAAGTGTGGCTCATAAGTGGACATCAAGTGTTGGCTTTTACTTTATTTATTTAAAAACAAAAAAGATCACTAGACAAAGATTCATGAATCGTTACAAGTCCATGATCTTCATAGCTGTTTATTTAAAAAGCTCAAGATTTCAAATTTTAAAAATCAACAGTCAAATTGACAAATTAATATCAGACCATAATTTAATCAGCCACTTTCATAAAAAGGTTATATTTATTTTGCATGCTAATTTAGTTACTTGAGCTTTAAATTATAGAGAAAACCCATTGAACCGGTGAATAATCTTAAGCTAATGGATGAATGAACAGACTCTAGCAAGTGAAGTAGCTGAACTCATATGTAATGGATGAATGAACAGACTCTAGCAAGTGAAGTAGCTGAACTCATGTAATGGATGAATGAACAGACTCTAGCAAGTGAAGTAGCTGAACTCATATGTAATGGATGAATTAACAGACTCTAGCAAGTGAAGTAAGTGAACTCATATGTAATGGATGAATGAACAGACTCTAGCAAGTGAAGTAGCTGAACTCATATGGGCACCAACAACAACAACTGCATATATTTTGCTAACATTTTTTTTTTCTTGATCTTTTTAAACCACAAAAAAACATGCATCACTTAAAAGTTTATGTTATATTATTTCCTTAATGGTATGGTAAAATGTACATAAAATATGGCTGGCTAGCTCACATTTTGGCTTCCTCTAGATGACACAGATATTCATAAGCAATATTCCTCTTCCTTTGCTCATCCATTTCATCTGCTGTAAGCCTCTCATCTTCCAGAGCTGAAAGAAAATTCAAAGAGGACCCTCAACAACTCAGCATAACTATTAACAACATATCAGCAAGTAACTAGAAGCAATTAAAAGGAACTTCAGTTTTTATTTCATCTTTGTCAGATGTAAAAAAAAAATGTTTATTGTAACCATGTTGAGTAGAGTCAGACACCACCACCATGTTGAGTAGAGTCAGACAACACCACCATGTTGAGTAGAGTCAGACACCGCCAACATGATGACAAGAGTCAGACAACACAACCATGTTGAGTAGAGTCAGACAACACCACCATGTTGAGTAGAGTCAGACAACACCACCATGTTGAGTAGAGTCAGGCAACACCACCATGTTGAGTAGAGTCAGACAACACCACCATGTTGAGTAGAGTCAGACAACACCACCATGTTGAGTAGAGTCAGACAACACCACCATGTTGAGTAGAGTCAGACAACACCACCATGTTGAGTAGAGTCAGACACCGCCACCATGATGACAAGAGTCAGACACCACTACTACTCGGTGACAAGAGTCAGACAGTGGTAGAGCAGTGGGTTATCAACCATGATTAGGGCTTACAATCTGCATTGCCCACATTTAAGCAGGCAATATATTTTCACCCAGTAATTGTGTGAGAATTTGTTCAAGCTACTTACTTCTGTAATGAGGCTTAGGTGCATCTGGAGCTTCCATGGCTATATCCTTGACTGAAATTTCTCTGTAACAATGTTAAATCCAGATTTTCCTGCAAAAGTTAAACTTTGTTTTAACAAATATTACATTATGTCAAATTATGTAAATATTTATAGATATATAGGCTTAATACTTACACATCATATATTTATATGATATAAAGACTAGGCCTATGTTACACTATGTATTATATCGCATATAGGCCTATATACTAGGCCCTATACTATATAAATATATATTATTATGAGCTCTGTGTGGTACAATTATTATTGTCCTCCCCTACAAAAAATTGAACATCAACTATACTATTATTACTATTAATTATTAATTAATTATTAATTAATATACTGAAGTGCATATGGAGGTGTACATTTGTACATTCATTAGGCCTACCAAAGCACACTGCCCTGTGAACTGTCACAAGATGACAAAAATTGAAACTAGATTCAAGATATATTTATTTATATTATCTAGAATCTAGATGACTAATCTAGATCTAGATTCTAGAATAGATCTAGATCTATTTCTGATTGCAGCTAGATGTCTAGCTGCTAGAATCAGCTAGATAGATCTAGATCTAGAAATCTAGAATTATCAATCTCTAGAACTAGATTCTAGAACTATTCTATAACTAGATTTGGAGAGAAATTAGATCTAGATCAAGATTACTATGGTAGATCTAGTCTAGATTCTAGATTATCTAGATCTATCTAATATCTATGTCACACTCACAGGTTTTCAACACCAACACACTACACATGAGTTGACTACACAGTACACAGGTGATGTTTGTGGAGCTGGCTCGATGTTCACTCAGTCACTGTTCGTCCAGACTCTCATTAGAGACTACTCTAGCTCTAGTTTTGTGTCTTGATCTAGACTAGATCTAGTAGACTGACTAGAAGCAGAGTTGAATGACTAGGTCACTAGACTAGAAATAATAGAATAGAATTCAATAGATCAACCAGAACATCCAGACGATAAAGAAAAACACAGTCAATCTACAATCTACATTAAGTAGAGTAGGCTAATAATAATATTTATTATTTTGTCATATCCAGGAAACAGAATAGACCTAGAATCTAGATCTACATCTATAAATACATACTAAATTCTAAACCGATTTCCCCCCCATTATCCATTGATAATAATTGATATTCATGCTATGCTGATGTCAAACCCGCAACTAAAGCCGCGTATCGTTCGTTCTGTCTAAATAAACCACCAACCTGCTTTCCGCCAACTCACTTTAAATAATTCTACTCGAAATTTGTGCCACTCAGTATTGGATTATGGGATAGATTCTAGTAAACACAGCTTCGCACAATCACGGAAATATACAAGTGCTTTAAGCCCAATAATATTAATTTTGAACTAGACATAGTTAACCAAACAGAAGTAAATCATACTTACTTATTATAGTATAGATCTAGATCTAGATCTAGGTCTAAAATAGAAGGTTTAATTGTGAAGTGAAAGGCCTTGAAAGAAAAAATAACTGATCGTAAATCTAGATTTAGATCTAGATCTAGATCTATATAATATATAAAATATAATAAATTAAATTAAATTTTAACAAAATTAAAACTAGAGACTTGGTTTGATTAGATTAGATCTATTATTAATAGCAGAGTTTCTTCCAGGCATCTCTTCGGGGGGGGGGGGGGGCTTAGCCCCCCCGAAATTTTTTTACCGCCCCCCCCCCCCCCGAACGAAATGAAATTTACAAAATTTATATAGAAAATATATACTTTTAACAGTGTCCGCCCCCCCCCCGAAGAAAGTTTACCGCCCCCCCCCCCGAAGATTTCAAGTGCCCCCCCCCCGGGGAAAAAAGTCTGGAAGAAACACTGATTAATAGTAGTCTAGTATTTATTTTAATCTTTAGAATAATTAGACTTATAACTCGACCATTTAAACCTGAGTAATTTCTGATAAAGAGTAGCAGGCTACAGAGTTTCTTACCAGAGGCGTAGCGAGGGGCGGGGGGGGGGGGCGGGGGGGGGGGGACATATGTCCCCGGGCGCCGACCTTAGGGGGGCGCCAAATTGAAAGTTTGAGGGGGGGTGCAAATGAAAAAAGTTCGAGGGGGGGTGCAAATCGAAAGTTTGAGGGGGGGGGGGGTGCAAATGAAAAGTTTCGAGGGGGGTGTGCAAATCGAAAGTTTGAGAGGGGGGGTGCAAATGAAAAGTTCGAGGGGGGGGGCGCAAATCGAAAGTTTGTCCCCGGGCGCCGGGAGGGGTCGCTACGCCTCTGTTTCTTACAGGCATCTCTTTGAAGAAAGTCTATCGCCCCCCCCCCCCCCCCAATCGAACGAAATGTAATTTATATAGAAAATATATACTTTTACCTGTGTCCGCCCCTTCTGGAATGCTGACAAATATAAGCGCTTTGTTGTCTCTTTCTAGTTTTTTTTCAAGCCGACCCCCCACCCCACCCCTCTTTCTTAGCCTCGCAAGTATTGAGTAGATAAATTTTATCGTTTATGAACTACTTTCTAACCGTACATTCACCACTTCAGCACATTTTGTAAGACACTAGACAGCACTAGTTGCGCCTGGGCCGTCGCCGAGGGATTTGGTGTGTCTCGTTGGTATATATAGTGTGGACAAAGCCGCGCCCCAACAACTAAGATCCAAGAAATGAACTGCCGACATTGTTCACATTGAATTAAACTTCTGGAAAACAGGGCACACGTCTAAAAATACGCGATTGGTAACGTTTTGATAAAAACCTCATAAACATTGGCGTCAGTTTGGTGTGTTGAACTAGATTTAGAGAGTCCGTGCTTCTCACTTGGAAAACTGAATGGGGCCAGCTCGCGTGTTGGAAAACCTCTGATTTATTCGTGTGCCAGATAAAAAAACATGTTTCCATAAGAACTCGAGTAGATTAAAAAATATTAGAGCGACCCTTGTTTTCCTTATTCATAAAGATTCTTCGGGGGGGGGGGGGGGCTTTTTTCTAGTTCCACCACTGCTCTGCAGCCTTACACCACGATATTATGTTTGCCCTTTCTTTCTAATTCACGTTAGATGAGCTTCGACCCCCCCCCCCCCCCCCAAGGGATGCCTGAAATAAACTCTGTGACCAACTTTCTTTCTCAAATATAAATTGACCTGGGTCAACTTTCTCTGAGCTGATTAATGTGTATTACAGTTTACAAAAAGTGCTAAACAGCAAAATAACAGAAAGATTATCGGTTAAAATAAAACAACACGTTTCTGTGCCCCACCCCCAGCTAGTCACACACCATCGCAAAAAATCCGACCCCTCCCCATTCCAATAGGTATGTGACGTCATTTATGTACTACTCTATACTTTAATAAACACCTTTACTAATGTAATGGATTATATAGTTAGTTTTGCCCAGCAAAACCAAAGGAAAAGTCAATATTACAAGCTTTTATTTAACTCACTTCCTCGACAGTCTGTCTGTCTGTCTAGACGGAAACGCAGGAGTGAAAATTCGGACAGTTCTACTTGACCGATACAATTCACAGTTGGCACGTGGGTCAAGACATGAAGACAATGCAATCTGAAACTAAATTTGACTTAATTGGATGCCTAATTAATTTTTTATGAATTAATAAAAATTTGGACCGAATTAGTAGGCATGTCTAGCCAACCACACCACACGCGTCATCACCTTCAATAGCTGCGCCATCACGTAATGGCTGCGTTCAAAAACCATTGCGCGCCTACTGAACGTGATGTTCAGTAGGCGCGCAATGGTTTTTAGTCATGTAACTCTATTGTAAATAAAACATGTAAAGTACTGAAAAAAAAATTCATAAAAAACGTTTTAATAACAAGCTTTTATGTAATGATGCACTAAAAAGTAGAAAATAAATTATAGACTACTATTTAAATAACTATAAAGAAAAGCGTGGGTGTCTTCCTTAACATTAGTAAAGGTATCCAATAGATACTAAAGTGACCCACGCTTTTCTTTATAGTTATTTAAATAGTAGTCTATAATTTATTTTCTACTTTTTAGTGCATCATTACATAAAAGCTTGTTATTAAAACGTTTTTTATGAATTTTTTTTTAAGAAATACTTTTAGGTCAGTAAAAAAAATTGGTAGAATTAGATCTAGATATATTATAGTTAGTCAATTTGGAACTTTAAATATTAATAGAGTCTAGGGATCATCGATAAATGAAGTCACGCTTTTTTGGACGATTTTTTACTTCCCCCCTCCCCTCCGTCACACGTCGTCACAAAAAGCCTAAATATCGGGAGCCCATTTGTCGGGAGCCTATATGTCGCAAGTCAATATGACGGGAGCCCATTTGACGGGAGCCAATAAGTCGGGGCCCTTTTGACGGGGCCCTTTTGACGGGGCTATTTTGACTGGGTCGTTTTGTCGGGGGTCGATTTTTCAAATTAACGGGGCCGTTTTGACGGGGCCGATTTGTCCCGGGCCGTTTTGACAGGGCACCCCTAGAAAACACCAAGGCCCCTCTCTTCCTCTCTAGGCATTTCCCGACCACCCCCACCCCCAAATGGTCTGGTGAGCTGTGTTTCACATTGGGGGAAAGGAGGCCTATCTATAATATAAGCGACCAAATAGTGTGTCAGTCCTTCCTTCCTTCTGTCATAGGCTTGATTTTGGAATAATAAAAGTAAACATCGCACCATGCAGTGCTTTACATTGCATTGCAGTGTCTTATTATAAATGATAGAGTTGTGTTGTGGCTGTGTTGTGGTCGTGGTTGTGTTGTGGTTGTGTTGTGGCTGTATTGTGGTTGTGTTGCGGTTGTGTTTTTGTTTGTTTTTTTATGCTGGAAAGGCTCTATTTGGGCGCAGGCGCCTAGGAAAGCGTGTTGTTCGGTGGTGATTCTAATGTTGTGGATTTGTTGTGGTTGTGTTGTGGTTGTGTTGTGGCTATGTTGTGGTTGTGTTGTAGTTGTGGCTGTGGTTGTGTTTTTTTTGTTTTGTTCTGTTCCCAAGTTGGTACTTTTAAAAAAAGATTTATGGAGCACGGGTATGCAGCTAGTCTATAATATAAGCGGCCAAGTAGCGTGACAGTCCTTCGCACCATGCAGTGCTTTTCAAAGCATCGCAGTGTCTTATCATAAGTAATAGAGTAGGGTTTGTTTATATAACGACATACAGTTATTTTATAGTTGCCACTGTTTTTACTCTTTTGCATAACGTAAAGAAAATATTAAATACACGCACATTGCTAAAACATATTAAAAGGATCAATGTCAAATATTATTTTCGTTTATATTCCTAGAAAAAGTGGATACATTTTAATATAATAATAACTGTAGGGTAGAAAAATCAATTTAATTTAACTCTTTTTTTCTAATTTTGACAAGAGGTAAATTAAAAATAAATTAAACTCATGCTAATAAAAAATGTGAATGCAAATCTACGGACGTCCTAGAAGGAATTAGTGTTGCAATAATATAACTAGCAAAATGTGAATGCAAATTATGCGGATGTGTAAGAGGAAATTATTGTTAGAAAATTATAATTAGCATGGATTGATAAAAGGCAATCTTTTATTTATTTTATTCACTGAACGTACTGTTTACTACTTATAATTTTTATTCAACTATTGCGCACTATTATAGACGCGTCATCACGTTCATTGGGTGCGCAATGGTTTTAGTTATGAAACTCTATTGTAAATTTTTAAAATTTAACATACTGAAAATAAACAGGGAGTGATCTCCCCTAAACTTTCTCGAATATTCTTATATAAAATAACAGGGGATGGGAACTCGGGCTATAGACATGATTTTTAATCCATTTAAAATACTTGAAGTTTTAAAAATAGAATAAAATCTCGTAGACAAATTAATTGCACACCAAGTGAACGCGAATAAAAAAGCGCATAATAGTGCGCAATATTATTAGTACTTTTAAAATTTACATTAGTTTTTTGAGAAATCGGAAGTAGCGTAAATAAGTACTTCCGGTCAACGAAAAATTCTCAAAATTTGACAGAAGGTAGAGAATTAGATCTTTTACTTACATGTGAAATTTCATTTATCTACCTGAAATAGTACTCAAGTTATAGGCTTTTGAAAAATTCAAAGTAGAAAAAGTACCACTTCCGGTTATCCGAAATCGCTCAAAAGTTGATACGGATCTACGATTTTGATAAAATACTTGTATATGAAATTTCATCAACCTAGCTGTAACGGTACTCAAGTTATCGTGTTTACACACGGACACACACACACACAGACACACAGACATACGGACAAGATTGCAAAATTATGTTTTTCCGTATCAGTGAGATGTAAAACGTCGAGATTTGCAAAAATCTCGATTTTTTTTT